GAAATATCACAGCAGTGCCACAGCAAGGCACGTCATACAGTTCGGCTGATCTCTGGGCGTGAGTTTGGTCCGAAAGCTGCAAAACAAGTCGTCTCCTCGGCGATGACGCAACAAAATAGAATGTAAGGAATACCCTCTGGTGAACTAACATAGCAATGGAAAATCACCATTTTTAATGGGAAAATCCACTATAAATGGTCATTTTCAATTGCTATGTTAGTTCACCAGAGGGTAACACCTTAGACTTGCTAAATCGGAACAGACAAGAATGACCTTGAGACGAGGGTTCGAATATCGTCTAGGTTAGCCTCCCAAAATTGCGTCTCGAGCTACTCATAAGGTTGGAATTCAAACAGCAGGTTGTCCAATGGTTGAATTTCAAAGGCACAGAAGGACATAGGTAAGAACAATATGAGAAGCAAGGGAAAAAATAGAATAGAGCATGTGGAAGAATCATAGGGAATAAATAGTAGGAACATGAAAAACAGGGAATTTCGAAAGAAAACCAGGGTAGAACATAGGTTCGGAAATAGAGAAGAAACTAGCAACCCGTCCAATTCTGCTGATTCTGGTTCTGCACCGTGGTATCCTTCAATAACATCGGTAAATCAATTCGTTGTATTCGCCATCCTTTTACACACTACGATCTTTGGGATAAAACATGATTTTCATCCATTTGAGTCACGAAGTCACCAATTACTAGCGTGGGAAGTGACATCTGGATAACTTCTGGTCTCCTCTATCCTGGGCCTCACAAGCAACTCTGGGCTTTGGTCATTGGCCCAAAGCAAAATCATCCAGACTTTGGTAACAGCTCAAAAAGTGTATACCTCAAAAAATGGATGGCTTGGTTTTCTACATTACAAGAGTGACGACTTGGAGTATTCTGGTGGGTCTTATGATAATAAAAATATAATAAATGAGGTGATGTGTGGTAATATTCTAGTATTCTAGTCAGTCATATTTTAGTTCAATGGGCATACTATTTGTTTTTCATTTTTGTTAACCATGGGTGTTACTCAAGCCATGCTAAGCCTTTGAGGGGGTTCCTTGGCATCGTGCCAAGGTTCCAAGTCCGGGTAGGCTGCAAGCGCAGCTCAATCTGCCCTGCTCCCAAAGCCAGATCTCTTCGGAGCTGAGAATACGCTCCTTGTGGATTTGGCTGGATGATTTTCTTTGGATCACATCCCATATGCGAACCATGGTGCTGGTATATTTACCTACAAAACTGGGTGATTTATGTTGGGCAAATGCTGGTAAATATTCCATACATGGAGCATCTGGGTATGTTGGATTAATGTGGATTATAAAATTATATAATTAATTGTTTCTTTTGTTGGATTATGATGGATTGTCAATCAAATTATATAACTCAAATTACTAGGATGGAGTTGTAATCTTTGTGGTGGATTGACAAGGGTCTTGATGGCATATAAATGACATGGATACGGGTTTGTACTTTTTGAACGTTTTGCCACTCGAAAGTGATGGGGCCGTATTATTCCCAGCTTTTGCCTATTATCCCAACTCGAGCCACATGAAGACTATGTGTAATTTCCAGATAATGTTGGGTAATCATGGTGCTTTACTTGGAGGAGCAGCCCAATTATAGCTGGGATACGCACAGTTATATAGAGAAGCTGCTAATTTCTGGAAGGGTGGAAGCAACTACATAACTTATATAACGGGAAAGGTGGATATGATATCAGTCTTTAACCTATGTATATACCTTTTTGACAGTTTTACAAGAAAAACAAGTTGAACATGATGATCCCACAATGCTGTAGCTAATTTTAGATACCTCTAAAATGAAAAGTTGCTTTTTCGTGAAGTGCTGCGAGCAATTCTTAATATGCAAAACATGCACGTTGTGACGTTGTGTGACATGTCAATTCTAGATGGCTTGGGTATGCAATAGGGTGTCCAGGAAGGCCATGTTTACGCCAACCATCACCCATTCATTACGGTGACAAGTCCCGAATTTAATTGCGTCTTTACCCGGTTCCTTTGCCCATTTCTGTTGCCTGACTACAGTACGTGTGATTCTTACCCGTGCTGTTGGTGATGCTCAACTTCCCCATATCTTGTTGCTTGAACTGTCTGGTAAAATCATGTACAATCCAGGTGTTCACCTTATCAAATCCAATATCTTCCTGGGTCGGTGAAACCTCCTTGACCCTAGGAAATGTGGTAAACCCAACAATAAGAAAGCGCCACCAAAATGGGTGTGGATTAGTAGGCTTATACCACATTCGACAGCAATCCCACAGTTTTTGTTGCTTTCAAAACCTCAAAAGCTCCTCATCCCCTTTCCCACCCGGGCTCCGTAAGGCAACATTCTTCGAAGCTACGTCCTTCCGTCCAGCACCTGTGCCACTTGAGAAACTGTTCTTGGATTTGCCAGGCCGGAACCTCCGGAAAATCAAAAGCCATAGGTTCCCAAATGGCGGATTTTCCACTGGGAAAACTCAAAATTACCTTAGGCCTTAGGCAAACTAAGGTTTTGGGATGTTTTGAAGGGATGGAAATCATTCTCTTTACTACTGTAATTATTGGGCCCGCTGATCGTACTCAATGGTCCCAAGAACCAAACACTCTTGATAGGGTGCCCAAGGAGCTCCTGCTGCGAAGAAAACCAAACGAGGCAAACTTGCTTGGATGCGGATATGCTTACGACCCTACTTTAAAGACCTCCTGGTAGGAAGTGCCGATCCTGTAGCATGTGTTTTTTGATTCTTCCTACAGACATTTCATATGTTTGCTTTTGAGATCTCTATCTCTCTCTCTCTCTCTTTTGTTGCTGAATTCCATGTTTATTGCCTGGGCCACAAGCCCATTCTTTCTGGTCATCTTCCACCCACCTCGGGGCTATGCTCACCGAGCCACTCCTCCACTTGCTGTGGCTGGAAACCGTAGTCCGTGCCCAAGCAGCACAGCACCGGGTGGAGCTAAGCAGGGCGAGGGTGACCCGGTCCCTGGGTACTGGAAAGAGGATGATGGATCACAAAACTTAGGGATTTCATCTCAGGGGCATTTGACAAACAACACTATCCAACCATAAACATGCGGAATAAATCAAGAAGAAATGGATGTCACCTGAGAAAACAGGGTTGATCAACAACAGAGCGACCTTCGGTAAAAACGATGACCTAATATATCAATACACGGATGTGGGCCTTGCAATATTTCATAGCAGGCAATGGGAATGGACACCCCATGCTTCATCCGCGAAGATGAATTTACATGTCCAAAATTGTCCAACAGGATTTCCAATGGATATGTCTGGTTCGCTGCAGTTTAAGGGTAGCTGGGGTGAAACGAGCAAACCATTGGATTCTTCAGATTGAGTCAATCCAAGTCACTGTTTCATCCCACGTTTGGACTCTAATCACTAGCCAGCCACTACGATATTGACTACTAGGATTAATATGTATTAATATTAATCATCAATCAAAGTGAGTGACATTGAATGACCCAACGACAAAAATATGACTAAACATGAAGCAACTTTCTGGCTCCAAAGCCTTAAGCCGCTGCATTCAATGTGCCCACCTGATTATTCTCCCAGCATTGGGACGGTCCCAAGGCCATCCCGCCAGCCCGAGGCCAAGAGAAGATATGTGTGATATTTTTGTGGCATTGTATTGTATCATATATTATCCATTATTATCCGATGTCTTTTTAAGTTTAGACTCTTGAATTTTGCCATTGTTGGGGGTTTGGCCGTTTGGCCTATGAAGATTAAAATTCAACCAGTCGAAATAGAGACAAAGCGTCCAAATATTGTGGCGTTTGATGGTGTTCCATGACTGGTCCATGACCACAGGATCATTCATGAAAATTGCAGCCAGCACTTTCGCACCGTATGGAATATGGCTACGTGGAACTCGGCTGGAATGTGCTGAAACTCTGGCAAACTCCACGTTCAAATGATCGATATTGGTTTGCTTGGGTTACTGGCTGTGTCCCCGATGACCCATCACCTGATCTACTAAGTCTACTATTTGCCAACTTCCTACCTAGTCTACTATTCCTCCGGAACAGGTTTTCAGTCGAGTCTACTCTTCGCAAGCTACCATGGGTAAATACACACACACACACGTTTATCCGAAATCAGCCATGCCTCTCATAGAAGCACCCATCAATCCCATCACACCAGAAATCTTGATCCCCGAGGTATTGGCAGCAAGATGATGGATTCAACACGACCATCTCTAATTGTTTCATTAATATCTATCAATATATATATATATATATAATATAGGGTAGATGATGGTAGCAGCGCTCATTTTCCCATATCTGCTAATTAATGAAAATGCACCTGTATACATGCACATAAAAAAAGGTAAGCACATCTGCACTTCTAGTGTGCATAGACAAATGTTCAGTTAGATGTTACCTGAGTGTATATGAACATGCGGTATATATATATACACCAACCATTTATCTTTATATAATAAATTTTAATAATGCATATTTATTAGTCAGTTGGGGTTATTAATTAATCCCAATATATGGAAAAATGAAAAATGTTCCAAACCACCAACCAGATGATCAACATTGATCAACCCCATTTTCAGATCAACCCGCATCTTGCTTAAAGGGCCCTTGTTCTTTTTCCGGCGTCAACGAGGACTCAGATCTGACAAATCTCAGCTGCGAAGGAGTGAAGCCCTGACAGCGCTTTGGTGGTGGTATGCCCGTGTATACCATCTGGCAATGTGACATGGCAATGGAAAATCCAAGCTTTTTTAAGGGAACATATTAATGAACACATGGGATGATCATGTCATGCCTGATTTTCCCAGAACCGCGCGGTAGACGCAGAAATTTCTTGATACCTATAGTCCCCAAGCACGCCCCAATGTGGTCCCCATATGGGGCAATGATGTGAGGTGATGATCTGATGGCTAGCGGCTAGCAGTTTTTAAGGAAGACAGCCCAACCAAGTCTCCCCAGTTTTCCATCGATTTCCGTCGAGCGCGCGTCACCTCCTCTGCTCAGCGGTAGCCGCCAGACGCTGCTCCTTGCTCCAAGAGGTGAATCAAGGTGCGCCTGGGCGAATCCGTGACTTTCCATAGGAAAAATCGACGAAACCATAAGTTATCATACGTTCTTCCAGTGACATATATCATATATCGATAATTAAATATGAGGGAAACACCTCTAAACTTCCATTGAATATCATTGAATCCATCGGATATATATATATATATAGATATAGATATAGATATAGGCTAAAAAACTCGTAACCTACGAAATGGAAAACTTGTCATCCATTGAAGGGGTGAAGTTCTACCACACCTTGAGCAACTGGCACAGCTTGACAAATGCATGGTATCTAGTCAGTATGCATATTGTCCATGCAATAGAAAGCAAACGGCATGAAACGTTTGGCATGAACGATAAATCATCCCGTACGGATGTATAGTCATGCAGCTCTGCTCATTTCAATTTCATGGAATGGTCACCACTGTAATCAGAGGCATTATTGTTTCTATCCCTGTCAAGCAACGCACATCCACATCAACATCATCATCATCAACATCATCATCATCAACATCATCCTCATCCTCGTCGTCGTCATCGTTGTTATCAATATGAGTAACAGTACATATGTACACACACACATATATATATATATACAGTACCCACACACATACACATATATATACAGTATATATATACAGTATATATATACAGTATATATATATATATATACAGTATATATATATACAGTATACATATATGTATATAAACCTAGTTATGTATATAATATATACACAGCATATTTGAACTAGTTATATATATATATATAATTAATCATATATATATAGTTATACATATATATATATATACATACACACATTATATGCATGTATAAGTACATGCAACAGTCCCACCAATAAGTCCATCCCAAACATGCACAGATCCCTGTGCCACGTGAGACACATTTGCAGCTGAATTCCCTGCAGTCGAAGCCGATCCCCCGTCTGCCTCAAGGTTTCCCGGCTGCTTTGGGCACGGGTTTGACTTCGAGGGCTGCAAGGTTGGCACGAAAGCATAAATTTACAAAACATACTATCCACCCGAACTAACATAAATCCTGCCAAACAGGAGATTGGAAGATTCATTTCCTCTAAACATTGGCAACATGGCCTATGTTTAGGGTCAAGCTATTAGTTGGGCTAACCTGAAAACAAAAACAGCAGCTACATATACATCTTCAAAACATGTTGAGCCAAAAAAACACACACACACACAAAAAAAAAACACATCCAAGTTGCCGGTAGATGTTCTCCAGATTTCTCATCATCCGAAGGTACAGCAGCACTGGTGGCGTGACGGCTACAAACCTCAGCGGACAATTTGACAGTGCGTGGTGCCTGGTGCTTGGGTGGGCTCTAAAAGCAGACATGAAAATCTGGGTTAAATAGTTTTTTGAGGGATTATATGTGGAACATCTGTGACTTTAAGGGATTGTTATGTGATTTGATGAGATTTTAACCGGCAAGATGGAGGTGTCTTCAAATCGGGGACCTGAAATTATTCCCAAATGGTCATATCTTATAAAAAAAAGGCCATTGGGGTCCTCCAATCTTAAGAGAAGTGGGATTTTCATGGATTTTCGGCAAAACAAATTGGCTTTTGCCATCTAAGGGATCTTAAATCTTAAGCATCAAAACAGATACCCTCTGGTAATTTAACATAGCTACTGAAATTTGCCCATTTATTCATTCATATATAGTGGATTTCCCCATGTAAAATTGATATTTTCCATAGCTATATTAAATTACCAGAGGGTATGAAACACAACTTCAAGGCGCAGGCATGGAGAACATGGAGAACACGGTGCCTGAACTTGCAGGAAAGCCATCTGGAGCATCAGATTTTTAGGTTACCCGATTGCGACCCATGACCATAAAATTCACATATAGAACGAATTCTAGAACAACTACCCTCTGGTAAATCAACATAGACCCTGAATATCACCAATTTTTACTGGACACTAATCTTCCAGCCCCTATCTGGCAGGGTCTATGTTAATTTACTGGACGGTACCCTCTGGTAAACTAACATAGCTATTGACAATGGCAATTTATAGTGAATTTTCCAAATAAAAATGGTGATTTTCCATAGTTATGTTAATTTACTGGAGGGTATATCCAACTGATTCTTGAAAACCGGCTCCTTAACTCCCATTTTTTCGGGGGACATGAGAACACATCACGCATCCCTCGAGAGCCCCTCCATCCACTGGGTTGAAGTGCCAATGGCTTGTTGCAAGTGCAATAGTGTGACAGTGCATCATTAATGATTTTAAACACTTAGGCGGCAGGCACATATAGATTCCTATAAAATTATATATTTATATACACGTATGCATGTACGTCACACAAACCTTTTTTGTCTCTAATCATGTGCGTGCATACTTCTATGTAAATACATATGCTGCATGAGCTGTGGCGCAAAGAACGCCCCCGGTACGTCGACAAGGTTCTCTGACAGGTGCGGCTCGATATCTCTCATTCCTGGTAAGGAGATCTGTGGAACACCATGGGTTTGTCAAACAAGCATACGGCGAACTGGCCCCGAACATAGCGATCGAAATTGGGGAAAGTATGGGAAAGTGATAATGCAGCATGGAATTTAGGCCATTTGATGAGCCCTTGAATCGATCACCGCACCTTGAATCGATCCAAGCTCTCCATTTGAGCGATTGTGAAAACCCTAGGTTCACGGAAAAGACATCCACAAATTTGGGAAGGTCCCATCGCTTACCACACGTTTGTACAATAATGATATATGGTAAACTTGGGGTGTATCGCTTGCAGGAAGCTGCTGCATTTATATATATATATATGTGATGAACCATGAATAATATGTGATATTTGGGTATCGCTAATGTGGATATTAGAGAAATATGATGACATAACCTTGAAAAGGGGTATCGCTAATTTGGGAAGGTCCCATCGCTTACCTCGTGTTTTTAACAATTTCCATCAATTTCCATAAACCAATGTCCGTCGAATACATATTTAGTATTGCCGGGGTTTTTACGGTTGCTCATTTGATCCCGCTGCCAAGTCTCGTGACCCCATCATGGCGAGCATGTCAGTCAGGAAGGCGCAGAAGTCTTGCCAAGACATCCTCAGGTCCGGTATGCTGGTTGAGTCACCCCCTCTGACTCCTGGGCCCCTGGGATATCGATATCCTGGGATCGCACATGGCTGCAGAATGAGATCTATGGAAAAGAACAATCGCCGACATGAGCAGGTCCTGACTGGAGAACACTGAACAAAAGCCCATCGATACGACAAAAGCTCATGATATATCATTGCCAAAGAATAATGATCAATTTGCAGATGTTTTAACTATTACACATGAGGATCTCACATTGTTGGGCAAAAAGATTCTAGTTTTGAAATGAACCCATCCTCAACACCCATCCTCAACACCCATTTATAGGTGGATGTAAAAGCTAAAACTCATTGTTTGGTCAAATCCATTAATAATTCGTCTCCTGCAATAGTGGAAAAGCCACCTTTTGTAGATCATTTTCCGAACCAAAAAACCATTGGCTTTCCACATCTGTCTTCGTTTACCCCAGGGTGTCCCTCCCTACCCTCCCTATGCTGATCGCTGAAATACCCAATGTTGAAACATGTTGAAACGCTTCAATTCCCATTTTCTGTGGGATCCTCGGCTAAGCATCAACTTGCCACCATCAAAGGCATCGAGGTAGAAATCCGTCTCTGCAGGTCCCACTGAGCAGCTGAGCAGTTGGAACTGTCACCATGTGGATGTGTCTCAAAGGAGGAAAATTGGGTAATAGCTATACTGGTTGGTGGTTGCGCTACCCCTCTGAAAAATATGAGTTCATCAGTTGGGATGATGACATTCCCAATTGGAAAATCATCAAATTCATGTTCCAAACCACCAACCAGATGTAGTCGCGAAATGTGATTTGTTTACCAGGGAAAGTCGGCTAGTCGGTGATTCACCCATGGATTTGGGGATGCGCTATGTCCAAACTAAATCCCATTGACAAAACCTCACATGTTCAGACTTAAAAAAATCTTAGCAGGTAGGCTTCAAGATTCGAGAACCCCAACCATACTTAACCTATAACCCCCGCTTGCTGCATGTTATATAAGTTATATCCATTGTCGCACTCTTAGCAGCTTACCTACATAACAACGCTCCCAAGGTGACTGCTTGGTGGTTCAGATTTGCCAAAACAGTTCCTCCAAAAATTGGGGTGTCACCTGACTGGGTTGGCAGAATTCCCATGAAACGAACATCATATAGAAATCATTAGAAATCTTGTTGGTGAAAAATCCCTTGAAATCCCAATTTCGGATGGTGAAATCATGAATTGATAAACTCGTTGGTGGTTTGGAACATGAATTTGATGATATTGGAAATGTCATCATCCCAACTGACTTTCATATTTTTCGTGAAATTATTTGAAATCACCATTCCTCCAGGGCTTTTCGGCTTTTCTTTCAGCCCAGCCTGTGGACTCTCCCGCCGTGGGAATGCGAATCAGCACGTGCCGCGGCACGTTGGCCAAGGGGTGGCAGATCAGGCCGCAACGCCGCGCCACGGCTACCCAGACCTGGTGGGTCATGTCACCTTTTAGTAACATAGAATCCATAGACACAAATGACAGAGATGAAGAATCATTGAAGTATTTAAGTCAAGTCTAGTGAATATCATACTTATACAAACTTATACACTTGGAATGGGAGATTCGCGGAAATACTTTGACACTTGGAACGTCCTGTGACATAAACATTAGATACATACAGATAGTCATATAGTGCAAAATAAGCAAATGAACAAACATCTATCAGACATCTATTGATATGAGCAAGTTCATGCAACCACCAAAGTGAAGCTGCTTTCAAATTGATTTTGGCTGACTCTGGATTATCTCTGGTTTTGGTAATGTATCTATCTAGTCAGCACAGCCAGAGGGATGGATAGGAAGGATCACTAAGGTCTGGGTCAATAGCTGAAGATGAAACCAAAATGAACGTTGGGATTTCAAACCCTTACTTTTTGACCCATACCCAAGTCTCTAGACATGCCCAGCCCTTGGTACCCCTAGCTTTCACAAATGGTGGTTCCTCCACCACCACCGCCAACAACAACAACTACAACTACAACAACAACAACAACAACACCAACAACACCAACACCAACACCAACACCAACACCAACAACAACAACAACAACAACAACAACAACAACAAACAACAACAACAACAACAACACAAAAAACTCTCCTAGTCATCCTGAAGGCGAGTTTTGGATCAACAAACGCCACAGCGTTTCCAACGCCAAGGAGCCACGGACAAGGAAATTGGGATCCCTTTTTTATTCGACAGCACTGAGTGCAGCATGGAGTTTTCCTCAGATATGGCGAGCGCTGACAGTTTTGTGGTTCTGTGCACCATGCCATGCCCAGGTTTTTCGCAGCCACAGTTGCAAGGTCAAGTCTTGGGAAAGCGCGGAAAAATCATGGAACATCGATCGGAAAATCCCAATCTTGCGTGGTTTCACTACAGCATCTCCTCCAAGCTGGGTGTCTGGATTGTAGTAATCCGCCTGATTGCCCTGCAATCCAAACTCCTCGTAGAGTGCTTGGTTCAGGGCGGCCACCATGGATCTTACTTCTGCCTTGCGGGCATGGCTTGATATCTGCATCGATAGTTCCATATGAAAGATATCTAAGGGTCAATTAGTTCATCTTTCAAAAAATAGGGAAACACAAACCAGGAAATGCAGAAATCTTTGCCACGAAAAAGTCGAACTTGCACTTTCTTTGCTGATTATATAAACCAGGCATGTTAAGCCGTTTGAGAAATGAACTATGATTAAGGCCATATTTCTCGGATACCTATTCACAGTTTTAAATTCACCAAGCTGCACCCCTTTCAAGAAAAAAAAAGATCCCAATTTCTGGTAGTTTGAGCATAAGTAAATCACTGGTAAAAAAACACGTCATTCCCACTAGATTCCCTCATTTCCGGCAGAATTCTTTGAATCATACAACCAAACTATTGAACATCCAATGGTTCCCCGTTTGGAAAATGATCTGGGAAAGTAACCAACAATTAACTCAGCAAGTCAAGGCCTACGTAAACGTTTCTGGTCCGCAGGTGGATACTTTTCACAATTTCATATCTCTGCAACCTCTACCACCACCCAGAAATTTTCATGTATATGCCAATTTCTGGTAGATTATCAAATTTAGCATGAATAATCACTGCAAAACATATCGTAATTCCGAAGAATCCCACTAGATCTCCACCTTCAAATTTACAAATAGATGTGGAAAAGCCATAAAAAAACCCACAATTTAGATTTTCCCAAGGTTTCTGGCTATTTTCCACATCTTTTTACGTCTCGTTTTCCATAGGTTTCCCCAGGCCCCCTAGGCCCCCCCGAGGGCCCCCACCCGCGACAGCGCCGCGGCCGCGTTGGACGAAGCTCTTCGGGCGCCCAGCTGTTGCGCGCGCTGCGCCAGGCGGTCCAGAGTCAGGCGCATGGAAGGCACGTTGGCAGTGGGATAGCCCCACTGGGAGAGGATCAAGGCCTTGGAAGATGGAGGACATTGGAAAATGGTGAGTTCATGGTGATTTTACCCACAAAAATATGGATTTGATAGGCGTTTAACCAACACACATGGTGATTTACTGGAGATTTAACCATTAAAAACAAAAGTGTAATGGGGTATAGTAGGATATTAAATGGATTATAAGATGGACATATCAATTCATGGATATGCCTAGGAGCTAACAAGAATAGAAGCCCTTATGTTTTTCTTTTTGGCAAATGACGTTGGGAAATTGTGATTTAACATGATCTATCATGATCTAACCATTACAAACGAAGATGTAGTGGGATACAATGGCGATTACATTAATGAACCATATTTATTCATATTTCATGTTGCATACTTGAACATACTTGAACAATATCCAAGGAAATGTCAGATTTCTTTGGAGGTTTCCGCAGCAATCTTCGTGCCTCACATTCACGCAGTCAAGTGTCTCCTTCCTCCAAGGTGGCCTTGGATGTGATCGAACTATATCGAAGTCAGCACCAATTGACCAGAACATATATGAACATTTGCCACAGAACAAGGCCATCATCTCCATCATCTCCACTGTCCATTCATCGCAATCCATGTGGAACATCGCTGGTTCAAGGTGCTGCGCTGCGATCTTGGATGAGCTGCGTCCAGCGCTGCTCAGCCCATTGGTTGGTGATTTGGATGCGCACGTCTTTGGCCAAGGGCCGCAACCTCAAAAGCACGGAGATGACTGCGTTGTCTGATTTTTGACCCATCTCTGCCTGAGAAAAGATGGAGAAAACCTGAGAAGGTGGAGAAAACCTATAGAGACCATGCATTTTTTCCCAAGAAAAAATATGGACATGGTCCATGTTTTGGGGGTTCCATGGCCCGCACCTTTTTGATGGTACGTGATTTATTTGATGAACTTCTGCCATACTTTTTGGGGGATGGATTTGGTTGCCCAACTCATGGGAACGATAGATTGACCGGGGCCCTCGGATCTCCTGCAAACAAATAGATGGTTTTGGTTGTTTAGATGAATATCAACCTCCCTATCAAAATTGCAAACAGTATCAAGTTGTGCTATAGTTATGCTATAATATATATATATTATATCTGTTATATTATGTATATTTATTTATTCATTCAAGCTGTTCTAAGCTATCTATATCCATCCAAGGTTGGCCCAGTGTTTTCTTTCTCATCTCAGGCACTGCAGATCCGGCCCATTCTCCAGGTGCAACAAGATGTCCAAGGCGTTGGGGCCCAGTTGATGCATCCTGAAAGCGCCCAAAGTGGTGGGGAATCTGAGGCAAGTTCCATGTGGATACCCCAAAATGGTGGATTTTTAAGGGAAAATCAATCTATAAATGGATGAAATGGTGGATTTGTAAGCGGAAATCCATCTATAAATGGATGAAATGGTGGATTTATAAGGGAAAATCCATCTATAAATGGATGAAATGGTGGATTTATAAGGGAAAATCCATCTATAAATGGATGACATGGTGGATTTGTAAGGGAAATTCCATCTATAAATGGATGAAATGGTGGATTTATAAGGGAAAATCCATCTATAAATGGATGAAATGGTGGATTTGTAAGGGAAAATCCATCTATAAATGGATGAAATGGTGGATTTGTAAGGGAAAATCCATCTATAAATGGATGAAATGGTGGATTTGTAAGGGAAAATCCATCTATAAATGGATGAAATGGTGGATTTGTAAGGGAAAATCCATCTATAAATGGATGACATGGTGGATTTATAAGGGAAAATCCATCTATAAATGGATGACATGGTGGATTTGTAAGGGAAAATCCATCTATAAATGGATGACATGGTGGATTTGTAAGGGAAAATCCATCTATAAATGGATGACATGGTGGATTTGTAAGGGAAAATCCATCTATAAATGGATGACATGGTGGATTTGTAAGGGAAAATCCATCTATAAATGGATGAAATGGTGGATTTGTAAGGGAAAATCCATCTATAAATGGATGACATGGTGGATTTGTAAGGGAAAATCCATCTATAAATGGATGAAATGGTGGATTTGTAAGGGAAAATCCATCTATAAATGGATGACATGGTGGATTTGTAAGGGAAAATCCATCTATAAATGGATGACATGGTGGATTTGTAAGGGAAAATCCATCTATAAATGGATGAAATGGTGGATTTATAAGGGAAAATCCATCTATAAATGGATGAAATGGTGGATTTGTAAGGGACAATCAATCTATAAATGGATGAAATGGTGGATTTGTAAGGGAAAATCCATCTATAAATGGATGAAATGGTGGATTTGTAAGGGAAAATCCATCTATAAATGGATGGCATGGTGGATTTGTAAGGGAAAATCCATCTATAAATGGATGACATGGTGGATTTATAAGGGAAAATCCATCTATAAATGGATGAAATGGTGGATTTGTAAGTGAAAATCCATCTATAAATGGATGAAATGGTGGATTTATAAGGGAAAATCCATCTATAAATGGATGAAATGGTGTATTTGTAAGGGAAAATCCATCTATAAATGGATGACATGGTGGATTTGTAAGGGAAAATCCATCTATAAATGGATGAAATGGTGGATTTATAAGGGAAAATCCATCTATAAATGGATGAAATGGTGGATTTGGTACTCTAATAATGGTGAAATGGTGGATTTGTAAGGGGAAAATCCATCTATAATGGGATGAACAATGGTGGATTTATAATGGGAAAAAATCATCTATAATGGATGACATGGTGGATTTGTAAGGGAAAATCATCTTAAATGGATGACATGTGTATTTGTAAGGGAAAATCCACTCTAAATGGATGACATGGTGGATTTGTAAGGGAAAATCCATCTATAAATGGATGAAATGGTGGATTTGTAAGGGAAAATCCATCTATAAATGGATGACATGGTGGATTTGTAAGGGAAAATCCATCTATAAATGGATGACATGGTGGATTTGTAAGGGAAAATCCATCTATAAATGGATGACATGGTGGATTTGTAAGGGAAAATCCATCTATAAATGGATGACATGGTGGATTTGTAAGGGAAAATCCATCTATAAATGGATGACATGGTGGATTTGTAAGGGAAAATCCATCTATAAATGGATGACATGGTGGATTTGTAAGGGAAAATCCATCTATAAATGGATGAAATGGTGGATTTGTAAGGGAAAATCCATCTATAAATGGATGAAATGGTGGATTTGTACATCTATAAATGGATGAAATGGTGGATTTGTAAGGGAAAATCCATCTATAAATGGATGACATGGTGGATTTATAAGGGAAAATCAATCTATAAATGGATGACATGGTGGATTTGTAAGGGAAAATCCATCTATAAATGGATGACATGGTGATTTGTAAGGGAAAATCTATCTATAAATGGAAGACATGGTGGATTTGTAAGGGAAAATCCATCTATAAATGGATGACATGGTGGATTTGTAAGGGAAAATCCATCTATAAATGGATGACATGGTGGATTTATAAGGGAAAATCCATCTATAAATGGATGAAATGGTGGATTTGTAAGGGAAAATCCATCTATAAATGGATGATGACTGGGGATAGCCCTATTTTAAGAAACCCCCAGTATATCATCCAACATCCCGGACTGTCACCCAGCATCCCGGTGGCACACGTGTCGGCTTTTTTTTTGGGGGTGCTATAACTAGATTTAACTGGTATTTATCGACTGAAATGGGGGGGATCATTCTAACTGTGAATTGTGTTGGCCAATTTTTTTCCTGAATAAATGGTGACTTTTAACCAACAATGATGAGTAAGTAGCCAATGAAACCAACAAAATGCGGATCATTCGTACAAAATACAATTTGATACAATTTGCTTAAGATTGTGGTGCTCTCCCAGTTGCTCTTGGAGGGTGATCGGACTGATTCTATGGCAAACTTTGAACTTAAAGAACTTTGAAGTTTGAAGCATCGCCAAGAGTCATTGACCATCCCCAGAAAAGTATCAACTTACAACTGGTTGCCCTGGATTTGTTTTTTTCCTCCGTGGCTGGCATGAAAAAAATCCGGCAGGTGGCTGATTCAAGATCTGCTCCGCTGCATCACTTTCCTTCCCCGCTGCTTCGGACAAGCGCCGACGGACCTCCTTGTCCTGCCGGGGCGGCGCTGTCTGCTGTCGGGAATTGGGGACGTCCCATGTACTGACGCCGCCACGGCCGAAATCACAATGCATCAAAGCAAAGCTAAGCCTATCGCGGATTTTCATGGATTTTTGCATACTGTATAGTAGTCTTTGTTTACCGGGTGGAAAACTTGACAAAGAAAACACTGAAGGGATGCCATGAGAACGTATGACGAGATGTGACTTCCAAACAACGATTTCCAAGGGAGACTGCAAACTTCATCACGTAGATCATGTCTATACTTGGAAGCAATAACCATGCTTTTGATAAGATGTTTTTTGCTACATCACCTTAAGGAAGATGTTCCGTGTTTCTTCCCAACCCTTTCTCCGGCGACGTAATGCTCAAGGCACATGCTGCCACGGCTCCTGCTTGCAGCGATTGAGAAAGAAACCGAAGGCATCAGACTGCGCCACTCCCGCGCGGTATTCTTCCACCTCAGCACAAATGGGATGAAGCGCAGGGGTCGTTGCAGAAGCGAATCCTTGGATGACAACTTGATCAACGCATTCAAAAAAAAACTGGTGGGTAGCTGGGTAGCCTCTTCCGAGCAATGCCATCCATCACATGTTTCCTGATTTGTCAACATCTGGAGGTATCTCTTTGTGTGTTTTATTGGGTAATTGGGTAATTTATCTTGTAGTTCATGCAGCTTTTTCCAAGTCTTGGCCTTGGTGACACCAACTTCCCGACCTATCACTGCGTTCATGTTCAACCGCCCAAAACCCACGAGTCAAGATCAGTCCAAAAAAAAAAACTTCAGCTGGTCAATTTCAAGGACACTGTCATATCTATAGCCATAACTAGCACACTTTACTATAATCAAATAATCATAACAGTACACTATAATCATAACAGTACTATATAATCATCTATATCAGAATTGATGGTTTTGTAATCAAACCCTGCAAACAATGAAATCGTTGAAAATAAAGAAAACAAATTTAAAACAACAATGATTGCTACCAGATTAGGTTTGTTTTTGAATTGATATTCATCTTGTATCTTGGAAAATGTACACTTATTTAATGTCCAATAATTTCACGTGATTGTTTAATTGATTATTGAATTCTAGTGCATTTTTCTGTACTTGTCTATTTATTTTTGAAATGGGGGAAAGACAGTTTCTTGAAACTGTGTGGTCCTATCCTAGACTCTGACTGATGCAGGTTTCATGGATGTTCCATGGAGCTTCCATGCAGGTTTCATGTTGGTTACATGCTGGGTTTGCAAATTTAGCTTACTGGTGGGTAACCTCCATGACAACTCCCTGGAACCTGCATGGAATCTGCATGGAACCTCCATGGAACCTGCATCAGTCAGAGTGCATGATAAAACCAACAAGTGTAGATAGAGGCACCACCTCCATAACGCACATGGAAACTGCATGAAATTCTACATCAATTCTCCATGGAACCTGCATGGAACCTCCATGAAAACTGCATCAGTTAGAAGGCGCCATGCAACCATCACGTTTAGACACAAGAAACAACGGTTACCTACATGAAACCTCCATGAAACCTACATCAATTCTCCATGGAACCTGCGTGGATACTCCATCAAGGAAGACGCCATACAATCATCAGGTGTAGATACAGGGAACATGTTCGATTTTTTTTAAAATGGAAACTACATGGAAACCATCAGACGCTTTGATGCAAATCGATCGCAAATCGATCGTAACTAAATTGATCGCACAAAAACTGTTATAGCATCTGTGCGTTTTGATGTCGTTTTCACTAGGCCATCTGTCTTTGCTGATGTTTCTTTTGGTTTCTGTACTGGAAAAGTCAAATTCTTCCAGAATTTCTATTTATCCTGAGTGTTCGTTGCTTGGCGGTTTTGATGTTGGCAAGGCCAGGGGTTCAAGTGTGGACTTTGTAATGTGTCATTTTGATGTAGGATTTCGACGTTGTTTTGCGATCATTTTGCGATCCTTTGTCGATCGATTTGACATCGGCCTAAAAACGAATAAGAAGGCCATAAAACAACATCAATATGACATCGACAAGAACCTAAGGCCTGTAGAAAACGGCACTTGCCAATTCATATATTCATATGGTTTGGTGGTCATAGAATCCAAAATGACATAAGTGAGTTCATTTCTCTTGGTGGTTTCGTCTTGTAATTAACTTAGTTTGCAATATTATATGTTAGGAACCTCCATCAAGTTGACACCGAGACAGACATAAAACTCCATCAAAATGACATCAAACAAAAATTCACATTTGAAACCTTGCCAAAATCGAAACCACCAAGCAGTGAACACTCAGGATAAATAGAAACTCTGGAAGAAATTGACTTTTCCAGTGCAGAAACAAAAAGGGACATCAACAAAGACAGATGACCTAGTGAAAACGACATCAAAATGCACAGATGCTATGACAGTTTTTGTGCGTTCTTTTACGATCAGTTTACGATCGATTTACGATCGATTTGCGATCAATTTGCGTCAAAGCGTCTGATGGTTTCCACGTAGTGTCCTCTAAAAAAAAAGTCTCTGTTCCCTGTATCTACACCTGGTGCTTGTATGGCGCTTCTTTGATGGAGTATCCATGCAGGTTCCATGGAGAATTGATGTAGGTTTCATGGAGGTTTCATGTAGGTTCCGTGGTTTCTTGTGTCTCAACGTGATGGTTGCATGGCGCCTTCTAACTGATGCAGTTTTCATGGAGGTTCCATGCAGGTTCCATGGAGAATTTATGTAGATTTCATGCAGTTTCCATGTGCGTTATGGAGGTGATGCCTCTATCTACACTTGTTGGTTTTACCATGCACTCTGCCTGATGCAGGTTCCATGGAGGTTCCATGCAGATTCCATGCAGGTTCGAGGGAGTTGTCACGGAGGTTACACACCAGTAAGCTAAATCAGCAAACCCAGCATGTAACCAACATGAAACCTGCATGGAAACTGCATGGAAACCCCATGGAAACTCCATGATACCTGCATCAGTCAGAGTACTGTACAGGATAGGACCGCAATGGAATTTGTTTCAAGAGAAACTGTTTTTTTTTCTTTTCTTTGCTTTCATGTAGATTATTTAGATCGAATAGATAGGTAAGGTCACTTGGATAGAGTAGGCATATTAGATAGATCAGATAGAAAAGGTAGACTAGGTGGATTAGATAGATTAGATAGATTAATAGACAGACTTGAAAGATTAGAGAGGTTGGATTAGATTAGCTTAGATTAGATTAGATAAGATCAGAGAAGATTAGACTAGTTTGATAGACAAATAGACAAACAAATAAATAGATAGATTATGTAGATAGATGAGATAGGTTGATAGATTGATAGATTGATAGATAGATAGATAGACAGACAAACAAACAAATAGATATATTGGATATGATATATTAGATAAGTAAATAGATAGACAGACAAACAAACAAACAGATAGACAGATACTTAGAAAGATAGATTAGATTAGATTAGATTAGATTAAGATTTAGATTTAGATTTAGGATTTAGAATTAGGATTTAGATTTAGGATTTAGATTTAGGATTTAGATTTAGGATTTAGAATTAGGATTTAGAATTAGGATTTAGAATTAGGATTTAGAATTAGGATTTAGAATTAGGATTTAGAATTTAGAATTAGGATTTAGAATTAGGATTTAGAATTAGGATTTAGAATTAGGGATTAGGCGGGATTAGGATTAGGGATTAGAATTAGGGACTAGAATTAGGGATTAGAATTAAGGATTAGAATTAGGGATTAGAATTAGGGATTAGAATTAGGGATTAGAATTAGGGATTAGAATTAGGGATTAGAATTAGGGATTAGGATTTAGGATTATGATTTAGAATTAGGATTTAGCATTAGGATTTAGCATTAGGATTTAGCATTAGGATTTAGCATTAGGATTTAGCATTAGGATTTAGCATTAGGATTTAGCATTAGGATTTAGCATTAGGATTTAGCATTAGGATTTAGCAATAGGGTTTAGCATTAGGATTTAGCATTAGGATTTAGCATTAGGATTTAGAATTAGGATTTAGAATTAGGATTTAGAATTAGGATTTAGAATTAGGATTTAGAATTAGGATTTAGAATTAGGGATTTAGAATTAGGATTTAGAATTAGGGATTTAGAATTAGGATTTAGAATTAGGATTTAGAATTAGGATTTAGAATTAGGATTTAGAATTAGGATTTAGAATTAGGATTTAGAATTAGGATTTAGAATTAGGATTTAGAATTAGGATTTAGAATTAGGATTTAGAATTAGGATTTAGGATTAGGATTTAGAATTAGGATTTAGAATTAGGATTTAGAATTAGGATTTAGAATTAGGATTTAGAATTAGGATTGAGAATTAGGATTTAGAATTAGGATTTAGAAGTAGGATTTAGAATTAGGATTTAGAATTAGGATTTAGAATTAGGATTTAGAATTAGGATTTAGAATTAGGATTTAGAATTAGGATTTAGGATTTAGAATTAGGATTTGGAATTAGGATTTAGAATTAGGATTTAGAATTAGGATTTAGAATTAGGATTTAGAATTAGGATTTAGAATTAGGATTTAGAATTAGGATTTAGAATTAGGATTTAGAATTAGGATTTAGAACTAGGATTTAGAACTAGGATTTAGAACTAGGATTTAGAATTAGGATTTAGGATTAGAATTAGGATTTAGAATTAGGGATTTAGAATTAGGATTTAGAATTAGGATTTAGAATTGGGGATTAGAATTAGGGATTAGGCGGGATTAGGATTAGGGATTAGAATTAGGGACTAGAATTAGGGATTAGAATTAGGGATTAGGATTAGGGATTAGAATTAGGGATTAGAATTAGGGATTAGAATTAGGGATTAGGGATTAGGATTAGGGATTAGGATTAGGGATTAGGGATTAGGATTAGGGATTAGGATTAGGGATTAGGGATTAGGATTAGGGATTAGGATTAGGGATTAGGATTAGGGATTATGATTAGGGATTAGGGATTAGGATTAGGGATTAGGATTAGGGATTAGGGATTAGGGATTAGGATTAGGGATTAGGATTAGGGATTAGGATTAGGGATTAGGATTAGGGATTCGGATTAGGGATTAGGATTAGGGATTAGGATTAGGGATTAGGATTAGGGATTAGGATTAGGGATTAGGATTAGGGATTAGGATTAGGGATTAGGATTAGGGATTAGGATTAGGGATTAGGATTAGGGATTAGGATTAGGGATTAGGATTTGGGATTAGGATTAGGGATTAGGATTAGGGGTTAGGATTAGGGATTAGGATTAGGGATTAGGATTAGGGATTAGGATTAGGGATTAGGATTAGGGATTAGGATTAGGATTAGGGATTAGGATTAGGGATTAGGATTGGGGATTAGGATTGGGGATTAGGATTGGGGATTAGGATTAGGGATTAGGATTAGGGATTAGGATTAGGGATTAGGATTAGGGATTAGGATTAGGGATTAGGATTAGGGATTGGGATTAGGGATTGGGATTAGGGATTAGGATTAGGGATTAGGATTAGGGATGAGGGATTAGGATTAGGGATTAGGATTAGGGATTAGGGATTAGGATTAGGGATTAGGATTAGGGATTAGAATTAGGGATTAGGATTAGGGATTAGGATTAGGGATTAGGATTAGGGATTAGGATTAGGGATTAGGATTAGGGATTAGGGATTAGGGATTAGGATTAGGGATTAGGGATTAGGGATTAGGATTAGGATTAGGGATTAGGATTAGGATTAGGGATTAGGATTAGGGATTAGGGATTAGGATTAGGGATTAGGATTAGGGATTAGGATTAGGGATTAGGATTAGGGATTAGGATTAGGGATTAGGGATTAGGATTAGGGATTAGGGATTAGGATTAGATTAGATTAGGATTAGATTTAGATTAGTTAAACAAAAAATAAAACAAATACAAAACACACAAAAAAAACACATTTTTCAAATCTATTTTGCACATAACTCTGATTTCCCAGACTTCCAAACCACCAACCCAAACCGCCATATAAGTATAACCTGACTATAATCATCTAAAAAATCATCTAAAGAATCATCCAAAAAAGATCTATAATCATATATACATATATAAAAATAATATATATATAATCTTCTGCGATCATCTGAAATAATATGTATGTTTTCCCATTTTGAGTGATTTTGTCCAAGCCACGGAGCGCTGCCAGAGCGTCAGGGCCGCCTCGTCCCTGGCGCCCGGCGCGTCGTCGGGCACCTGGAAGAGGGCGCCGAAGAGCCAGCGACTGCGACTGCATTGGATCCAGACCTACGAAAATCTGAGGAGATCTGAGATGGGGTGAAATCTATGGTGAATATATGTGAATATATACGGCTAGCACTGGGAACCTGATTTTTGGTGACCCTTATAGTGCTTTGTAGCCTTCCACTATGATGTCTCTGGGTTTGTGAACCCAGAGAAGTGTTTGATGACCCTCTGCGGGGAATCTGCTGTCTGGCACATTGGTTTTCGGCACTTTTTACATAACCCCCCCCCGCCAAAAAAAACCTAGAAAAACTCTAGGAAAAACCTCAAATGAACCCTAAAGAAACCCTGAAAAAAACGCATGAAAGTGTATATAGTGAAGTACCCGTGGGGAGTAGCGCACGTGCTGCGGGTACTAATATATACCTAGGTGTAGCAAAATATACAGTATCACTATGGCGGTTGGGGGAGATGGTGAAATTCATCGTGAAGATATGGAAAGTGCGTTTAACACTGGGGTGTATGATGAATTTGACATTAATGGCTGAATGATTTTCTCCGATTTGATAGGGTGGCTCATCTCGGAGCCAACTGGGATCTGATCAGAAAGATGCTGAAAAAAGCGGTTTAATTTGAATATGATAACCCAACTGGACAGGAACTATATAATTGGTTAGATTCATGGTGATTGATTGATAGTTATCGTCATGAGGAAATCGGTAGATACAAAAAAACACAGGGGTGACAGCAACTACAGTATATACTGTAATTAATGTGCTAGGCTGCTAGGATAGTCAGTGATCCTGTAAGTGCTGTCCTGTGATGACGATCGAGGAAATCATCGATTGAGAGAAGCTAATGATTGTGACATGCTGTGATGCCTGTAAGATCAAAATAGTCTAAAAATACTCCCCGACTAATTTACTCCCGGGGGAGTAAATTACTACCCAAAAAATTACGTAAATCAAGGCTCAACTTCCGGGAGTAAATTTAGGCAAAGCAATGCAAAGTGCATTGCCCATAATGCAGTTTGCATTGCTCATAATGCAGTTTGCATTGCTCATAATGCAGTTTGCATTGTTCATAATGCAGTTTGCATTGCTCATAATGCAGTTTGCATTGTTCATAATGCAGTTTGCATTACAAAAAGGAGTAAATATCGATTTAGTCCGGGGAGTAAATTTAGTCCTAGGAGTAAATTTAGTCTTCCAATTTACTCCTAAAAGGAGTAAATTTACTCCAGCGACTAAAGACTAAATCCTTATTTTTGACTAAATTACTCCTAGGACTATTTTTAGACTAATTTGATCTTAGAGGTGATCAGAAAGATATCCGAATTGCATTCTACCGAAATATGCCAAACAAAAATCCAGGAAAACATACCCTCTGGTAAACTAACATAACTATGGAAAATCACCATTTTCAATGGGAAAATCCACTATAAATGGTGATTTTCCATAGTTATGTTAGTTTACCAGAGGGTATTTCAGAGCTACAAGAGAATAGGACATATGCCATGGCAGCTGAGGTCCTGGGTCCTGGTGAGTTTCAGATGACCCAAAGGCTTGATGGAAGAATCCCCAGCGCACTAAACCTCCATTGAGGTCGGGGATTTCCCAGCTAGCCACAAGGCCAACGAATCAACGAATCACCTTTTGCCTTTGGTTGTTCCCAGAGAGCTGCAAATATAGTATCTGGATGTCTGTCAAAATTGAGCCCCAAAAATAAACTATATAGTACGGAGCAATGACAAAAACTCTCGGCCCTCAGGGCTAAACAAATTCAGCACCTTCAATTTTGCAAATAAAATCCAACTTTGGTTTGTTCAAACTTAGGTTCGTTAAAAATCGTTGTATATAACAATTAAGACAACCACATGTTTTTGTTTTTCCAGATTTCAACCCTGGTGTTCTTACCATTTTCAGTTCTAACGTGCTTGGACAGCCGTTGTCTTCCGCACCCCGCATCGCACCTGGTTGCTTCGCGCAGCTTGACACCAGTAGCGCGATACTGTGGCCATTGACAGGACGCCTGGAAGGGATCACATCAGCCAGTGATATAGCTACTAAACCCTCCATTTAGCTATTAAAATGGTGCTTTACCACATCATTTTATATTATTTTTGTAACGATTTTGGAGTATTTGGAGGGTTTTGGTTTATTAAGATTATATAGCTAGTTACGTTGATGTGGGATATTATCCAGAGTGCTTACATTCTGAGACTTTCCGCAGAATTCAATAAGACGTTTTCTAGCAAACAGATTTCAAAGGATTTGATGCAGCTTCTCTCGTTCCTTCTGAATGTCTCAATCCCCGACAGCACCATACCATGGAGAAAGACCCCTTGACTGAGGTATGATAGGTCTGTCTCAAATGAACCCTCCTTCCTCTGAGCAAGACCCCGGTGGTGGTTAATTCTTATTCTTGTATACCCCAACTTGGGGTGATTTAGACCCCCAACTTGGTGTCTAATTCCGGATGGTTTAATGGCATTGTTGATCACACATTATTGGTTCTATACCCACTATGTTTCTTGTACCATCTTATACAGCTAATTATGTTGACTATATACGCACCTTATATGTAAATACATGTGTATATAATGTAATCAGGTGGGTAGCTTATAACTATTTACCCACCTTACAATAGGACCATGTGTATATATATATAATATATATATTTCAGAGATAAAATATAAATTATGCATATCATATGTGTATATCATCATATAACTGGTTGATTTGTAATAATCAACTGAACATTACATGACTGTTACCGCATTCAGGGATGATTCCCCATTCTATAAACAATCATTCCAGTGACGTCACGACGTGAGGTCACTATAAGTCATCCAAATAGCACAATATGATAACATTCTCCCAGCATTCTCCCAGCACTCTCCCATTAAATCACCATGATTCATGGTTAAATCACTCCCATGAAGATCTTCTCACCTGTCACGGAGCTATAGCCGCAAACCATGGGCAACAGCGGCTCAAGGACCTCCGCCATGGCGCACGGAAGCGGCGTTGGCCACTGAAGGTTCCACTGGGGATACACCCAGAGTGTCAGAATGCTTCATCCAACATCTGGAGTATCGATGATTAATGACAGGTTTTTATAGGTCATCTTGAAAATATCGATAAGATACTAGAGTATCTATAATGATAGTATCTAGAAAATGATAATGATTAATGATAATTGGATCTAGGCTTTTATTATAGGTCATCTTGACTGCTTCAGTTTCCGAAAGAAAGTGAACTACAGAAACTCATTTTGGGAATGATTTCCCATACGAAAGGCATCGCTTGGTGAGGTCGGCTAGTGGCTAGCGAGGTCCTTGTAATTTGCCCAGGTCAATGTACGGAAGATCCGGGGACAAATGAGTTGGGCACCATTCACCACTGGATTGTCTTCACCAAACTTGTCTTTATAGCAACCACCTGGGCAAATTATAATAATTCACTAACCTGAAATAAGGCATAATAAGGCCATTTTGGGATGATTCCCCTTACCATGCATGGTTTTGAGACTCGTAGTTTTGGAGGTGACAACTTCGGTTGCCTGTTTCAAAGCCAAATTCGCGACAGCGGTGCAGATCTTGGATGACCCCTTTGAGGGCTCCGACCAGGCGGCCCCTTTTGTTGTTCCCGGGCCGCTATGGCTTCATCATCTCCAAAACAATAGCTATACTAATATAAAACTATAATATAGCATGTATGATTAGATATCCATATGACCATATGTATATAATTAGAAAACATTTATATATAGAATATAATATATATAAATATATGTATATATATATATCCATTTATGACCCGCCTCTGGAATTTCAACTCCAAGGTCCATTATCGTAGACTCTGGTGGTGAGGGTCATCGTGCCAAAGATTTGTGGCACAAAAAACACGCTCTACAGCACAGTAATGTTGTTAAAGCAACAATCAACCACCTCATTGTTGATGATTTATACCATCCATGTATGGTAAACTTGGGATTGTTTATGATTGTTTTCACAACGTTCCCATACAACAAATACCATGCAAAGTCCCAGCGCTAGTTTCCCTCTGCGGGATTTCTTTCTTTTTGCACCGTCGCTGAGTCCAATCCTTGCTGCTCATTGGCAACGCACTCATTGGCAAAGCACTTGGGAAGAGCACCGCACCTGCAGTTAGGCCCCCAAGCAAAACGTTAATCAAAACTACGAGTTGGAACCCATGTTTTCCAAGTTGAAATGAATGGGGTCTCATAATTCCATGTTGATAGGGGTCCAATATACATGGGACATTTTCATTGCACCTTTCCAGCTTCCAACAAGGGAGCCCTCACAGAATGTGTGAATTGGGCAGAATTCACGCACATCCACCGCACATCATATGGCCATATGGAACAAACATATGTCTCGTTGTTGAATTCTATGGCCGTGTTGCTTTCCATAACCGCCATAACCAACCGTCCAGTGGTTGAGAGGAACACAGAAAAAAAGGCCACCAACATCCACCAGTTGAGACCAATCACACATTATAACACTCATTGATTGTGATTTGCTGAAATCATAGACATTTAAGATCATTTAAAAACATTCATTTACTTATATTTACCTTATAAACATTTATAAACTGGAGTCATGCCAGTGTTTTATGTATATAGTTGTCGACAACATTTGACAACATTCCCCGGTGGCTGCTGGTTGGTCATTCCATGGGAGATGATGTTCACAAAAAAACATCAACAGTCAGAGGGTATTGATGTGGGCGTTAGTGCTAGGGTCAACAAAAAACCCCAAAAACCCTAGGCAATCACTACAAGTACAACCATTTTTGACCGAAAAATCAACCAAAAATGCATCTGATGAAGAAAAAGTGCAGCTCATCTGCACATGTTCTCGGATTCTGAAATAAGATGGTTACCACAGATATGCAGCATCCTCTGAGGTCAGAAACCAAGCGGACACGGACGCTGCAAAGACCTGGGTGAAATTCACTGGTAGTAATGGTTGGTGGTGCAATAACCATCTTGAAAAATGATGGAGTTCGTCAATGGGAAGGACGACATCCCATATATGAAATGGAAACTAAAAGTTCACCACCAACCAGTGGGACCAGTCACCATAAACCCACCATATATGCTTGAAACCACCAACCAGACCAAGAATGCAGAGTTCACTGAGTTCATAGAACGGGCATCAGCTGAATTGTGGGTCTGAAGCAGCTGAACGCGATTGTAAGGCCCGACCTACAAACTCGGCAATATTGGAGCTATATTGGTTTTGTTCACGGGCAAAACTCTACGGATCTACCAGCCACTGGGGATCGGCAGTCCACTAACAATATCCAACCGAATCCAACCGAGTTTGCTATGGAAGCTGTGGCCCATTTAGTTCGATGAGTGGCCGTTTTTCTCACATGGTGGTTTCCATATAGCAACTTGTCATCCCGTCATCCCGGGGTGCCTTGACTCGGGCTCATATGGATACCCTCCAGTAAATGAATAGATATAGAATGAGATAAATCATATAGAACGCCTTCCATTTACACATGTTCCCAAGGTTCCCAAGGTTCCCAAGACCCAACAGTCTTCCAGATCGATGTTACATATCAAGGATCCTACAATCCTGGAGCAAAGGAGCCATGACATGGGGATAGAAAACAGACACCCGATGCCAATAAACGCGTTAATATGCATATACTTAATATAATAACTAAAAAACAAATAAATAACTACAAATAAAACTATAGATATAACATTATATAACGATATGTATATACATATGGGCGTGATATATTATATCATACAATACTACATATGTATATATGTATAAAATTTTGAATATTAAGTGTTTATATTATATGAATATATATTGTGTGTGTGACACAGTGGTATGTGAATTTACGTAAGATGGGGATAGAAAAGGGGCAATTTAAGCCTCATCATCAGATCGATTCTAGGGCCTGGGGGCCATATCTTAGATATTCTTCATTCTTGTACCTAGGTTGGTACATAGTCCAGTTATGTCACATTTAAAATGTGGTAGCAAAAACAAGTACTGAAACATCATGAACCAATTCTTACCATCTATCCATGGATTGATTTAACCAAAATTCCCATGGATTTCCTATGGGATTTTCCCATGTTTCATGGGGGTTTCACCTGGCTTCATCCCACTCTCACCGAGCACCCTGGCTCACTCCGAACTCCGTGACCCTGGCAGAACAAGCAGCGGTGTCGACACGATGGGTGTCCTGGGTGTGCTGGGCTATGAAAATCATGGATTAATGGATCTTTAACGGATTTTGAATAGATCTTTAATGGATCTTTCATGGATTTTTTTAAATGAATTTTTCATGGATCTTTAAAAGAATGTCCCAGCCGAGCTCGCGCGCGTTCCTTTCTATCGTCGCAGGGTGACGGCGGCTTTTCACTGGCGATGCCAGTCTCGATATTCATGGCTTGTGCCAAAAACACCCGCTGCCTTCCAGTTACCTGTAACTTTCTTGACACTTCCCTTTAAACTTCCCAGAGGGTAATCAAACCTGCTACTGGGAAATCACATGAATCACAAGTGCTTTTTTTTGACACTCACCAGATTCAGATGCCCAAAAGACATGAAACTCACCAATCTCTGATTTTTACCACAAGACTTTTACAGTCCGGAGGTTCATCCTGCTGGAATCCCTTCAATAACCATAACTGGTTGGTGGTTTTAACCATCTTGAAAAATGATGCAGTTCGTCAATCAAAAGGATGACATCCCATATATGAAATGGAAAATAACAAATGTTCCAAACCACCAACCAGATAATTATAGTAAATAAAAATAAAATGATTAATATAACTATATAACTATAATATACTATCATTACATATATGCGTGTGTGATTGTAGCATTCAATTCCAACCAAACAACGGCCGTATGATGAGTTCATCATTGACTATCATTGTCGCTGTGGATTTCGGCCAGATCTTACAGGGAACTTGGAAGCACTCCAGGTTTGACTCAGCTGAGTCTGTTTTAGGCCTGAAATGGTACCATTTGCCAAGCAAGCGGCAAAGAAAGACTCTTGAGGTCGACAGTCTCAAATTTGTCGGACAATTCTCATAGAAAAGTAAACCAAGTAAACATGGAATAGATGCATCACACATCATGACGCAGCAACATGCACTAATCCAAATACCAACCAGTTATCACCGTTTGCGATTGGCAATGTTGAACGTTCATATCAGGCATTCTGGCCAGCGGCTAGCGCCAGCACTGTTTTCTTCACTGGCAGTTTCAAGGTGAACGAATTAGCAACGAATTGGCAAAAAAATGAAGCAACTCGAATTGATGCAATTTTTTACGAATCAGCACGGCCGGTTTCAATGACCAACAGCGGCAGAATTGCCAAGAAAAACAAGTCCACACTCCAACATCCAGTTTGGCTCAGCATCTCACCCCTATATTCTTGTCAGCATTCTTGCATATTGTTTCTATAGTTCCAGAGCCTCTCATCATCCCAAATGAACATTAGTTGGTCATCTGAAACTTCCACATCTATCCAATTTGAGTTGTTTTCTTCCACCCATTCCATTGCTCTCAAACACTCAAAATATTCTAATCTCTCCAACACCCCACTTCATCACTAATTATTTAGATCAAAAACATTCATCGTTGGTGATCTGCCCCACTCCTATGTTCCCAATTCTGTTCCCATCATCCAATTGTTGGTCATCTGAAACACTCCAAATATTCATCATATGACAAATGTTCTCAAACTCGCAGTCCCCCGCGCACCGGTGGACTATGTCGATACGCCGTGGATGAGGCCCTCACCACGCTGCCCAGCACGCTGCTAACGGGTGGCGAGATGCCAGGCTGCACCGGCGGGGCGCCTCCCGCATAAGTGCGGCGGCGTTTGGTTTCGGTGCTGCGACCCTTAGTGGCCTGGCAGATCGCCCCGATTTCCTAAGTTGGCTGAAGAAACTAATAAATATGTATGTATGCATATAGGGTATACTATCTTTCTATCTATCTATCGATCTATCGATCCCTCGATCCATCGATCCATCGATCTATCGATCCGTCGATCCATCGATCCATCGATCCATCGATCTATCGATCCATCGATCCATCGATCCATCGATCCATCGGCCCATCGATCCATCGATCCATCGATCTTTTCTAATCTATCTAATCTAATCTAATCTAATCTAATTCAATCTAATCTAATCTAATCGAATCTATCTAATCTAATCGAATCTATCTATCTATCTATCTATGTATCTATCTATCTATGTATCTATCTATCTATCTATCTATCTAGGGCTTTTGTTTGCCAAACTAGTTATATAATGGGGTTACAAACCAACTTGTAGCTGGAGGGCACCACTTTGTAGGGGGCCAGTGGATGAGCCAACATCCATCTGGTAAAGCACCAGGCTCACAGCAGACTGCAGATGAATGGAAGTGATGCACGATAGTGGAGTGGATATGACATTGTATGACCCAACCCATCAACGAATCCAAGGTGCTTGTAAAACAGTTGCTCCTTTCAAGAATCAATCTAATAATCAATCCACTTTTCTATGGATTTCCAATGATTTCCAGGTGTCAACTCCCATCCTCCCATCCTCCCATCCCTTACGTCCCACCTGCACCACCGGTGGCACCCCGGCCACGCTGCTTTGCGGCGCCGTGGCCGTGGCCGGCGCAGCCTCGAAGACGTTGGCGGCTGCGGAGAGCTGTGCGATGGCCTCCTGTAGGACGTTGGCGGCTTCGCGGCAGGTGGAGGCAGCGTCCTTGGGCGCCAACTTGCGCTTGTCCTTGGGGCGTTGCAAGGCTTCAACTAATGGGGAGCAACTGGGGAGGTGCTCCGTGTGAGGCCAGGAGATACACAAAACATTATATATATATATATATGTGTGTGTGTGCGAGGAAAACCCTCACAACCCAAAACTGACATACAGCACATTGAGCACATTTAAAAAAAATCAAAACACATAAACATGCCTCATCATATATGGTTATCCCCGCATGTGACAATGGATAGTGAAGGGTGGTATTGAGCCAATACCCAACATGTTTTCTGATCCTCGTGGTGGCAATAGGTCACTTGTTGATTCCCCTTATTGATCAACCATCATTTGCAGTGATATAAGCATCGAGCATCTGCGGGCCACAGCATCCTCAAGGCGGAACTCACCAACAACTCGGCTGCCACAGAGGGTGCCTGGAGTGCTTGTCAGGAAGAGATAGATGTTGTCTTTATAGATGGTATATTTATATAGTACTTATATAGTTGGGTACTTATATAGTTGCTTAATGTTCTTTACAGCTATGCATCTGAATAATATAAAAATGCACGTGCATGCATGTATATATAAATATATATATATATATAAATATATATATATATATATATGTATCCGGCAAATTTAAGCCAAATTTCGCTCCCCGTGTGCAGACATTTGAACACTATTACACACAGCTGAACTTCAACTTAATCAAAGCTAGTTGTTAGATGTTTTCTATGGTCTTCGGTTGCTCCATCGATAATTTGCGTAGATATATGCCCGCTTGACCATCCACTTCTCAGGGCAAATGTAGCAATTGGATGCAGGTGGCTCGAAGTCATCCCCTAAATACGAATCAACTCGAGTTAATCTTGAACAATGTGAAACAGCAAAAATAGCAAAACATATTGGTTCAAAATCGATTTCTCACTGGTGGCTTGAAACATCCCAAACAGAAATGGACAAAGAATAAAGGATTTTAAATGGACCAATGGAGCATGAGTTCTGCGGCAATGTCAGTTGAATGCACGACAAGGGTCAACATAGCAACACAACAGTAGTGATTTCAAAAAAGTTCACTGGAGCTTCAAAACAAAAGAACAAACCATATATATATAACTAAATATGTATTGTAGTACGTCGGGTACTTTCAACTTCTCTTTCGGCCTCCAAACGAATGGCAAAAGACAAAGTGGCTTTCCATTCCTGGTTTTCGTTACCCTACAAAAATAGCTGGTTGGTATCTTGCACCCACATGTTTTCCAACCACAAAAAGTAGACAAGTAAAATCCTACTAAAATAGGGCGATAAAAACATAAAATAACATTATTCACCTGTAGGTAATCAAACATGGCAATAGAAAATCCCCTATCAATGGAGGTTTTAATGGGAAATTCATCTAATTGAATGTAGAGATAGCAAAAGATGAAATGTAAAATCCTACGGAAGTAGTAGATAGTCAAATTTCAGGCGTTCTATATACAAATATGTATAGGGCTAGGGTGTATGTATCTATCTATCTGTCTGTCTGTCTGGCTGTCTGTCTGTCTATCTATCTATCTATCTATGTATCTATCTATCTCTCTATCTCTCTATCTCTCCCTATTTGAATTTCCAAATATAGCAAAAGATTCAAGAAGGGCCCCTCTGTCGTGCTGTTCTTCGCCTGCAGACTTTGAAGTTTGGAGCCGCCAGAGTTGGCGGCAGAAGGCCGGGGTGCCACCATATTCCTCCGCCCAGCTGGGAAAGAAATGGACGACGGAAGCGGCGTGATGGTTTACCTGATGCTTCAATACATGTTAGACACAGTTTACTACTACCGTAGTATAGATAATATATGATTATATATATATGTATATAGAGGTATGTAATTATACACTAATTGTTTTTAGATTCTATTGTTTTTTGTTTTGGGTGCTAACACTGTGAAACCATGTTAAACAATCTAATTCGGTGATTAAACCAATCTTGTGGTGGTTTAATCTGCCCTTTTTCCCTCCATTTTTGGCATACCATTTGGGATGTATATTGTGTCTTGGGACAGCTATGTTGCCCAGAAATGTGCAGCTTCACTTCCATGATCTGGGGTTTATTATTTTGCAGGTTTGGGATATACAGCAACCCCCAAAAAATATAAGTTAGCCCAATCCGTTTCAAGCATGCAGGTAACCTTTTCTATCTTTTGGGTTCTTTTGGGTCATATAACCAACTGTTTGAAAGCCAAATGTAGAAGTATGGGTGTCAGTATCGGGTGCAGCCCCCTTTCTTTCAGGGTACAATACCAACTTGTTGGGTCTTAAACCCAACAATGCATAAACATGCTAGATGAATTCCAATCTTGTTAACACATGTTAGATGAATTTCCAGTTTGTGAATAAATCTTAGATGAACTCCCAATGGGCTGTGAATCAGTGATTCTCTAGCGTTTTACGCTGTTAAGGCCCATGACGCCAAGCGTCAGCACATGTGTGAGTCCCAGCAATGGATCTTCCTCTTGCTGCGCATCTCCTGGTTCGGACCGTAGGGATACACAAAGCTTTTGTTCCATTTTTTTGCTGGGAAAAGTTGGGGGTTCAACATGGTTTAACCAACAAAATGATTTGGATTCAACCGCTAATTTTTTTTGCAGATGTGATCAACAAAACAACTATATAACTAGGCCAAAACCTAAATGAACTGGTCTTGTTCGGAACTTTTCGGGATTGAACATATCTTTTTTTGAGGTGGCCATGTCCATATCATCATCCAGCAGCGCCAGATATGTGTTGAAGTCTTCCCTTCAATTTCACTGGGCAAGAAAGAAGTTGCTGAAGCAAGGTCCGCCAAGCATCCCGTTGCGAAGTAAGAGGGCCGTGGGGTTCCCATCCTCCCTGGAAACACATCCAACACAAACAAGGAGTAAATTACGACATTTGAAGTGTTTCTCTCCAGCCTTTTCTATGGGTGCTCCCCAGTTTTCATCGAATCTCCCAGTGTGTCCTGTGGCTGGCAGGGGCCAGTAGGAGAGCTGGCGATTTTGATTTTCCTGATGCCTCTTATCTTCCTCCGCCTGGTCAGGTCTGCGAGTCTGCGGACCAGCCAACGCAATGGCCGGTATTTTTTTTCGAGAGGGTAGATCAGACACAATTTGGGACTGGACATGGTTGGTTGTTGGATGCTTTTTTCCATGCCAAGCCCAAGGCCCAAGATCATCAAAATAGTCAAAATAGTCTGATTTCTTTCAATCATGTTCAAGTGCAACCGGTTGTTGGTTTTACCCCCTGCAAAAACAGAAGTCACTTCTTTTCAGCATCATCCAAGATGGGGTTGGACACAATGGTTGAGACCACCTACTAGCAACAAATCACCAGAGCCCTAAGCAAAGCATCCTAGACCCTGGTGTATTTTGAGGCTATCTGTTGGTTATACACCCATCATGTCCCCCTTTTTCGGTTAACGGTTACCTCATCAAATCCCCATATGTTTCTTGGTTAAGTCCCATTAAACCCAACTACTGCCTTTCGAAGCTCCTCCTTGACAGCTGGCGGCTTAGTATCTTCCTGGCACCCAAGTCAGATAGACCCATGGTAGACCCCTGCCGGAGGGCGAAATAATGCGAAAGACACATGTTGGCCAATTAGATATTTAGATATATTTAGCGTCAATACATGTCAATACTGATACCCTATATAAGTTTTGAAACACCCTATCCAAGTATGGATGATAGGGGAATATTGATGTTGGATTTGATCAGCATCCCAACTCATGTCAACTTGGAGTCCAAACGGCGCCGAGGGTGCAACCCTCGTGTTTGAAATCCTGGTTTTACTGCCTGAGGCAGTTCACAAAGTTCAAATCTCATCTATGTTTTAGCATATTCTTTCCAAAATATATGAAATTCCCACTATAAATGTCTTGGGCCGCCCCAAAAACCGGATCATTTTCCAACATATTCTCCAACTTAAAGAGATTTATGGATGATTTCCCCACGATCTGTGCCCCAAAATTCGGATTTCCGTTGCGTTTTCTCATGAACATGATGATTTTTTCCCCATATTTTTTTATTTCTTCCCCCAAAAAACCCACGGATTTTCCACTGGGATACCCACGATAGCATCATGGAGACCCAACCGCCTTCGTCTTGGAGAGCCGCCCCAGGGCCGGTGCCAAGCTGGGTGCTTGACTGCGGGTTACTGAGGCCTGGATGCTGCAACTCGATATTTCCAAGTTATCTGGCGGTAGAACAATGCCATGAATAGTGACTAATAGTGATTATAATAATAGTGGTTATATAATAGTGATTACATTATAATAATTGTGATTATATTATAATAATATAATAGTGGTTATAATAATAGTGATTATATTATAATAATTGTGATTATATTATATTAATATAATAGTGATTATATTATTGTGATTATATTATAATAAAATAATAGTGGTGATATAATTTATAGTGGTTAATAGTCATCAATCCCTGATGAATGTGGGTAAATCATGCTAAAACAATCTGAATCTAAAACAATCATGAACCATACCCCCAATCATCACCATTTCTATGGGTATTTAATAAACCATTCCCAGTACTGGGTGGTAAACATGACATTGTTTTACCCACAAACAATGGGTGATCCTGATGATCCTGGAGCGCCATCTCATCACCAGCGATAAACATCGACGCAAATCATATCTCGCCAGTTTTTCCATGTTTTTCCCAAATTTCCGAACACAAATCTCATCGCAATATCGCCATCTTAAGCAAAACACTCTCGTGTTCCATCTGTTTTCCCCAAGTTTTCCATCAGTTTTTCCCAAGTTTTCCATCAGTTTTTCCCAAGTTTTCCATCTGTTTTTCCCAAGTTTTCCATCAGTTTTTCCCAAGTTTTCCATCTGTTTTTCCCAAGTTTTCCATCATTTCTCATCACTTTTCCCATCAGTTTCTCCCCGGCATCGCTTTCCGGCGCCTCCAAGCGCGCCGCGCCGGCGGAGCGCCGCGCCGGCGTGGGCAGCGCCGAGAGCACCTCAGCGCCGCTGAGGCGCCGAGGCTTCGGAGACGTGGGCAAGGCTGTCAAGGCCGGTTGCGCCTGGAGAAATGGGTGGGACAGGATGATATAATTAATGGTTATTCATGGTTATTAATGGTTAATGGTTATTAATGGTTATTAATGGTTAATGGTTATTCATGGTTATTAATGGTTATTAATGGTTAATGGTTATTTATGGTTATTTATGGTTATTAATGATTAATTGTTATTAATGGTTATTAATTGGTTATTCATGGTTATTAATGGTTAATGGTTATTAATGGTTAATTGTTATTAATGGTTATTAATGGTTATGGTTTTTAATTGTTATCCAAACTTTATCTGGTTGGTGGATTGAACCCCCTCTGAAAAATATGCTCGTCAGTTGGGATGATGACATTCCCAATATATGGAAAAACCAAATTTTCCAAACCACCAACCAGTAATGGTACCATACTAACATTAATGGTTATGAATGGTCTAATAACAACTGGACAATGGTAACATTAGTGGATGATGGTGATACCGCATAGGATAACACAATTTATGGGCTTTATAGGTAACATCAATGGCTAATGGTAATACTACCAATAGTTGTTATGTAACATGAATGGCTATGGTGATACATTATTGATATATACTTGTTAATGGTTCTGAAGATGATTCTTATTGGCCATTAAGGATGAGTTTGGTTATATTCATGTTATGATATGTAATGCTATAGTAATACCACTATAGTAATGTTATGGTCAAATTCATGATCACTTGGGGGATTGATTAATATGGACCGACATAACCATTAAGGATACAACTAGGGTATTAAATGGGATTCATATGATTCTATATGATTAATAGTGTGATTGATGTTATTGATATGATAATATGATTGATATGGTTGACATGGAAGCTAATGATTGATGAGGGAGAATCATTGGTCCCATCATAGCGACATAAGTTGTTAACCATTAATAATTTCGAATATTATACAGGTAGTATTAAAACAGTTGTTATTCATGCGTATTCAATGGTTGTCTTTAAGATTAATGTGATGAATCTGATTCATATGGTTAGTATGGAGACTAATTATAATGGCTATTAATTAGGAAATATCATGGCTGTTAAATGGCTATGACTAACCAGTAAGCATTGACTCTATGACAATGATATTGGTGCTAATTATAGTCATGGTACTGGTGGTAATGTTACATTCAAAACATATAATAATCATACTGATACTTGTGGAGATCACTTTAATGGTGATTATTCACTATTTTTTTTGGGCTATTCAAACATTATAACCACAGCAACAGTTATTTTACTTTTATCAGTTTCCTCATGATAGTAACAGAAGTGGTCGGTAATGGTTATTCAATGGTCCAACATTAAGAAATCAAACATTAAGGTAACTAATATGGTGATGGATTGTACATGATTACTAATAGATTATATAATGTTGGTTGTTTTCAAATTGGTATTTACTTCTGGTTTTATAAGCTGATTGATAATGATCATTACTACTATTAATGTTTCTTCTATATGGTTTCCACATGATTACTAATGGTTATATACCCTCCAGTAAACTAACATGGCTATGGAAAATGAACCATTTCTAGATGATTTACCGAATAAAAAGACTGATTTCCCATAGCTATGTTAGTTGACCAGAGGGTATTAACCCATTAAGGTGACAACACAAAATACTAATGGATCGTACTAAGAATGATTACTAATCTGGTTGGTGGTTTCAACCCCTCTGTAAAATATTAGTCAGTTGGGATTATTGTTCCCAATATATGGAAAAATAAAAAATGTTCCAAACCACCAAACAGTAATGGAGTCTCTATGATTACTAATTATTGCATATTACTATACAATTTAATGCTGATTGTACTTCTATATGATTTCTACATGACTAATGGTTATTCAATAGTTATTGCTAATGGATTCTATATGATTACTATGGATTATTGTTAATGGTTCTTCCATATGATTTTCTACATGACTAACGGTTATCTACCTATTAAGGTGACGGAAAAATCCTTGGCGCCTTAGGCACGAAGCTCTTCTCCTTCGGCATCTGAATGCCGCTGGTCAGCGCCCGTAGGTCGAAAGCCCCTGGCACTGACCTGAAGCTTTCGCCGCCGGGTCCCGTTTTTAATAGCTGGGATAGGAGATGGATGAATCTCCATCCCCTGAACATATGATTCAATGGATAGGCTTTCTTGGGACAATTCAACCGGAAAAGCCCATATTTCGTGGGACAAACCGATGGTTTACAGTGTAGATTTTCCCTTAAACCAATCCATTGAATTACACAAACATGTATACTGATGGATAGTGTGAATTATACTGATGTGTTAATACAAGTGTACAGTGTATGTACATACAGGTTTGGCCAATTTCCAAATATCCACGACTAGGCTTCTGGGATACTTATTGATCCAGAATTGATCCAAAATGATTGGCAGCACCTTCTTTCCCCACTGGATGTCCCATTGATCTTCCACTATAGTTATGGCCATATACCAATGATAAATGGATCTAACTGGTTATAAAATGGGATTCTACATTCCATAAGTGGGTTCTGTTAGTACTTACAACTGGTATTTCGGGCCACATTCCATCAATGGGAATTCCAGGATCCTAAAATGGAGGTACTGTACCATTTTTCAGGCCATATTTTGTGGGGATATTTCCTTACACAGGCCTAAAAAATAGGCCTTATATATCCTGTTGCATGGCCATTGATTCCACGAACATTCCGATGGGCAACTGGCGATGCTTCTGGATGCCACTGGGTGCCCCGGACACGTCGAAGCATCCGCTCCGGCGGTGCCACTTTTCCAGCACGATGGCCTTGCCACCCACGGCGCTCTTCTGCTCCTCCTGGCGCGGGCCGAAGTTGGCACACATAAACTATGTTTAATTGTGGTTAACTGTGGGATTTATGGTATATCGAACTATAGTTTTTTGCCAAGTTGGTTTGTTCAGTAGGTGATGGTTTATGTTTTTTTGTTCAGTGTTTTGTTCGGTAATAAGAGTTAACCATAGTATTCTACAGTTGTAAAGGGTTATCAACCAACAAACATTGGGGAATCTTCCTGCAGGATGTTGTGTTTCCTACACAATGGTGGTAAAGTCTACGAGAAACCTCTACAGATGTCTAAGAAAAACCCATGGTTTCTGCGTAAGATGTTCCTTGAAAAAATATAATACTTTTTTTTTGCCAGCCTGGCTTGGATGAAATAACATTCCAACCATAGAATGTTTTGATGCTGCTTGGGCAGACACCTTGAGAAGCTTTGATTTTAAAGATGTGAAGGTGGTCATGCAAATATTATATAGTAATGATTGCGGCAAATTGATCTTTATCCCTGCATACCAGGTCTCTTTGTTGGTGTGCTACCCGAATGATGTGGTGCTATCGCCCTGTGTATACGATTCGGAGTTGTTGACAACTTTCACTCGATAGCTCCTCTTCAGACTCGAACATCTTGAAAATATGCGCTCATCGTACCAATTTCAAAATGTTCATGATATCCTCTGATTACCAACAAAAATTACCTATTTGATGTGGTCATTTTCCACGACGATGGTTATTGAGTCGCCGACAACATCCCCTTGACCTTTGTGGTTTCACCGGCTGATTTGATGACGTCATATCTGAAGCATCCTTCAAGCACAACCTGACTTTATTTTGTCCTTCAAATCTACATCCAGAGGCGCAAAAGAATCTGGGTCACGACGTCCTAGCCACCGGATAGTCATATCTTCAAACCTTAATGAATTAGTTATGCCGCCTCAAGTCCTCAAGTGTCTAGGATTGTCCCAAAATTATTCCATAATTATCCCGACAGTTATGGCCCCCAAAACCAGTTGTAAGTACTAACAAGACCCCATGTATGGAATGTAAAATCCCATTTATAATTGGGGTATAAACCATTTATAGGATCCATAACCCCATAACCCCATTAAAAAAAAAAACAACATTGATAGAATGAAAAACCCCATAATTATCGCATTGAAATAAGCAGTTATAACATGTTATAACCATTTATAATTGCTGGTTGGTGGTATACCTACCCCCCTGAAAAATGATGGAGTTCGTCAGATTGGATCATCATCCCAACTATTGAGGAACATAAAAAATGTTTGAAACCACCTACCAGATTGGTATTTCGGGCCATGACCTGGGAAGCCCCAGGCCACCCAGGCGGCTCCAGGGCCCAGCGATTTCGCATCGCTTCCGCGATCTCCGTTAAGGTGGAGCGGTTGGACCTTCGCAGCAGCGACATCGAGACCCCAAGGGTGTCATCAAACATGGCAGGAAAATCCACGGGAAAATGGAGGCGTTGATGGGAAAATCCACGAGAAAACTGGAGGTTTAATGATGTTGATAGCGAAAATCATCGAACTAAATGGTGGCTTTTCATGGGTTTTCCAGCACGTTGGAATTTTTAAGAGGGTAAAAACGGGAGGTTTAAACAGCAAAAATGGAGATTTAAGAGAAACATGGACTTCAGCTCACAACTCAATGGGAATCGACAGTGAGTATCACGGATTATTGAAGCCTTTAAGGTGGAGTCCTAAAGAAATCGATGTGGGGTTACCCGGCATTGAAAGTTACCGGAATGTCACTGGAACTCATCTACACATCCAGGCCATTGCGAGGTTGATTCTTGGAGGGTAAGTGGTGGTGGGATCGTGGCTTTTTACGCACCCTCTGGTTATGTCAAAAATAGCTATTGAAAATGGCTATTTGTAGTGCATTTACCCATTGAAAATGGTGATGGGTGATTTTCCATAGTTATGTTAGTTTACCAGAGGGTATGTGGTGTTAGCCGGGGTTAGCCTAACTTGTGGAAAATCCAATGCACACTGGTTCAACTGAGGAGTCAGAATGATTACAACAATGAGGGGTTCGACGTCAAGAAAAAGGTTTGGTGCGGAATGTGATTTGATTAGATGAGGTTTGGTTGCCTTCATTGAGTTCAAGAAAAAGCAACCCTAGTGAGATACACAAGGCCTCCAAGTGACCAGAAGCCAAGACTGCAACTGGAAAATCATTTTACCATCTGGTTATTTAACATAGCCATGGAAAATCACCATTTTCAATAGGTAAACCATCTACAAATGGTATAAATAACCAGAGGGTATGTCATTTCCCAATGTCTTGCCATTTTCTGGGACTGCGTGCTCAAGAAATAAACATTGCCAAATAAACTTAGGCTTCTGAAAATCGAGAGCAAGATGGTCTAAAACTGAAATGGAAGACTGGGATACCCAAGCATTAAATGTATTTAAATGTGCAGTATATAGTCAAATAATGTCAAATATCCCACCGTTTGTTGTCAACGAACCCATCAAACAACCATTCACCGGTACAGACCAACACAGACTATTCATAAGGGTTAACTTCAGCTTTCTCAGTGTTTTTTTCACCATCAAAGATCTACATTTTGTCTGACTCAATCTCCATCCATTCCCACGTTTGGCCTTTCGATCCATCTTTTTGATAAAACAATTGGTGGGAAATCGAACTTCTACAGGAATATGTCCATGCTACTTCCCAATTTCCCATGGAATTCATTGGGGTTTCCTATGGTTTTCCCGTAAAGTTTCCCATGGTTTTCCCATCGCCCAGGAGCTCGGTGAGATGAATGGCTTCTCCCAGCATCCTCAGCAACAGGATGATTTAAAGACATCGGGACACACACTGTACATATGCATGTTGTGTATCTATATATACATACATATATATATATATATATATAGTGTGTTATATTAATAGGCAAACTAAATAACTGACTAACTAAGTAACTAAATAACTAACAATACAAATAAATATATGATACCTATAATTTATATATATATATATATTTATATAATATAATATATATAATATATATATATAATATATATATAGAATATATATATATATAATATAAAGGCACAAATAAGCTACTATGCTCTAATTTTCAATATATAGATATCATTGTATATCTGAATAATCTGTCATATACCAAGATTTAAGGCCATTTTGCGGATGATCTTACTCACTAGTAAGTATCTCTTTGTTCAGTCCATCAGGTTTTGCGAATTTCCGGATAATTATTTAGTTAAAAAAAAAACAACCTAAAAAGAACACCAGCCTGAAATAGTGAGGTCGCAAAGAAGTTGTTGTAATTCATCCTGATTGAAGGCAATGCAACCTGATTTCCCCAATATTAATCACCTGCTGCGAGATCGGCAGGTCCAATTCGTCCAATTCGTAGGTCGTACATAGTCGATTCTGGGAAGAACATGGTCGAAGTGCCTATCTAGACCATCCATATCCCATATAAAAACGGTGTTTTACTATGTTTTACTAATTTTACTCCATGATTTTGGTACTTTGGTGATTTTTCCATAGTATTTGGAGGGTCTATCCACCCATCCATCCAGCACAAACCCTTCCAACCAAGGCGCTGCGCATAGTGACGAGGCGCACCATGTGCCAAGAGGCTCAACAACAAGGCCGAGACAACACCTGGATGGCCCACTGGATGGCCCTCTTTGGGTTGGTATAGTGTGCCTCCTTTGTTAATGTAAATGATTGTAAATGACCTGAAATTACCTCTAGCTAGTGACTAGTGCTTGTTCGTGGTTGTTCCATGTAAATTGTAGGTTAAACAAGTTAAACAACTATCAGAGACAAACTGTAAATAGATCTGTCCTGATCTTGGAGCAGCTTCAGTTGATAGGGGAGATGTGGCTGCCTAAACTTTTGATTTTGATGCTCGGTATGGCCAAGGGATGCTTGCAGGATTTGTCACAACAAGACCTGACCTACACCAACACATTACCAGAAAGACGTGTGGCTTAAACCCATTATTAACTACCAACCATTGATTTCAGCATTGTTAACAATTATTAATCGTTCTTAACATTAAATATTAACCATTAGTATATTAACTATTCTATATCAACCATTATTTATTAATCATTACATATTATCCATTAATATCCATTCTTATTGGGCTGATACCCCCATTAATGCCGTGCCAAAGATTGCCACGACAAACACACCCGAGGAGCTGAGTAAAGGTGGCCGGCCAGAGCCTCGGGGTCCATGGGTTGTGATTCAAGGGACATTTCCGCAATGGGAACACCATGGGAAAATGGTGATGTAACCAACAAATATATATATATGTATATATGCAAATATGATGATTTAATGTGATTTCATGGTTATAACAGTTATAACTATAATACATTATATGGTTTTAACCAAAAAACAAATCCATATTTTAATATATCTTAATGGGATATTGAATGGTCCAGTGGTGATCTATATAACTGAACCAAGGAGCAACGTTTCATGAGCCATCTTTTGGAGGATTCCCCCTACCATCATTGGATTGGTTTACGGGAAAAGTTTCACCGGAACACCCCATATTTAATGGAAAAAACACCATGGTTTCCGGTTAAGATTTTCCCAAGAAAACCAATCCAATGATACCTACCATCATTTACCTCATAGGGGGACCGGTCCCTTACCTATGCCTTGCATCATGCCGGGCAGCTATACAAGGCTTCAGGGTCATAAATGACACAAAGCTCCAACCTCAGCGGCCCGCTTTTGGATCCAGTCTCTGAGGAGCCTCCACATGTCGTTGCTTGTGATGGATTGTTAAGATTGGCCCTTAAGAACCCGTCTCTTAACCATCTATGATTGGGTAAACACATGATTCTAGATGTGTATATATATAATAGATGGCTTAATAATCTTAATAGATTGTTCAATAGATGATGAACATTGTTGGCTGAGTCTTGCGGGAAATACAGGTCGATATCCCCAACATTGATCTGGAGCATGGATGGTTCTTCGAGCTGTTGGACACTGTTGGGTGGACCAGGGCAGTTGGAGAGCTGATGATTCTGCAAAGTACGCAGAGTACATGTACCCTCTGGTAAACTAACATAGCTATTGAAAATGGCCATTGAAATAGTGGATTTACCCGTTAAAAATTGTGATTTTCCATAATTGTGTAAACGTTTACCAGAGGGTATTGATCAGATTTAGAATTGCCCAGAGATGACATGAGATGACATGGGGTTTTCGCCTCCTTCATCCTCATTCCACCTGTTTCACAACGCTCCAGGGGCAGCCTGCGAAAGAAGCCGACACATCAGTTGCTGGGCGACCCGCCGAGCCCCGAAGCTGCTAATGTCACCCTCTGGTAATCGAACGTGGCAGTGGAAAAATCACCCAGTTATAGATATTTACAAATGATTTTCCCCTTGAAAGCTATACATAGCTATTTATAAATGTTTTCTTCCCTTAAAAACTACAGAACATTGATAGGGGATTTCCTGCCTGCCACGATTAGTGGAGGCTATTCTTGTTCTCCCCATGTTTCTCCAATCCCCAGTTGATGGATCCACAGCTAGGCACAGGAAGCAAGCCAGACTGCTGCACCGCATCTTACTTTCCTGGGTGGCATGGGAACGTGACCAACCTACTGGGCTTGTAGCCTAGGAATCTCGTATCAAGCTATACCCCCTATAGCTGGGTCCCAAATAATCCAAATATGTAGTTTCATCCCCTACTAAACCATGGTTTATGGCAGTTTATGGGGATGTTTAACATTTTGTGGGAAGGGATTAGTCGTGTGTTACTACATATTCTTGCACAAAACTTATTCGGCTTGTTCATGATGCGCTCATTGTTTAGCTCCAATTACTGCTGCAGTTAGTTTCCAATGTGGCAACACATGGGGACATCAATCTTGCTGGAGGAATGCTAATTTTGAAATGCCCTACTATTTTTATAGATCCAGTACTTCATGAAATGTGACTGACCACGTGGCCACTGATTTGATGGCATATAGTACGTGTTGCTATAAGCTTTCCGATCGGAGTCTATTGTCATCCCTCCAACCGTCAATGGTTACATATCATCAAAATCCCATCATCATTCAATCATGAGCCAAATATCTATCATTTTAATTCCAGTATCACTCAATCAACAACCCATTATCTATCATCATACAGTAATCCCATTGTTCTCTACCATGATATTTCCATTATCATTGGAATCATGAGCCCAGTGTCTATCATTGTAATGCCATGCTCATTCAACCATGAGCCCATTATCATCCATTATCTATTAATATAGTTCCGTTTCCATTCAATCATGAGACCATTGTCTATGATTGTAGTTCCAGTATCATTTTAGTATGAGCCGATCATCTATCATTATATACAATCCCTTAAGAAACCTATACCATATTTCCCGTGTCCCCGTGACCTTTTCGTCCAGCATCGTTGTCCCATTCCATGTCTTCTGACCCCACGGCGCTTCTGTCGCTCGGTGCGTTCAGGGTATCTGATAGAAGCCGGTCCAACCTGCCGGGGATGCGCTGAACAAATGGAGGGGCCGATTGAACACATACCATTTATAGATATTTATAGTGCGTATATATATATATGTATATATATAAATAAATAAATAAATATAAATTAAATATATATATATATACGCACCATTTTTTTAAAAGTCTAAAATTGGACATCTACGGATATCTATGATATAAAAATCATTGAAACGGTCTTGCTGTCCAAAGAAAGGTCCTTCCGCCTTCCATCAACTGGTAACTGGTTGATCTGATTGTTTTCCGTTTCAAGACCCCATTTTCGAAGATGGATCGTCGGCCAATGTTCCACTAAGAGTCCTTTCGGTAAGCTCTAGCCATCATAGAAATGTCCGATTCCGATGTTGGTTCGCGAGAGGAAATTCATTTCACCATGTTTCTCTCTGTCTCTCTCTGTATGTATATATATATATTTGACCTCGCTTTTTCATCGAAATCCCACAAAGTTCCAGGAGTTGAAACAATCAAATACCTACCACATCCCCTTGTGGGAACATCTCTGGATATGTTCCATGCTTAGATCAACTGAGCTGGAAGAACAAAGTTGGAGGTGCCAGGTTGGGCTTTATTGGTTGCAGTGAGCTCTTTTCGGTCTTTTCAGTCAGTAGCCATGCTTAGTATCAACTATTCCTCTAAAAAACATGAGAATTGAACTTCAGAATGCAGAATCATAGGACCAAACCATTCATTTGCCATGCCATCAATGGCCATGCGATTGGACCCATATTGATGGGGCAAGTCGCACATCTTCCGGCCATGGACCGAGTAACAAATGGTATGCTGTGGGAGTGCAGGCTCGAAAGCCCAACCTTCGCCGCAGTCGCGGGCGAAGGTAGTTGTGATAGCTCTGGGCTGATTCCGTTTCTAGTTCTCTTTCCACTTCGATGGGCCATGGGATTAACGATTCCTGGTTAGTAACTGGGGATTTGTTACCCTCCAGATCCCCAAAAAATAATCCATTTACTAACTATAGTTAACTAAGTTAACTAACTCCATGGCCCATCGAAGTTTCCTTCACGTGAAACTGAAACGACAAGATCTTGCCTTGTTCAATCCAACTGGGACCATCGCAACACAGGTCGCATAGGTCGCTGGGTCACTGGCACCATAAACCAGCACATGACACGACCAAAAAGGTGGATCCCAATGTCACGAATATTAACATTCCGCAACACATCCTTGTTGATATTCAAATTCAGCTATAATTATTAATTGTGACATTTGTATAATCAAATCCTCAGTCAAATTTGAAAAAAACATATATATATATTTGGTTTCAACCTTCAATGTTTCGTATGTTTAATAAACAATTATGGTTTTTACTAAAAAAAAACAGGTTGTTCCGAAAAAAAAAACAAACCAACAACACAAAAAAAAACACACTCATCACATCAATTAGTTCAAAACCTTGAATTCTTGCCTTTTTCAAAAAAACATCTAAGAACCAGCCATTTTTTCCAACCTCCAGCCCCCCAGAGCCCCAACCATAGCCCTAACGACCAGGTCACCGTCGCAGGATGTTGAGCTCCGCCTTCCGGACCGCGCTCCAGGGCCTGGATGAGCCGCTGACCTCCACCACCAACTTCCGTGCCTGCTCCAAGTCCTTCCTGACCGAAGGGAAGGGGCGAAGGGAGGAAAAGCCGGTGGCCAAGGATGATGAGTTTTGGATGAGTTTTGGATGAGTTTTGGATGTTTGAAGTGGATGTTTCTTGGGGTTTAACTGGGATGTTGAAGTTGGGGTGTATGGTTTATATTAAGTGAATCCTTATTGGGTTTGGATTGGGGTTCATATTGTCTGGGCCCGTGCCGAGACGTCTCAGCAGCGCGGAATAAATATTGGGGTCTTGTTTAAAGAGTGTTTTTACCCAACATGTTTGAAACGTTTTATGGGTTTATTATTATTGTTTTCTTTTGCCCTTCATCTGATCTGATGAAGGGACATTTTCTGAGCGCAATATAGCGCAATGCCTTCCCACAATGCATGTGAACTACACGCACTCACATGATCTCACATGTACAGATTCATGGGCGAAACCAAAGTGGTTGGTGGTTTCAACCCCTCCGAAAAATATGAGTCACTTGGGATGATTATTCCCAACATATGGAAAGTCATAATCCATTCATGTTCCAAACCACCAACCAGCAATTTTTTTCATGTGGATTCTGGATGATTCACTATGGCCACTGTTGTTTTCGCCCATGGCGATTCATGTGGACTGCCAGGATCTGCAGAGCCAAACGAAAATGGCGGCCAGGATCCACCGTAAAACATATGGAGAAAACAAAAAGTACATCCATTTGCCACTCTTGTTGTCAAGAATTTATGATAATTTATGACTCTCAGTGTATATCAGTGTCTATCCATTTCAAATCAATTACCATCTGGTTATTTGTTACATAGCCATGGGAAATGGCCCATAGAAATAGATGGTTTACCTATTAAAAATGGTGATTTTCAATGGCTATGTTAAATAACCAGATGGTAACTATCATGGTTTAACTCTCTAACTTTGGGCCTTGCTTCACCAAAACCAAGGTGCTTGAAACCCGACACCTTCAAAGCGATGAGCATGGCCTGGGTCGACCCGTGCCACGAATGGAAAGATCCACCATTTTTAATGGGAACATCGTCTATTTCGACTGGGCCATTTTCAATAGCTATATTAAATTACCAGAGGGTATGGTCAATTATTCAATTATTATTCATCTAATTATTCTATATTATTCTGACCATCCCTATTGAATCTATTTTAACGGTCATTTCAGGATCCTAAATTGGAGGTACTGTACCATACAAGGCCATATTTTGTGGGGATATTCACTTACATAGGCCTTACATAGCTGGGGTGGATTTAGTAAGGTTCTTTGCGCTGATTGGTGGTGCTTCTATGTTTTAAGACATGGTTATAGAGTTGGTTTTTAACATATGTTACAAGTCATTCAGGGATATGTATGTGTTGCCCAAAACTCTCTTGATTTAACATATTGGAGAAAACGTATTGCTTCAAACATGTTTGTCTTGTTTAGATGTTACTGTTTCCATGATCGACTCATGTAAATTCATATGTCACATGCCTTGCCGAAGGCTAAACCCTCCTGAGCAAAGATCATTTACCAGTGTTTCCATAATGAATTCAGATTTCCTGTCCTGGCCAAGGAGGTACACCTTCCTGAGCAAGGATTTCATTCACAAGTTTTCATTATCACACCTCCTGACCAGGACCAAGGAGGTGCACGCAACAATCATTGACATGTTTTCATTATCCATCAGTGTCCTGACCAAGGAGGTGCACCCTCCTGAGCAAGGATCGTTGACATTCATCATATAAGCTTCCTTGGCCAAGGAGGTACACACTCCTGAGAAAAGTGTTTTGTGAACTTCTTCTTTTTTTTTGCCACGTTCATTGCGCAGAGAGGCTTCTATAGTTTCCTGGACAATTGGTCAACACCAGCAGCTACTAGGGGGAAGTCACGCAAGGAGGCTCCTTAGGTCTCCTGTGTCAGTAGCAGCGTTTTCTCAACCAATGTTTTCAGCCATGTGTCAGACGAGCCAAGCGACAAGATTTGGCCAGCTCCTCATGCCGGTGAGCCCAAAGAGGTCGACTTTGTTTTGCAATTCTGAGAAGCCATGGAAGCAGGATGCAGCAACCTCAGCCCAGATGGTTCAACAGCAGCTTCTCCGCAGGGTGGGCTCAAAGACAAGCATGGCTATTTGATGAACAGCGCATCTTGACTGCACCAGAAGTTTCGACTCTTTTTGCTCAAGTTTTGTTACTAAACTAAACCCCTATGTTTAACACTGACAGCTGAGAACTCGGAGACACGCCAGTTAGCCAAAAAGATCCGAGCAGAGCTGCGCTGTTGAAGCTGCTATTTCCCAGACTGAGATTCAGATACTTGCTGAAGATCATTTTTGGACGTCGCATCTGACCGTTGTCCGGAGTGTATCCACGTCTCATCGCCGCAGGGGGGACGCGGGTGAGGGGAAAAAATGGCCGAAGGGGTCACTTTGAACGGTGGCTGAGTGTCATTCAGTAATTTCTTTCATGGCGGCAGCCAGCTTGGCAGGCTTTCCTATCAGTTGATCAGTCATTATTATTGTTAGCTGCAAGCCGCACACATTTCCCTTTCTGCTTGACCGGCTCAAACCTAGGGATCAGCAAGTATGTCAGAGCAGTTGGGCAACTGTTCGCTTGGCGGCTATGATGATGATGCGCATGTGAAAGCTTGCTCTGCAGGTGCAAAATGTGCTCGATGCACATGGGTGAAATATAAGCCTGTATGGCAGAAAGAATTAGCATGGTTGGACGCCAAAATGAATATGGAGAGTGGCAGTTGGGGCTTGGGCTGCCGACTGTGCCATGATGCTCAGGAAGTGAGTCCTGAAGCCATGTCCAAGTTTCCGGTTTCCAGGCATCACTTTGCAAGGTATGAAGTGAACAGTGGTGACATTCGTGTGGCTCGTTTCCGCAAACATGCTGCTTCGCCTGCTCACCGCACTGCTGAAAGTATGGCCGGTGGCAAAGCGCCAGCGCTTGAGGAATTTTTTCTCGCCAACCATGTCTGAATGGAAGTCAGTCATCTCTCACAGCAAGCCGGGTCACTGTCAAGCCGATGTGGACGATGCAGTCTCCTGTTGTCTATGTTTGCCTTCCGCGGGCAGCAAGTTGAGTTAAAAAAGATCGCTACTAAGGCCTCTCCCTACTATTTCCAGGAAGCAGTTCGACCGCCATGTGTTGCACGTGTTCACCATGTACAGCATGGCAGGCAAATACGCGTTTGGCCGCCGTGTTCGTACACGGTTTACCATGTGCTAACATGGCAGCCTCCTTTCTTTATCAAGGAGGCTGTGCCATGTTAGCGCACGGTCTGCCAGGTGGTAGCACGGCAGGCAAATACGCGTTTGGCCGCCGTGTCGTTACACGGTTGACCATGTGCTAACATGGCAGTCCTGGTCTTTGAACTCTCCAGAGGACCCGAATTTAGTACGGGTCATGAGCATGGCAGCCAAATACGCGTTGACTCTTGCAGCTGGCCCGAATTTAGTACGGGTCACGAGCATGGCAGTCAAATACGCGTTGAATGCTGCAGTTGGCCCGAATTTAGTACGGGTCACACGCATGGCATGGTACAACCGTCTTGATTTTAGCAGGAGACATTTTAAGATCCTTGCAGTCCTGGCCCAGCTGTGAGTGTACCTCCAACTTAGTTATTACTTCCCACGGCTGAGTTTCTGCAGAGTGGGTGCGTAGTAGCCATGGCTCCCAAGAAGTCAGCAGCGAAGAGAGGCGCGGAGCTGTTGCCTGAAGCTGCTGAGCCCAAGGCCAAGGCTGCCAAGGCTGCCGCCAAGACTCCGAAAGCTAATGGCAGCCAAGACCCGGCACTCATGGCCAACTTGGCTTCTGGCAGCCCGGGGGTGTCTTCACAGGCGCTTTGCCTGAATGGTGGAGTTTGGGCAAAACATGCAGAGAATGTCCGACGTTTCAAAGAGCAGGCAGTGAGTGAAGATGCTGTGCAGCTCCGCCCCAACACGGCATTCTTTGAAGAATAGGCGGCATGTTTCCAGTTTGACCTGTTGAAAATCATTTGAGTCAGCTGCGCTAGCCGTAGTTACCACAATGCTTGCACATTCAGTGCTGAACATTGCCGCAATGCAATTCAACCTCGGTTTTGCTTTGTCCATCACATCGACCCATTCGACCCAGGTTTTTTGGCTCACAAAACTAGTCTAACCTGCAACATGGCAGCAGCAGGTGAGAAGAGATTGTCCCAAGGTGTCCTCAACAGAGCTGACTTGCAGTTGGGCGTCCAAGCCTTCTTGCGGTGGGATCCAGCACTCAAGGAGAAGAGCGCGTTCGAAATGGAAAATGCTCGTGAGGCTTTGATTTTTTGCCAGCCTTTCTTCAAGGAAGACCGCACCAGGTCATGTGCGCTTGCCTGTGCCATCATGTTTTTGACCATCCTTCAGATGACGCTGGACCGCCCTGGCACAGAGCCCACAGACTGTACATGGACCGCTCACCTTTACACCAGGTCTGGACAAATCCAGCCTATGCAAGAGAAGATCGAGAAATGTCCAGCTTTGACATCGCGCGACTTGCTTGCAGGAAAGGTTGGTGAGTTGGATATCGCTGCTTCTTTTCTTTTGGGCGCCATCAACGCCATGCCTCATGACCTGCTGCCCCAGGCGCCGCATTTCGAAGGCTGTTTCGCTTGCCTGGACGACTTGTTGGTGCATATGAAGTTTCGACTTCACCAAAGTTCTTCTGCTAGTTAGGTTCGAGACCGAGGCATGTGAGCTGAACAAATGTCCTTTGGTGCTGCTCGCTTTCGCATAAACACAGTGGCCCCGAGAACGACCCGGAAACTTTCAAGGAGGACATCGCCCTTAATATCGAAACCTCCTGTAACGCCAAAGTTATTGATTGATCATAGCTCGACAGACATTATAAGGAAGGCCTTGCAAGGTCTCCTGCGCACAAGCCTGTTTTCAAGGAGGTGTTGCCTCCTTTGTTAAAATTTATGGGAGGCGCCGCTGTAAAGTTTGTGGAGGGCGCCACCGCGCAGAGCGGGGAGGGGCTCTGTGCCACAACAAAAACACCAGAATCACCTACTATACACATCGGATCTTTGCACAGTGACGCTTAGCATCAGTCATATTTGTTTTCTAGTTATAACTGATCGATTTGTAAACATCCGGAACACCATTCTTCAGTTTTAAATCCACATTACCACCCACTAAATAAAAGCAACGCCAATAACTTCATCACAGAAGCACCTTCAATCAGCACAAAGAACCTTACTAAATCCACCCCAGATAGGCCTTATATATACTAGGTACCTCCAATCTAGGATCCTGAAATGGCCATTGACGATTGAACCTATTGAACTAATTGAACCTATTGAACCAATAAAAACATTGGGGTACCTTTTTCCGGACCATCATCCCACTGGGACGGAACTTTCTTTTCTGAACGCGAATCATGTCTGTTTAAACACCAGCTGCCTCGGCCTCGTCATCTTTTCGGCTTTAAAAACAATGACAGAATCACATCACCCACACAGATGAAGGTAAAAACAATTCAATAGCAATAGTATAGACACATTAAAGTAACACCAACAAGAAATCACATCATATCAAATCATATCAGGATCTACAAGTCACAAACATCCACTTATATAATCTTATATCATATCCCTCCGGTAATTTAACATTAGCGAACTGGAAAATGGCCATAGATTTACCTTATCAATGGTGATTTTCCATGGTTTTTTCTATGATTTTGTATACCAGAGGGTATCTCCAACAGCTCCAAGCTCGCCCAAGGGATCCAAGGGACCGCCAAGACCAGCGCAAAGGCTCCAGGTCCAGCCGCGATCGGCGTGTTGGACGCCGCAGCGTAGCGATCTAAGAGACCGATGGCCGAGAAGAGCTGTTCGTCCTGACTTTCAGCTGGTTGATCTGCAGATGGTTGGAAGATGATGCGGATTTCTGTCTGATTCAAGAATATAAATGTAAATAAATGTATATATGCATATTAGTGTATAATATATATATATATATATATATTTATTTATTATTACTATTATCATGTTGTTATTATTAAAAAATATATACATACGTACATATGTATTGTGTATGTGTGTAACTACAGTGTAGATACAGAAGTATATAAATGGGGCACAAACAATTCAAAACCACTGCGCGGTCACCCGATGCAAATGGTGACAACAAACTGGAAAAAATAAGAGGTACCTCGGCCCTTTGAAACCAAAGATTAGCCGATATATTACCAAATGGTATTGTTGTGTTTCCTTGTGGATGGTGGTTGCTCTCGGTCGCTCCCTATACAAAAGATGCTACCAAGGTGCCGAACAGTGGCCGAAGAGTAGGGGCCAAATAAAATGAACATGAATATACCGATTGTTGGAAGGGTTGTTTCTACAATCCTTCTATCAGGCCTTGTTGTTGCAGCCTTTGAAGTGGAACATGTCCTGGATGTTGGATGCTTCATGCCTCTCATGCCAAGCAACAGCCAAGTCCAAGGTATCGAACGCTTGCACCAACCATTCCTTGGTATCCCGGAGACCAATGATGGTGGCATTGCTAATCTGAGCTGCCCTTAAACATAAAATGCTAGAGCGACAGTCCAGGGGTTTGGTCATGTTGGGGAAACCACACGTAGAATGAAGCACCTGGTTTGGGATGATAGGGCTGGGATGTGCCAGGAATAGGTGTATCTAAGCCCATCAAGAGTGGAGTGTAAATGTTTGCAGCACCGAACTTCGCCCTCTTCCGTTCCATCATTGGTTAGAGGCACGACATGGCTCGACATGGCCAAAAAAAAATTGGTTCCGTCTGGTTCCGTGCTTCAAAGTTGACCTGTTGACCCCATTCCCAGTAGCAAAGCCCATTTCGCTCATCACCAAGAGTCCAAGGCATCCAATCTTCGTGCCGAATCAAGACCTGGATGCATAGTGTTCGACACCGGTCAGTTCTCTCGCCAAATCACAAGTCATATCAGTTCAGGATTTTTGTGACTCCTAAATCCTAGTTATCATTGTTAACAACTATAATTTTATCGTTCTTCTGTGGGTCACTCCCGTTCAATTGATTGCCATCAACATCATCAACAAAAACTACTATATACATATCATATCATATCACATCATAATCATAATCATATCATATCATATCATATAAGGATACACAAACTATACATATCAAGACCTGGATATCAGGTCGACCAGCCATGGCCCTCTAACGGTCCTTCACCGATGTTCACCGTCGCCGTTCACCTTTGCCGAGTCGCCGTGGCTCAGCGCCTGGTGACTCAGCGTCAGCGGCGAGGAACGGCGATGTAAGGCATGCAGCGAGACGACCTGCGGGCCACGGCCATGCTGCGGGGTGTCCGTGAGAAAAGGTCAAAACGACTGGAGGACCACTGGGGATTTATAGTGATTTAATGGGATATTAATGGGATTTATAGTGATTTAATTGGATTTTATACTGATTTAATGGGATATTAATGGGATTTATAGTGATTTAATGGGATTTTATAGTGATTCAATGGGATATTAATGGGATTTATAGTGATTTAATGGGATATTAATGGGATTCAATGGGATATGAATGGGATTTATAGTGATTTAAAGGGATATTAATGGGATTTATAGTGATTTAATCGGATACTAACGGGATTTATAGTGATTTAATGGGATATTAATAGGATTTATAGTGATTTAATGGGATATTAATGGGATTCAATTGGATATTAATGGGATTTATAGTGATTTAAAGGGATATTAATGGGATTTATAGTGATTTAATGGGATATTAATGGGATTTATAGTGATTTAATGGGATATTAATGGGAATTATAGTGATCTAATGGGATTTTATAGTGATTCAATTGGATATTAATGGGATTTACCCTCTGGTAAACATACAAAAAGCTATTGAACATGGCCCATTGAAATAGTGGATTTACCCATTGAAAATTGTGATTTTCCATAGTTATGTTAGTTTACCAGAGGGTATCCCTGTTTTAGGACACCACCAACTGAACAAATTGACATGGACACATACATTTTGCGAAGGAATAGAGATTTCACCAATGAAGAAAAGGAGTTTCACCAGTGAAGAATGGGAATTTCAGCTGAAAGCATTGGGATTTCACCAATGAAAATAGGGATCCGACATGATTGGAACCATGCCCCACAGCAGGCGCTACTTAGATGGGGCGTTGAGTTAGTTAGTTGTTTAGTATGTGGGGTATGACTGTCGCATAATCCATTGGATAATCCATGGGAAATATAACCCATGATTTGCAATTATTATGGGAATTATTCACCATTTACAATGTAAAACCCGGATACATAAACCCCTAGGCTGTTTAATTGGGTGGTACCATTTATTAAGTATCAAATCATGACTATTCGCGGAGTACCCCCCTAATTAAAAGACTATGGATGACTATGGTTTATTCATCCGGGGTTGACATTAGCCATTCATATCCAGATTACAATTTTCCCATCATGATCCCATCATTTTTTCCCGTGCTGTCACCTTGGAGTTTCCATTTCAATCAACTATCATCATCATTCATTATCCTAACATGATCACATATTTTCCCATATTTTCCCATCAAAAATCACGATCATGATGATCATTTGATCATTTTTCATACTTTTCATGGGAAACTCCATGAATTTTCCATCATTTTCCGATTTTTGGGCCATTCCATTCCATTCCAGCCAGCCCAGCCCACCCTCGGCGGGGACTCCGGCGACTGCTGCTGTTCCGCGGCTCGCCGCGGCGCCGACATCGCCACCGGCACGGTTTACCGGGCAGGGCCGGCACGGTTGACCGGGCGCTGGGGGGCGATCGGTCGGAGCGGCTGCGAAACAGGAGAGTTGGGGTTGAAACTATGGAAAATCTATGAAAATCTATGATACCATCTGGTTATTTGTTACATAGCCATGGAAAATCCCTCAGAGCGCGAGCAAACGTGCATACTTTTTATTTTCAAAAAAGAAGCCACTTGCAGCCACTTGCCCCTTGCAGCCACTTGCAGCCACTTGCAGCAAGTGGCAGCCACTTGCAGCCACTTGGCAGACACCTGCTCCAGTGGCTGCAGCAAGTGGCTGCCAAGTGGCCGCCAAGTGGCTGCCAAGTGGCTGCCGAGTGCCATCTTGAAAATTATAGGACCGGATAACCCCACATGTTAGCAACTTCTTCAGACTTAGACGGAGCACAGAAAGCGAGAAGGGAAGAGGAAGTATGAGAGTGATGGAGGGACGATGGTGGTATGTATGTAGGTAGGTAGGTAGATAGGTAGGTAGGTAGGTATGTATGTATTTAGGTATCTATGTATGTATGTACGTAGGGTAAGTTGTTTGTGAGTAAGTTGCTTCGCTTTCATCGAGTTCCACCAGGCTCTGATGTTTTTTTTCCGACACACTATCAAAACGATGGTGTGCTCACCATACTTCCGCTGAACAAAGTAATGTTCTGCACTCTTTCGAGCGCAGCCGCGCATTTTGTGAACTCTTTCTGCATGCCCTGCGGCTGGTAAACATCGCTGGCACATGATGATGATGATGATGATGATGATGATGATGATGATGATGATGATGTATGTGAGTGAGTGAGTGTGTGAGTGAAGTGAAATGAAATGAAATGAAATGAAGCGAAGCGAAGCGAAGTGAAGTGAAGTGAAGTGAGTGAGTGAGTGAGTGAGTGGGTGAGTGAGGGAGGGAGGGAGGGAGTGAGGGAGTGAGTGAGTGAGTGATTGAGTGTGTGTGTGTGTAACATCTAAATAGATGTAAAACTTCTCTCTTTTTTCTTCCTTTGTCCTCTCCCTTTCTAACTCTAATTACAATGCAGGGGGCCACCGGGGTCCCGGGGGGGTCGGTGGCCACCGAAGACCCCCCCCCGGGACCCGTGTAAACGTACCTGCATTGTTAATTTCGTTGTTTCATATCTAATTTGCATGTTTCAGGATTCAGTTCCTGCCGGATCATATAATGATCCATTCTTGTCTAGTGTGATTTCCATGGTGGCTCCGACATGGTGCCATGGAGCCATTTGAGGCAACCCTTGTCAGGGTGAGTGTTGACCGTCTTGAATTATGAATTCACGCATTTTAACTTGGTAATTCGTTTACGTAATGTGCAACAGCTGGCCTTTCTGTTCTTCACCTTTTTTGAGATGTCCTGCCGTTCCGGCTGTCCTTTATGAACCCAGTGGAATGCATCTCTATTGAGTGAAGCCACTTCGAACTACCAGAAACCTCCGTTTTTGCAACAACCTTTGCAGCTACATGACATCATTTCAAGACATTGTGAAAAGGCAGGCACACGTCTTTCAGGTGTGGTCTTTTTCCTTTTGGTTGTCTGGTGAGGTGAAACATGTTGTGCACCTAATTCGATGGAACTTGAAAGCCGTTTTATGCCCTTGTGGCTGACTGGAACACGGGCCTGTTGTGGCACAATCGCACGAACAGTAGGTCTAGGAACTGGGTCCTGTTTTTAATTAATTGTTTTGGTTTTTGTCTGGCATCAACTAGTTCCCCATTGGTCCCTAATCTTTCCCCGCGTGCCTCTCCGTAACGTGTTGTTGGGTTTAGGTGTGTGCGCTGTTTTTGTCAGGTCCGTTTCGCCGTGTAGGTTGGTTCTGGAGGTCCGTCTGTTCCCCTCCCCCCCCGCGCTGTTTTGGCCGTCTGCCCGTCGTGTGTCCGCTTTTTTCTTCCTCTTGCCTTTCAGGGTTGACCCGGCTCCGGCCGGGTGTGTGTGTGTAACATCTAAATAGATGTAAAACTTCTCTCTTTTTTCTTCCTTTGTCCTCTCCCTTTCTAACTCTAATTACAATGCAGGGGGCCACCGGGGTCCCGGGGGGGTCGGTGGCCACCGAAGACACCCCCCTGGGACCCGTGTAAACGTACCTGCATTGTTATTTTCGTTGTTTCATATCTAATCTGCATGTTTCAGGATTCAGTTCCTGCCGGATCATATAATGATCCATTCTTGTCTAGTGTGTGTGAGTGGGTGAGCGGGTGAGCGGGTGAGTGAGTGAGTGAGTGAGTGAGTGAGTGAGTGAGTGTGTGAGTGTGTGTGTGTGAGTGAGTGAGTGAGTGAGTGCAGGAGTGATTTCAGCGAATGAGTCAGTGATTCAAAATGAGTGAAAGTGAAAAAAATCAATGAGTGAGTGTGAATGAGTATGAGCACAGTGTCCCACGCCTGCCACGCAAAAGCCACGCCGCAGTGCACATTGTGCCACGCCTGCCACGCAAAAGAGGCGGAGACCCAAGGGACGCCAGGGCGTACATCCGACCCCTTGGCAGTGCAGATTGTGCGACGCCTGCCACGCAAAAGAGGCGGAGACCCAAGGGACGCCAGGGCGTACATCCGACCCCTTGGCAGTGCACATTGTGCCACGCCTGCCACGCAAAAGAGGCGGAGACCCAAGGGACGCCAGGGCGTACATCCGACCCCTTGGCAATGCACATTTTGCCACGCCTGCCACGCAAAAGAGGCGGAGACCCAAGGGACGCCAGGGCGTACATCCGACCCCTTGGCAGTGCACATTGTGCCACGCCTGCCACGCAAAAGAGGCGGAGACCCAAGGGACGCCAGGGCGTACATCCGACCCCTTGGCAGTGCACATTGTGCCACGCCTGCCACGCAAAAGACGCGGAGCCCGAGGGACGCCAGGGCGTACATCCGACCCCTTGGCAGTGCACATTGTCCCACGCCTGCCACGCAAAAGAGGCGGAGCCCGGGGGACGCCAGGGCGTACATCCGACCCCTTGGCAGTGCACATTGTCCCACGCCTGCAACGCAAAAGAGGCGGAGCCCGAGGGACGCCAGGGCGTGCATCCGACCCCTTGGCAGTGCACATTGTCCCACGCCTGCCACGCAAAAGAGGCGGAGCCCGAGGGACGCCAGGGCGTACATCCGACCCCTTGGCAGTGCACATTGTCCCACGCCTGCCACGCAAAAGAGGCGGAGACCCAAGGGACGCCAGGGCGTACATCCGACCCCTTGGCAGTGCGCATTGTGCCACGCCTGCCACGCAAAAGAGGCGGAGACCCAGGGGACGCCAGGGCATACATCCGACCCCTTGGCAGTGCGCATTGTGCTGCCACGCAAAAGAGGCGGAGACCCAGGGGACGCCAGGGCGTACATCCGACCCCTTGGCAGTGCGCATTGTGCCACGCCTGCCACGCAAAAGAGGCGGAGACCCAGGGGACGCCAGGGCGTACATCCGACCCCTTGGCAGTGCACATTGTGCCACGCCTGCCACGCAAAAGAGGCGGAGACCCAAGGGACGCCAGGGCGTACATCCGACCCCTTGGCAGTGCACATTATCCCACACCTGCCACGCAAAAGTGTGTGTGTGTATGTGAGTGAGTGAGTGAGTGAGTGAGTGAGTGAGTGAGTGAGTGAGTGAGTGAGTGAGTGAGTGTGTGAGTGTGTGAGTGTGTGAGTGTGTGAGTGTGTGTGAGTGAGTGAGTGAGTGAGTGAGTGAGTGAGTGTGAGTGAGTGTGTGTGTGTGAGTGAGTGAGTGAGTGTGTGAGTGTGTGTGTGAGTGAGTGAGTGTGAGTGTGAGTGTGTGAGTGAGTGAGAGTGAGTGAGTGTGAGTGAGTGAGTGAGTGTGAGTGAGTGTGAGTGTGAGTGAGTGAGTGTGAGTGTGAGTGAGTGAGTGAGTGAGTGAGTGTGTGAGAGTGTGTGAGTGTGTGAGTGTGAGTGAGTGAGTGTGAGTGTGTGAGTGAGTGTGAGTGTGTGAGTGTGAGTGAGTGAGTGTGAGTGAGTCAGTGAGTGAGTCAGTGAGTGTGTGTGAGTGAGTGTGTGAGTGAGTGAGTGAGTGAGTGAGTGAGTGAGTGAGTGTTTGTTGAGGAGGGAGGACGGGAAGGAGGAGGACGAGGAGCGGATACAGAACTAAAAACAAAAACCCCACACGTCAATGTGGGGAAAAAGTGACTTTGTAGATTTTACTTTTTTCAAGTTTGCAGCAAGCGGCTGCCAAACGGCTAGGCACATGGCTGCTTGAGGAAGTGGCTGCCAAGTGGCTGACGGGGCAAGTGGCTGCAAGTGGCAAGTGGCTGCAAGTGGCTGCTTTGGCAAGTGGCTGCAAGTGGCTGCAGGTGGCTGCAAGTGGCTGACGGGGCAAGTGGCTGCAAGTGGCTGCAAGGGGCTGCAAGGGGCAGCCCAGCCCATTGGCAGCCACTTGCCCCGCCAGCCACTTGGCAGCCTTGAACCAAAGTAAAATCTACAAAATCACTTTTTCTTCCAAGATAGCACTTGGCAGCCACTTGCCCCGCCAGCCACTTGCAGCCACTTGGCAGCGACTTGGCAGCCACTTGCCCCGTCAGCCGCTGGGCAGCCACTTGGCAGCCACTTGCAGCCACTTGCAACCACTTGCAGCCACTTGGCAGCCACTTGCCCCGTCAGCCGCTGGGCAGCCACTTGCAGCCACTTGCCGCGTCAGCCATTTGCAGCCACTTGCAGCCACTTGCAGCCTCTTGCCCCGTCAGCCGCTTGCAGCCACTTGCAGCCACTTGCAGCCACTTGGCAGCCACTTGCAGCCCACTTGCAGCCACTTGCAGCCACTTGCAGCCACTTGCAGCCACTTGGCAGCCACTTGGCAGGCACTTGGCAAACACTTGCTCCAGTGGCTGCAGCAAGTGGCTGCCAAGTGGCTGCCAAGTGGCTGCAAGTGGCTGCCAAGTGGCTGCAAGTGGCTGCAAGTGGCTGCTGGCTGAAAAAATCAAATTGCGCACCTCCTGCGCCCACAATGAAATCCCTTATAAATGGAGGTTTATAGCTGGGAAAATCATCTATAAATGGACCATTTTCCATGGCTATTTTAAATAACCAGAGAGTTATCTATGAGAATCATGTCTTATCTATGATCAATTGTAAGTACATTATATAGGTCTAATCCAATTAATCATGTCTAATCTAATTATATATCGATAATTGAAGTCTAATCATGTCGAATCTATGATCATCTCTAATCGTCCAGGAATTGGATACCCCAAAAATTCACGGACCTTATCATGGGATTATCATCATTTACCTTGTTACACTCGCATGTGGGGATATGAGTACCACATTTTGGACAGAACCAAATGGAAGATGATGGGAATGGCTCAGCACTTTGAAGACCCATGAGGCTACACATATTGGGTGATTTTTTCTACCCGATATCTACTTGTCCAATTTACTCATGTGGGTCCCGTCACGGACTTTCATGCGATTCATGTCATGTGACTTTACTTTGGACGGGCCTCTCCTATGTTTTTGGTGGAAATAAATCTTGGTGATATCATTCGCGCCGATGGCTGATGTCATCTAAGATACTGTCAAAATGCTTTGTCTCTAGTCATGTTCAAGGTGAATAAACTAATACACCACGTTCTTTGCCTGACATGTCTAGGTGGTTTTCTAATCTGCCAAGCCCTTGAGTGTGGTGTTTCCGGGTGACTTTACCTACCACACGCTGCCACAGTTTGACGCCCTTCTACAGTAAACTTTGGGATCCATGGCTATCCTCGGGTTTTCCGTTGATTTTAGTGACAGCAATGGTTGATGTGCTCATGGGATTTAGAAACTATAAAAATTACAACCCCAAATCAGCGCAGCATTTTCGGCATGATTTCCCCAGTGAAGTTAGTGAGGTCAATACGATTTGTGGATAATTACCATCTATGAACTCGAATCAACAATTTCAGGCCATATAAGGGGTTCAAAAAATGGGGGGTACCCCAAAATCATTCACTGAAACACTCGAGCCGCTGAGGACCTCATGTTGCGCCAGCCATATTCCCAGCGCCAACAGCACCGCTAGAAGGCCTGGAAGCTCACAGTTTGAAACCTAAACATTGTGTCTGGAAAGTTGGTTTTCCCCTGTCTTTGTATCAAACGTGACTGGCTGGAAAAAATATTCTGAATGGATTTACTCTTGCTAAGTCTTATATCTATCTATCTATTTATCTATCTATCTATCCATCTATCTATCTATGAATCTATCTATGTATCTATCTATCTATCTATACCGAATCTAATCTCATCTATCCTAATCTAAAACAATATGATATATAATCAATTTTTCGATCCATCCATCGATTCACACCTATGTAGGTTGGCAATTCCCATGCTTGTCATTGATCATCCCGTCCCAGCAAAGTGCTAGTTTCTTGTGGCGGCCAATCATCACAAAATAGTATGTCCTTTATTTCTAAATGCATACCGGCATACCGTTTAGATGCGTACATCCTTGGGGGTCATATATGCAATATATATATACAGTATATATATATATATAAATTGTGGCTCAAGGCACAAAAGGTGAATAAAACATCAATCCCTTCAGGCGCTTGCGGGGCATAGTGGCATAGCGTACCACCCAAGCAGCATGCTTAAAGATGAGAGAGGAAACCTTGGGCACCAGCATAATACCATCAGCCATATTATTACATGTTCGCTGCAACCCTGACGTTGCGCCGCGTCTGACTTCAGGTGGATATGAAGATAATGTTGATGTTATTACCCCAATCAACATATTGTTCATAGGGGGTGGCAAATTTTGATCCCTCATGAAGATAGGGGGTGGCGAACTTTGATCCCTCATGGAGATATAGTTGATGTTAGTACCCCAGTCAACATATTGTTCAAGGGGGGTGGCAAATGTTAATGCGATGATGATCATGGTGTCTGTGATGATGTGATGATGATGATGATGATGATGATGATGGTCATGATCATGATCATGATGATCATGATCATGATCATGATGATGATGATCATGACGATTGTAAGTGTGGAGCAACGTCCGGGTTGGGGCGTACATGTTTTATGTGATTTAGCATCATTGTTAGAAAAAATCCTCATTCATCCTCGTTTCGTATATATATATGTATATATATATATATAAATGTATATTTATATATAAATGTATATATATATATATTATGACACTATGTATATATATGTATATATATGTGTGTATTAACTATAGGGTGCAGAATAGTTTTTGTTTTTTCTTTTGGCTCAGGTTTTGGAATGTTTGTTGGCTTTCCTGGTACCATCTGCCTTGTATTTGCAACAGTTTGGAACTAGAATCTGTCATTTTGCATGGTATTTGCTACATATTGCTACATTTTGGCATGGTCACTTTGCATGTTGCATGGTATCTGCTACATTTGGCCACGTTTGCCTTCCATTTTGCATGGTATTTGCTACGTTTTGGCACTTCAACCTCTCATTTGCATGGTATTTGCTACATTTTGGTACTTCAAACATTCATGTGGGTTTCTTGAGAGTTTCATTTAGGGTTTCATTTAGGGTTTATGGTTTCATTCCCCACCTGCCAGGTGAGGGTTGTTAGATTTTATCAGAGCTGTTCTCCTCCTCCTCCTCCTCCGCCTCCGCATCCGCCTCCTCCACCTCCTCCGCCTCCTCCTCCTCGCAGTCCAGATCCCAGTGGGCACAGCCGGACCTCCACCGCGAGCGCCAGAACCGAGTGGGCACAGCCGGACCTCCACCGCGAGCTCCAGATCCCAGTGGGCACTGCCAGTAAGAAAATGTATAAATGTCATGGCGGGGATCATTCGAAGTGAAGTAATTTAGAGTTTTTTAGAGTGTCGTTTAGGGTTTCTTTAGAATGTCATTTAGGGTTTCATTCAAAGTTTCTTTAGGGTTTCATTTATGGTTTCTTTAGGGTTCAGTAATGGTTTCTTTAGGGTTCATTTAGGGTTTCATGTAGGTTTTCTTATCAGGATTTCTTATCAGGATTTCCAAACGTTCATGTGGGTTTCTCTAGGGCTTCTTTAGGGTTTCATTTAGGTTTCATTTAGGGTTTCATTTCGGATTTCATTTATGGTTTCATTCAGGGTTTCTTTAAGGTTCCCGTAGGGTTTCATTTAGGGTTTAGGGTTTCATTTAGGGTTTTAGAGAGTATTTTTTAGGGTTTCTTTAGGATGCCATTTAGGGTTTCATTCAAAGTTTCTTTAGGGTTTCATTTATGGTTTCTTTAGGGTTCAGTAATGGTTTCTTTAGGGTTCATTTAGGGTTTCATGTACTGTAGGTTTTCTTATCAGGAGTTCTTATCAGCATGTCTTTAAGGTTTCTTTGCGTTTCACCTAGGGTGTTTACAAACAGGAGATAATAAAGCAAAAGAAAAGAAAAAACAAAGAGGCAGTAAAGACAGGAAGTAGAGAAGCAAAGGAGCAGGAAGTAGAGCAGCAAAAACACATGACTGAAGAAAAGAAAAAGTAGAATAGTAGAAGTAGAAAGGCACAGAAGCACAAAAGAAGAAAAGCAGGGAAAGCAGAAGCAAAAAAGAAAAGAAGCAGGTAAAGCACAAAAGCAGAAAAGCAGAGAAGCAGGGAAAGCAAAGAAGCAGAAAAGAAAAGAAGCAGGTAAAGCAGAGAAGCAAACAAGCAGAGAAGCAGGAAAAGCAGAGAAGCAGGAAAAGCAGAAAAGCAGAGAAGCAGAAAAGCAGAGAAGCAGGAAAGCATAGAACCAGGAACCCAAAAACAATTCCAGAACCAGTCGCAAAAAATACCAAAAATAAATAGCCCTTCTATATTATATATATTCCTATATATACCAAATCAATATACAATGTTACATTCTATGTAATATAAATATTATATATGCTGTGTACAAATATATATATATATTATTTTATACATTAAATATACGTATAATATTATATACGATGTATGTAAATATTATAAATATATATTGTAATCTATTGAACCTTACAGCGCACGCGACTGCAACAAATTCATATAAAATCATCATCCCGCCTGTGACCTGGTTCAATCTCGGTCTACGGAATTTATCATGTCATGGTTTCTGACCCCACTGGCATGGCAATGTGTAAAGTCATCTGCTTTTTGCTTACCTAATTGTTAGGGATGGAAATACATTCCGCTACCACGAACCAAGAATGATTGCTGCGGGACAACAACGGTATATCCATGCTAGAAATCGTGCCCATCAACAACCTGGGCCCAAGTCAGAGTGTTTGTAGTGTTTTCTAGCTTGTGCCGAGCATACATTCAATACTGTAATGTTGTTTCCTAACATCGTTCTGGGAGACACCAAATCAAGTTTCATGAGCTGTCTTGTGAGCATGCATGATTTCGGTTCAGGGCCAAATGGCTGCCGTGACGTGCTGTCACTCCGAAGAAAGCTTCAGAACCGTCAGAGCTGGTTTTCTTGCGTGGTTCTTTATCCAGCCAAACATAAGGATATGAATGATGCAAGTATGGCGTATGCATATTCACACATGTATGCTCATATATAGGCATAGACAACAGTATGACATGGTATGACATGATATGATATGAAATGTTATGATAGGATACGACATGTGGTATGATATCTGGTATGATATGATATGATAGTATATGAAATGATACGAGAGCGAGAGGAGATGAGATGAGAGGCGTCGATAGGCGTATGACTTTTCAGGATATGTTGGTATCTGACCGAAACAAACAACATTCAATTGAAGTTCATTCTTGCAAGCAGCAGGACATGTTTGATGGGCTTCTGGTTGCTATCCTCTTGTAGTTCACCAGTAAAATCATTCAGTTCGATGATGACCTATTTAAAATTGTCATTTTCCCCAGATTTCCATAGCATGTTACCAAAGTACCAGAGGGAATCCTTTGGAAATTTATATAGTTCATGGAGTTATGAGTTGTGGCCCGAAATACCAGTTGTAAGTACTAACAAAACCCCATTTGTGGAATGTATAATCCCATTGAAATAGCCAGTTATAACCATTTATAATTGGTAAACGGCCATAACTGTGGTGCTTTAGTTCATGGTGAATTTAGTTCATGATGTTCCATGGGAAATCTCAACCGTTCGTAGATGATTTTCCGCGGAGTGTCGTTGCTCCATTAGCCTGGGAGAATGGAACGATGAGATCGAATCCCAAAAACACAAAGGGAAGGGCATTAGTAGATGGCTGAAACAGTGGTAACCACAACTAGGCAAACTCGGATTTATGAAGTGTTTATTTTTATTTTTTGCGGAGTTGAATAGATATGATATGTCTACAGATGAGGCTGTAAAAAAACCCAACTTTTAACTGGTGGTGGCTTCCAGGAATTCCATGAGGCATCTGCTTGGACGCTAAGTCGTGTGAGTGTATAAATGTAATGCAACTTGAAACCATTAAATACCGAACCGCAAAGAAATAAACATACATAAGCGAAAACAACACAATATAGATTGTTGTAAATTTTAAACATGGACCATATAATGATAAACACAAATATGTATATATATATATATTATAGGTATATGTGTAATTATCTGTCTGTCTGGCTATCTAGCTAGCTATCTATCTATCCATTTATTTATCTATCTATCTGTCTGTCTATCTATCTATCTGTCTATCTATCTATCTATCTGTCTGTCTGTCTTTCTGTCTATCCATATATGTACACCCCTCGATCATGTAACAGCTTGCAACATGGATCATTCAATTTCTCACAGCCCAGGCACACAGCGACGGCTTCGCTGAATGCAATGCCAAATTGCCAGAGATCCAGGAAGACGTCCTTTGTCGGCGCGGCGCACGGCCAGCACCAGCGATTTGTGGAAAAAAATGAAATTGGGGGAACGCGCTAAAATCATAGGGATATGATGGATATGATGGATATGATGGATATGATGGGTATTACGATGGGATTTACGTGATGGATATGTCTTTGGAGGCCTTTCCCCATGGGATTCACCATCTGAGCTTTCTTAATGACCCCCCTATTGGTCAACGGGTAACTGGACCCTTTTCAAAACCACACAGTGCACTTTCTTCATATAGCAGACATATATATATATATATACAGTACGTACATACTGCACATAGAATGCGAAAACCGATGCTATATACACACATGTTTCTAGATAAGGTAAGATAAGATAAGATAAGATAGATAAGTTACCAAGTAGGTAGGTAGATAGATAGATAGGTAGGCGGTAGGTAGGTAGATATATATATATATATTATATATATATGCATATATATTGTTGTGATTTGTAGGCTCTGAGTTACACATACCAGTAGGACCGTGCAAGGCGCTGACGGAAGTTTCAAAGATAGGAAGCTATAGGAGCGGGGAGGCCCCCCAGTTATCACTTGGTATATACCCCCTAGTTAACCCTAGTTAACCCTAGTTAACCCTAAGTTACAAGTCAACTTGGCTATCATAAATATTCATAAATCAGTTTTTTTCATCCCACCAAATCTCCTTTTTTTTGGTTGGTTTCGCCGCTTCAATCCACCAAAATCCCACGGTTTCGCCATGTTTCGCCAAGCATCCAGCTTTTGGAACGCCAGGAAGTCCGACCGTTCCTGGGATGGCCAGATGGCCCATAGAAATAGATGGTTTGTTTACCTATAAAATGGTGGTGATTTTCCATGGCGAACTGTAACAAAATGTAACAAATAACCAAATGGTAGGAGCTGAAAACGATTAACCCACCGATTTTGTGATTGAACATATTTGAACACTAAAACCGTTTAGGGGTTATGAGGAGTTTTGGAAGATGTCAATTATAAGCAACATTGCCTCTGAAAACAGAATTTCAGCATCCTGTTTTTGTTGCTACCCCTTTGATCCAAACCTGCCATCTGCTCCACCCCTTCCTCGCCTCGTGGCTACTGAGCGAGAAGGTTCCTTCGGTGCCTTCTGGGGGCAGCTTCCCGCGCACGTAGACGTGCCTGGCAGCAGCTGAGGGTGGCATACCCTGCGGCATTTTCAACGTGGCAGGCTGGGAAACCCACATGCTTCAGAGAAAATTGGAGGAATAACATCTGTGAAAATGAAATATGTTCAAGCCCCCCAGGGTAGATAGGGTAGATAGGGTCGATTTCCAGAGGGTAAAAGTTCAACCTGATGTGGTTGTCTGGTGGCGTTGAAGTATCATCACTGGCCAAGTCGTGCACAGGGCGGGTGGCCAAATCGTTGGTTTCAACATGGCAGCAACTCTCAAAGTTCTCGCGCCATGTCTTTACAATATCTGGTTGGTGGTTTCAACCCCTCTAAAAAATATTGGTCAGTTGGGATGATTATTCCCAATATATGGAAAAATGTTCCAAACCACCAACCAGATATTTTACAATGCTGTGTGTATGGATAGAATGGATAGATCGATGCAGTCATGTATAATGTATATATCCTGCCAGCTTGACTACAAACTTGGAAAACACGGTGGCATATCTCTTCCACTCGGACCCTTCCCCTCATGCTAATCCATTTTCCCTATAGATACAGTATGCAATTCACAAGCCCTGGTTGAATGGGATCCAATCTTTTCGGAAGGTCCATAAGGGGACTAACAGTGACTGACCTATATAGACAAAGGTTCGGTGGAAGAGATCATCGTATCCATGATTATCCAATGTTAAATAGTGTATTTACTTGTTCCTGCCAATTTTTGGAGCTTTAGCGCCATTTGTTAAGCAAGCAATTTTTCTGTGGAACTTAAATCAAAGCTCCAATTCAGCCAGGAAAATGAGCCACATGTTCACCGTGAACCAGTCCCAAGTGGGATGATCATATCAAATATATTCATATATATGTATACGACCATAAACAAACACAAAAAATAAAATAAATATAGCTATATAAACATAAAATACATAAATAAATAAATAAATAAATAAACATATATATATATATGTATGTAACTTACTCTATATGTATAATAACATTTGTTTATAAACATCTTTGTTTTTTAATAAAAAGAGATCTGGCTTTGATCCCGCCTCAAGGGCCGCAGGTCTTGGTACTCCAAGGCACCAGTGCTGCTCCAAAAAGGCCGCGACAAGTCCTGAGACTTTCGGAAAGTCATGGGAAAGTCATGGGAAAGTCATGGGAAAGTCATGGAAACTGTGGGAAACTGTGGGAAGGTATGGAGGACAAAATGTGGAAGATATGTAAACCTATGGAGATATGATATGTATGGAGATATGTAAACCTATGGAGATATGTAAATAACTAAATATGGAGATATGATATGTAACTAGGAAAATTATAGTAGTTTTTTTAAGGAAACTATAAAGGTCCCCCTAAATCATCCAAAAGCAGACCACTTTAGTGTTGAAACCTATGGTGACTGAGGGCTTCCCGCACTTCAAGACACAACCAAAGAGGAATATCTTCGGAATATGTTAGGAATATGTCAGGAATAGAATATGTTAGGAATCTTGGATAAAGAGATCTAGGAAGATTACGGGAGCTCTCACAATATATCTAAACATATTAAACATGACATGACACAACTAAGACCTGGTGCCTATTAGGAAATTAAAGGCTTGTGGAAGATGTCTTTACTGGGCCAGATCATCTGCTACCCAGAGAAGCCACAGCATGTTAAATATGCAAATGGCTGGGGATTCTCACCCCTCTGCGGGGCAAAATGATGGGCTGGAGCTGTTTTGATATGATACACAAAAAGGCCTCCGCTACTTCAACAAAACGTCAAGACACGTAATGCTTTTTGAACACGACAGGCTTATTTTTATAGCACCTATAAATACATAATATGTATGTTATATATTTGACCATATATCATAGATTTGTACGTGCTGACATTTGCTGATATTTTTCCAAGGAATGCCAGAACCTGAAAGCAAATGTGCGTATTTGATCTATTACACTTTGATATTGCATGATCTTTGCAATGTTTGTCCATGCATTCCTGCTTCTATATATGCCTCACTGATATGTCCTTGCGCATTGCTGTTAGTTATATAGACAGTAACAAAATGTACATGCCCTCCCGCAGCACACTCCAATGTCAAACAAAGGGTCGCTGTTTTGATTGCGAATCAAATTATGTGAATATATGCGAATGTGAATGTGCGCTTGCCCTATGAGTACCTTGCATGGAGATTGCAATGCAATATTTCTATCAATTATGGCCAGCTGACTCATTGCTTGCAGTCCAGCACCTGACTACGACGTTTGGCACAATCAACATGCACAACTTACACACACATATATATATATATACCATCCGGTTATTTAACATAGCCATGGAAAATCCCTTATAAATGGAGGTTTAGAGCTGGGAAAATCATCTATAAATGGGCCATCTATACAATGGCTATGTTAGTCATAACCAGAGGGTAACTTTTAAATACGTTTCATGAAATGTCACAAATTCCTTCGATTCTGCAGGTCAGCATCCATCAATGTTCCCTGGTGATACCTCAGATACATGGGGCTGGGGGATCTGTATCTGCAAAACATGACACAACAATTGATGGACTTTGGTTCTTTGAAAATCCAGGTGTATTTTTTGGTGGTTGACCCAGGATCTGTTTCAACAAATCAACACAAATACCCTCAGGTAAACTAACATAACTATGGAAAATCACCATTGTTCATGGGAAAACTCACTATTTCTATGGTGATTTTCCATAGCTATGTTAGTTTACCCGAGGGTCCCCTCTGGTAGACATGGTGTGCTGGAACATCCTCCGGCTCGATGATTGTCCAGCTCACCGAGCCAAGGGGTCCATCCGAGCCAACGTGCGACCCTGGGTCCTGAGTTTCAAGTAATACTGTTCAGTAATCAAAGATAGCAATAGAACATCCACCATTTAGATCCATGATTTTCCCAGCTATAAAGATTATAAAGCCTCCATAGGGCATGTTCCATTGCCACTTTCTTGATTCCCAAATGGTATAACAATCTGTTTCAACATGGTATAACCATCTGTTTCACCCAAATCAGTGCAAACTCACACAACATCTCAGCGAGACACCAGAGTTGGATGTGGGGCACCAGCCACATGACGCAAGATCCCGCAGCCATAAAGATGCTCCACCACATCCTTGGCAGGCGAACTGTCTCACCCCCAGAAATGGCAGCATTTGATGCATGTGCATCACCCAAATATGGTACCACATGTTTTGACCCAACCCCACATGTTATATGTATAATGGGTCAATTATCATAATTCACTAACCTGAAATAAAGCTATCATGGGGATGTTTCCCCTTACTAACCATGATTATAATGCGGTCGCAGTGAGGTTGTTACAATTTACCCATATATATATATATATATGTATATAATATATATGGCCAAGCAATATGAAAAAACATGCAGCAATAGTTGAAGTATATACCCGCATCCAAGGTTGACCCAGTTCAGCATTATGCCAGCTGCATAATGCTAGTAAGCATACACCATTGGCCCAATCATATACCGTTTCAGGTGGTAGGAAAAACAAAACTTGCCAAAGCGAGGTCCAGCATATGTACGCTAGCTGTGTGTATCTTCCAAACGCAAGGGCGATAAACCCTCAAATAGTTTATAGTTGAAACCAACTTTCATGGAAAGAAAACACGCGTCACACACAGCAAAAAGAGGCTTAAAAATTAGAGCATTTTCTAGTAGCTGAGCCAACCATGCCACCTATGAATGTGATTTTTCGCAGCTGCGTCTTGGACTTGCCGTTGCCGTTGACAACGTGAAATTCCCCAATTTTTCTATTGGGTAGTATCGTCCCGGAACTGATCATCAATAAACCATCATTTATCAAGTCCGAATTTTTGATGCTTAAAATCCGATGAACAAAACCGTTCACAAAACATCAGCCAACATAAAAATCCATATTTATCATGGCTAAAATCCTGCAAAAGCAATAAAACAAAAACCTCCTATCATCAACCAACATCAACCAACGGTTTCGAAGCCCAGCTTCCCAGATCCGTAGGTGCCCACGAAGAGGTGCGTTAACTCTGCCACGCGCACCTCTTCGCCTGGCCATTTACGGTGTTGAAGATTAGGGGGAAGGGATCATAAACCATTATAAACTCCATTAACTATATCATTAACTATAGTTATATCATGTTATATCTACCATAAACCATACTGAAGCCACTTATAAGGCGACTTAGCTATCTTGGGGGCCCCATCCTGTACTCTTGGCATCTTGGAGATTTCTTTTATCTCAATACAAATCCCAATTTTATATAGTTTGGTTTGAATCCAGATATTTGTTGGTCAAAATTGACTCCCTATTTGTTGTTTTTTCTTGATGAGGGACATTTGATGATGAGGGCTTGTATGTTTTTTTGTTGTGGAGGGAAAATTTGCCCATGGAAATCTCAAGTGCATATCTCAAATTGCAATTTGCACACGGTTTATACACTCCCTTCGAGCACCGCTACACAAACCTTTCAGCCAACAAAACAAGCGCAAGACTATGAAATAATTAGTAGGCTGTTGTAGGCCCGTAGTTTTTCCCCATTTTTGTTTTGGCAGTCTATTCCGCTGGGGTGTTAACGAGCAAGCACGAAAAGCGGGAAATAAACTACCAAAAGATAATGGAGCATGTGTGGCCGATGAATAGTTGTCACAATTGGGATTATACATCCCGCCTTTAATTGATTTTGTGTACATACCCTAGGTGTATTCAACCTCGTGTAATCTGGTAGGAACTAGCTATTTTCATCTATTTTCTACAAATGTTATGCATTTTACAATGAAGGTTCCTGACTGGTCCAAGACCGTTACTACATCGCACTACTTTCAATCGCCATACTTGCAATGGTGAGTAACAACACCTCTCAAACTAGGGATTCCAGTTTCCTGGTTTATGTCTATGGTTACTCTACTTCATGTTGCTTCTTGCATCACGCAAATTCCGTAGGCGCTAGGCCTAGCGTTTGGAACCGCTCCATCTCCACCACTGCCACACGAACCTCATGGCGGGACGGCTTCAAGAACCATCCACAGTAGGATTCATGAATCATGCGAACCATGTGAAGAATCTCATGAATGTCTTTTGTTTTTAATGTACCATCTGGTTATTTAACATAGCCATGGGAAATCACCATTTTTAAATATTTTTAATAGGTAAACCATCTATAAATGGGCCATTTTCCATGGATATGTTAAATAACCAGAGGGTATTTTAATGTTCAATCATAAAATTTCCGACAAATGATGGGGATAATCATCAAATCAGCACGGTTTGCGCTCAGATTTGACACCCCAAGTTTTAGCCATTGACCCTGGCTGGCCCTGGCACAGGGTCGAGAACTCAAAAATGTTCTGCAACCGTGGGGAGAATCAGCAGTTTCAACATACTTTGTTCTTTCATAACATGTCTACAGAAACAACCTATATCATTCCACTCAGCCACTGGAGACTGTGGATTGTAGATGCTCACATGCCCTCATTTGCTTCGCTGCAACTATGTTAAAGCCTTACTAAAGCCAATGCCCCCTTGGTTTTTGGATTCCTTATCAAATCTAAATAATGATGGATCTTCGAATGATTTATGCATGTGCACCGCCAACTGACAGCACAGCAAACACAGCCAAGTGCCAGTATATATCCTTCATTGCCTCTTGATTTATTTTGCGGGATGTTGATTATTACCGCATTGTGCCAATGGGCCAACAGGTTATCTGTCACTTGTGCCCTCGGGTTAGCAACTTACATTTTCATCAATCCTCATCCATCTTCAACCATGTTCATCCCCATTTTGTTCACCAGTTCGCTTGGCTATTTTTCTCAGCAGGTTGGTACCCCCCGTTTGTTCATTCACGTTGCCATATTCATGGCAACTTCCTACACACCAGGATTTTTCTTGGCAGATTGCCTGCGTCTTCTGAAGCGCTTCGTCGTTGGGAAACGTGTCGGCAATCCATTTCCTCAGGTTCCAACTGTCAACCCGGCAGCTGCTTTGAACACTGCCTATGTAGTTTCACCGTGTTTCCCAATCACGGCAACTTGGCGCCAATTTCTGAGCAAATCTGCGTGAAAAACAAATGGGGCGTTCCAAAGTGACAGTCATAAATTTAAACAGCAAATTCTAACATCATCAATGGCCATATATGCCTGAAATATGGTACTAACGTAGCTCCATTTTAGGATCCTGAAATTCTCATTAACATCAGTACCTCCCCCTAATATCAAATACATTCAAAGGAAACCCTGGTTGAATGTGTTGGATCTATTCCTTTTTGGCCGATTATGTGGTCGCTATTCAGGAAGAAGGGATGGAAAATCCATACGTATAGCTGGTGAAAACACCACATGTTCGTAGCGTATCATCCCATTTTGTTGTTTTAACATATTTCAACCTCCATTTTCGTAGAACACACGTCTTACCCGTCTTACCCTCTGATAAACTATCATAACTATGGAAAATCACCATTTTTAATGGGTAAATCCACTACAAATGGCCATTTTCAATAGCTTTTTGTATGTTTACCAGAGGGTAGTTGAACCCATTCCTAAAGGACTACAATCCATCCCTTGGACCGTCCAGTCGTCCAAGTCTCACCGCATCCTCCAAGTTCACCACAGCACGTTTGCCCTTTGCCACAAAGCCGCGTCGGAGGATCAGCACCTGATGAGGATATCAAAGTCATGTGGAAAACTCCATCGGTTAGAAAAACCTAGCAATGGATTGGTTGAACGGAACATCTTCACCGGAAAGCATCTGTTTTTTAACCCATGAGATATAGGGGGTCCGCTTAAAATGTTCCCTTACACCAACCTGTTCATACCAGTACAACTTATTGGGGATCATATGGCGGAACTGCAAACCAAGATTAAGTCAACTGACCGAATATTAACCATGATATTTTAAGCATGTTTGAATTGTGATAGGTAACGATACAAGACGGTGCCCCCACTTATGTTTGTTTGTTTACATCTTTTACATATTATATGTATAAATATATATATATTAATATACTCATTCGATATAGCTATCAAAAAGCCAACAGTTATTGGAGTTATAGATAACCTTGCTGTCTAGGGGCTCCCACTTTGTACCTGGTTTATTGGGGAGTTGGACAGCATGACACCACTACAATGACCACGTGTTGTCGGGTTTTTCTGATCCCATCCCCCTATATATATCCCTCTGCTATTCGTTCTACCCCCAAAGAACGGCCTGAAAACGAATAGATCCAGTACCAAACAAGTTCCAACAAGTGCCCCACGTCGACATAAGGGGGCGGTTTACCCATGTAGGGAGATGAGACTGCAATCACTGAAAATGACAAAGTTTGTAGACATCACTGTTCGACAAAACCCATCAAAACCCATAGCGGAGCATCCACGCTTTTATTACTGTATCCTGTAAGGCTCATAGGCAAACCTACAGCGCCATTGTTCAAAACATTTGCTAGCAAGTTATTGGTTGCTCAACCTATCGCGATTTTGAGCTGGATAAGAAAGCACCTCGCCAGTTTATCTACCAACACGCTTCTTTCTCAATCTGTGAAAACAATCAGCGATTGTTTAAACAACAGTAACCCACAACCATAGCAAATCGTAATAAGAATGACATCAAATCATAATCAGAATAACATCAGAAACTGTCACGGCACCCGCAGGCAGCTTTCGGCTTCCTCCTCCATGCATGGATCGGACTGCGATTCGCCGGGGCGGCTCCAGAGGTCGCGGAGCAAATCCTGGCTTCAGCTGGACATCACCAGAAATGGGTGGTATCAACTCTAAATCCACCACTGGGAATGTTTATCACTTGATTATACTTGATTTCTCATTTGCTTTGCCATATTAGTTGATTTCAATTTGTAAACCAATTGGGATTTTAACCACTTTGGCTGGTTGAATTTGTAGCATTTGGGTGTCCCTAAGATGTCGAAACCAGACAGTGACACAAATTTAAAGTGACCATAGAGATTTCACCCAGTGAAGAGTTGCTGCTTCCTGATTCCTGCTGGAAGCATCAAACCATATTCAAAGCATCAGCGAAATGGAAATGGAACATGGTTTATCTCAACACGCCGTGGTATCCTAGCTTGGAAGATGTCACATACCCTCTGGTAAACTAACATAACTATGGAAAATCACCATTTTCAATGGGAAAATCCACTATAAATCACCATTTTCAATAGCTATGTTAAATTACCAGAGGGTATGTCACATTTTGCCGGGAAAAATCTCGGACATCGGACAACGGCTGGCAGAGCTGGCAGAGCCCCATCCGTCGACGAGGCTCTGCTTTGGACCGGCCAGGCCAAGCATAGTTGGAAGCCACCTCGGCATCCCCAGGACAGGACCAAGCAGTTCGGTCAACCGTCACGTCGTGCGGTCAACCATGGTATACCCATAGTGGCCAGGCATGGTGTGTCATGACCTGAACATGAGGTAATTTATCTGGTTGGTGGTATACATACCCTTCTGAAAAATATTAGTCAATGGGAAGGATTATCCCATATATTATGGACAAATAATCCAAATGTTCCAAAGCACCAACCAGTTATGGTAATTGACCCTGAAACAGTCTGATGTTTGTGGCGGGGATTCTGGATTCTGACAGCGAGGAACTTGCACGAAGCCCTCCAGTTCCTCCGCGCGCAAATCGCTGGGCCGCGAGATCCAGTAGCCTGCACTGACCGTCGCAAAGGGGTGACGTCGATGTGATGTGTTACAAGGTGGGGACCCCAGTCATCTTTGATTGTTGATAACACCCTGGAAATAAGTGTTATATGTATATATATATATATATATGTGTGTGATATTATTCGTATTATATATATATAACTTAACATTCATTCATATTCCACATAAACTTTGGTACCCTAGTTAACTAAGATATTTGCATCAACCTAGCTATCTAGGCTAGGGCGGCTAGAGGGCGTCACCTTGTGTAAACATGGGTTAAACAGCTGGTCACTACAATTTTTTCTGCTTTCGCAGTTTGAAGAAATGAACATAAGGGAATTCACTAATCAAATGAATTGTGTTTACTAGATTGAGAAGATCCAAACGATTACTTCTGATGCAATCTTGACAAGTGGGCATGTGAATGCATGTGAATGCATGTGATACTGTACGTACATATATATATATATATATATATGAACATTTAGTGAAACATAGCCCGGATACCTCCTCATATTTTTCAACGCCAAGGCTTGTTTGGGTCACATGACGACTTTCGGTGACTAACTTCGGATGAATCCAGGGAGAACACTTAACCTGCTCCGGTGAAGCATCAGGATTATGTGCGGATTCCGATGTGTTTTTCTCAATCCCTACATCTTGATACATCTTGATACATCAAACGATATATGTGATCTTCCGCAGTGCTTTTTGCAGGGTGACCATCGTTCACGATATCGTTAAAGAAGGTCATGCGGTCGCCTGCGGGGTGGCAGTGCAAACGAGTCCAATCAGCCACCTTGCGGTGCAGGCATTCTGCGATGGATACTTCGTCTCTCCTTGATGGCCCACCCCAGGAATCGTTTTTGTGGGTTTACCCACCCCAGTTGTAACCGGACTAAGCCCATCCCGACTTGTAACTTGGGTTGTAACATGTTATCCCACTTGCGATTCTTGGGGTGGGCCACCAAGTAGCTAGGATGAAAATGGAAACAAACAGAATCGCCTTCCACCTGGGGCCTTGAATGATGAACTTCAACTTGGATCTTGCCACCCAAAGTGGGGCAAAAAGCAAAATGCTTGAAACACTGCCCCTTAAAACATCGCTCCTATGTGTTCTCATCAACATGTTTTACGGTCCCTCATATGAATCAGCCACAGAACCAGCGAGGCCCCCAAAATCGCTGTCTAGAATCACACTGCTCATGAAATGGCTACAGTGCTACAGCATCAACCCCCAGTCCATACTTCAAAACTTTTATTTTTTTTGCGTGAAAATCATTGAAAATCCCCAGAGACAAACAAACGCCGTCACTGAACATCCAACACCTTCCATGAACAGCGGGGCCTCCATAGGTGCTGGCACGGCCGAAACGTTCACCTCCTGGATCTGAACATCACCGCTGTGAAAGCCGTAAATCACAGAATTTCATGGTTCAAGTCACCAAGACTATCGTGTGGTTGGGAAACTTTAGTAGCTCCTTGGCTCTTCATTTAATAGATTTTAATAGTGAATATGAATCCCCTGGATCCTTAGCTCCCTTCTAACCACTGGATAGCAGAGACGTCTGGGAAAAAAAAAACAATCTGAAAAAACGGTCCTGCGCTGACATCAGCAGGGGCGGCCGATCTGACAGCATTTCCAGCCATGGGAGCATTGCCTGAAGATTTTTTTTTAACCAAACAGAGCCATGAACAACAGGGGGCTTAACCAACACAAATTGGGATTTGACGGTAAGAAATTAGGATTACATGATTCCCACGGGGGAAAGTGATCATTGGGATAGATGGGATAGGTTGTACGGGCATCATCGTCAAAATGCTTGAATGTGATCCAACAATAATATGGCCAAACTTAGCTAAGTCTAGATGAGACCCCTTCAAAGAGCAGCTTTTCTTGGTGTGTTTCAGCGGAAATCTGAGATTGATGGTTTCAAGTCCATCAATTGTGTCATGTTTTCTTTGCCACCTTTTTTTTTGGGAAGGATAGAAACGTTTTTTTCCAGGATGTTAGAAATGATGTGTCCCCCATAAACCCCAGGTTTCCATAGGTTTCCAAAGTTTTCTACGAATCCCATCCCCCAAACACCAAACAGCGCCGTTTCTGTGGTCGCTGTTTTATGTCTAATTTCAGTACTATAGTTACTAGACCATGGTTTCTGTATGTTTCTGTGGGGTGTGGCTTGTATAAGGGGGATGGGATTAGCAAAATAGAGACTTCATGAACAAAGTCATGGAGATGTTTGGCAAACTATTGGATACCATGGCCGAACTTTATGTAGGCACATTGCAGAAATGATAGATGGCCCCTCCCTCCCCAAAAACAAACGCTGACGATTTTCATCACTTTTCCTAAAACCTAGATTAGAAAGTCCAATCTGCCAAGAAATTGCCAGGAGGACACGTTGAAAGCCGAAAGCCTTCATTTAATTTGTTGTAATAGCTCCAATGTCTAATTCAATGTCACCCGGATGTCCTCCATACAAAAAGAATATCTTGGAATTTCTTCCGTGGGTTTAGCCAGCACTTTTCAGCACCAAAAGGTATATACACAAGGGATCACAAGGGACACCTGTGGCCTGCTTTGAGATGACTTTCCTACGAATGTTAGAGCCAAGCAGCACTCCGCGTGGCGTGATAGTGATCAACCTCATGGAGAGATAAGACGGTTGCATCGTGGCTAACAAAGAAGTTACATGTACGTGTATAATATATTAAATGCGTGTATATAAATATATATAGTTATATAATGCCAACACCGGATTAATAAACCCCCCCCACAAGATAGGGGGGTACCTTGTGACTGGTTTTCTTGACCACCCCTTAATAATAGCCAACTCTGAACCATCAACATTTGGATATGGCTTACGTCAATTAGATCTTAATAGAATTCCATTGGATTTGTTAAAAATTCATGGATCAGAAAGGTGGTTGATTAATCAGGGGCAAACCCTGGTTATTATTAATGGGGGACCTGGGCTCATGGGGGGTACCCTTTGGGAGCTATCCAAGCTGATGATTTTTATAAAGATTTTAATTAGAAATCGATCATTTGGGGAATAGTTGTTTTTTGAAATTTTCAATGATCAACTTAAACCAGAAGTATAACAATGATGATTAAAAAAAAAGGTAAAAAAACAATTGGAAATAAATAGAATTGGAAATAAAAAATGTTGGATAAAAACATGGATTTCAGAATTGGTGGTTGATTAATCGGGGGTAGGCCAAAGTGTTTATTAATCTTGGGGGACCACCTGTTTTTAAATTACATCTTTTTTTGGGGCAGTTGCTGTTGATTAATCGGGGGGGTAACATTAATCCTCACTTGACATTATATATATATATAATAATTATATATATAGTTATATATATATATATATGGCAAATGCCTGCGCTTTTTCCCCGAACCGCAACGACGACGGGAGTAAATATTCCCTAATACCTTTGTTGATCTTCCCCATTGAATGTAGAGTTTAACAGGGGTCGGATTCTAATATTCCCTAATACCTTTGTTAATCTTCTCAATTGAATGTAAATGGGAATGGGAACCCTCTACGCTGCAACGCTGGGGCAAAGCCTAGGCGTTGCGCGTGTACACACATAAATATATATATATGTGTGTGTCACTGCACTGGGTAATGTAAGTTAATGATGCATTCATCATTTATCAGTAAGTTAAATGTTAACTGAAGTTACCAAGTGTATATATATATATATATATGTATATACATAATTAATTGGTTCATGCATGCTTAACTCACAAATAAAAACATAATATCATCCATATAACATATATCCATAAATATCCAAAAGTTGCAGCAACTTCAAAGTTGCCAAGGCTTGCCCCCCATAGCTACCGCCCAGGGCTACACAGTCAGGGCGCTTCAAAGCCGGCGTCGCGAAGCTCCCAGGCGGGGAAGAAAATATAGAGCCTCGGATTTGTTTTCCCATTTCACGGGTGATGTAACTGTCTGCTGACTTAGCTGGTTTAGCTGGTGATGTAACTGTTCAACGCCACGTTTTTGCTGCTAAATACCTTTTTTATATGTTGTATCTATAGTATTCTATAGTTACATTATTTGTTTATGATTGGTGATAATAGTCAAAAACTGTCTTTTGCGTGTCATGGGGTTGGTGTTCCAGGGGAAAGGTAGAAAATCCGGGAGTTCCAAGTTTTGAAAGTTTTGAAACCGTTGGCATTCTGCGATCTTCAAGGCGCAAAAACCAAAGGAAAGGCATCGTTTCATCCATGGTTTCATTCAAATGTTTCGCTTGAAGAAAGTCTGCTGGTTTCAAACATGGTTTCAACCATGGTTTCAACCATGGTTTCAACCATGTACCCTCTGGTAATTGGTTACATAGCTATTGAAAATGGCCATAGGAATAGTTGATTTACCTGTTCAAAATGGTGAATTTCTATAGCTATGTTAGATTACCAGAGGGTAAATATCAAGATGAACTGAATGGGGTTGTTGTTCGCCGTAACATGCCGTTGCACCATGGTGATGAACCTGCCTCAGAAAGGTCAGGATAATTGTCCATGAGCCTAAGAAAAAACTGACCATGCTGCATCTATAAACCTTTAAACAGATTGAAAATAGCTCAGCCTATATATAAAAACCATCGAGATTGATGTTTAAACCATTTTAAACCATTCTTTTCAAACATGTTCAAACTATGATGTTTGATCAAAGGTCGCTGTCAAACTAAGATAATCCCTGATCAAACAGGACTTCGATCTTAATCCAGGGTTGACAGGATTGATAATGGTTATGCGAGTTCCCAATGTTTCCATCATCTACAGCTATCATATCCCTAGTACACTCCTATTATATCATCCATATCACATCTTTAATTAACCCACCATCAATTGTAGGTTAATCCGTATTGAACCAAGCCGCTGCAAAGATCCCCGCAGCTGATTCATGGCTTCCAAACCACCGTGAGCGAGGGCCAAGCCTTCAGCGCGGGGGTTTGAAAAGCAGGTGGTAATCATCGGTGTTGATCCAATCATCCACCATTTCGGTGGATCTCAGTCCTAATCAATGGTTGGTGGTGGTCTACCCTCCGGTAATTTAATATAGAAAACTCGGAAAATGGTCCGTTTTGATTTTCCACCGCACGAGTTGTTCAGCACTCTGCCAGTTTGATGGCAGCTTCGGGCAACTTTTGATGGCAGCTTCGGGCAACTGAGGCTTTGACAGCCTAAAGCAAACAGCATGCAAGCGGACATTACTTGCACAGTGGAATCCAAAAATCAGGGATGACATCTCCACATGGAAAAAACAGTTTGGTAAAAGATTGAACACATGTCATGGATCGTTCCAATCTCTCCAGGACATGTGAAGACATTTTGTTAATTTGTCCAAACCCTCGGGAGCTGATCTTAAGCCTAGAATTGAACCCGAGGATGTTTCGCAAATCCCCTCGGATCACCAGCTGCTTGCATGGCAATTGGATTTTGCTGATGAAAACCCGTCTTAAAACGGTTAAAACATGTTCAAACATGTTCAAACCATAGTTTTTGATAGTTTTTGGTGGTTAAATCCCAATTTTCATCCATTTTCAACATTTGAAACTTTGAAACCGAAATGATGGGAACTCACAGGAGCCTAGGAACCCAGGGTCGCATAGGTCACTGCAGTGAGGTGATAGATGGAATGCCCGAGAGTGGACCATGCCTGCGGGCCGCTGAGCTGGGGAATTGCAAAAAAACATCACCAAACTACATGGGCAAATGTTCATCTTTGTTCATCAAGTTTCATCATTTTTTTCACCATTTGTCCATTTGTCATCATTTTTCATCCCCCTTTGTATTCGGTCCCTGACCCGGGTGTCTGGATTCTTTAGTGGGACGCCCTGTGGCACAAAACGAAATCCCTAAAAAATAGGAACCGTCACCTGCAGGCACATGGAATAGTGCCGAAAGAATCAGGACCCGGAACAAACCTCGACATAGCCAAACAATTGCCTAAAGAATCAAACAACCCGGGTTGGAGTTGTAGACATCTCCCCCTTTTCCAAGCCTTGAACATATTTTGAAGCTTTGGGTGGCTCAATGGTTCTTAGGAAATCTACCCACAACATGTTTTTACGTAAAAAAATAGGCTTCCAAAGTGGCCAAGGCCATGTTTTCAAAACAAGGTTTTTCATCAGGTGGCCTTTCTAGAGAAAAAGTGAATCCATTGCTGAACTCAAAAGAAAGACTCTATATAAAGAATCAAGTGGAAACTGACAACCCGGTTGGTTTATGCTGGTTTGATTCTGGAGAAAAAATCCAGTTGTGTTCATCATTTCTTATGATTTTTTAATGGGAACATCACCGAAGAAATGTTCAGAAACCGAGTCGCAGGGGAATCCACAAAGAGCAGCACCGCCTTCCGGCCGCCCGCGGCGAAAACACGGGCGCCAGGCTGCGCGCGGAGTAGCTTCCAGGAGCCCGTGAACTCCTGGGCGATGGCCATGGATGGTGGTTGAGATTGGGCCACCCGAACGCAAATCATATACATACATATATATATATATATATACATATACACATATTATATACTTGGTATCATGATATTAATTGGTATATCACTAATAACAAGAAATATGCTTTCACGGTTATTGAAATTATTGTCATGGTAATAGGAGGACAATAATTATTCTAATTGTCATGATGGAGACATATAGGAATAATTAATTATTATTATTACTGTGGCAAGAGTCAGCAGTACCATAAAATAAACAACCGGTTCTTGGGGATTCTCATTGCACATAAAATGTGAAAACAACAGCCAGTGATTTTCTATTTTGATGTAACATGATGGAACAACACATATAATGTCGTCTAATATCAAACATGAATATACACATTTATGTCGATAATCTGACGAATTTGGTGATTTGTTCATCTATGTTTGTTATTTTTTCTCTATATCTCTCTCTTTCTCTCTCTCTCTCTCTCTCTCCGTTTTCCTGCCCAAGAGCTTTGCCTGAAAGCACACACATATATATATAGATATATACTGGTTGGTGGTATCAACCCCTCTGAAAAACACTAGTCAATGGGAAGGATTATCCCATACATTATGGAGGAAAAACTATTTGAAACCACCAATCAGTACATATATATATACACATACATATACATGACATATACACGCACATGTACGCCCTTCAGGAATCGGTTATGATGAGAACCATCCCTGCTTGACAAACACCAAAGCACATAATCTGTCATGATTCCGACCCAAAAAATATGCATGTAACAAATTTTTGAAGTTATTGGTATGCTGGATCCACATATGTTTACGACTCTGGGCATCAGTTCCCCATCAGTGCAAGCATCAAAGAGGTTCAACTTCCTTTCGTGGAGCCCTGTCAGATCCATTGAGACCGCAACGGCTGGTGTCATTTTTAAGAATCCAGTACACGGGTTTCGGACACAGTGGCATGGGAAGCAAATCGTGGTACCATGGAGGCCTCTGGATATATTCCCTATAAAGACAAACAGGCTCGGCGTGTCGTGTTAGCCCATGTTATCCCATCCTTGCCTTCAACCCTCAGATGGAGCGTTCCTGACGGCAGTCGCGAATGGTGCTGCCAATCCTAGCGCTACAACTATCAAATAAATGGAATCGATCAAGTCGTACAGTTTGAACGATCAAGATGATCAAGGTGATCAGGATGCGGATTTTCATTTTTTAAGGTCAGGTCATGTAAGGTCGACTTGGAATAGAAGTCATTTGAGTTGTTGTTTAAGGCGCTTCCCCATGTTTCTCCTACTGATAGTGCGATCAGGAAACAAATGCCCCATGGATCTCCGACATGTGCCTAAATCTACCGTCGGGTAATTTAACATATGAAAAAAAAGGTTTAATACATAAATAATATATACATGAAATCTTCTACATGTGGGCCATTTTCCAAACATTTCGCATAGCTACTGTTACAGTAGCAGTACCTATATCTACTCAAACAAATCACCTACAGTATGGGGTAATCGTACTTGGAGCATGGATGAAAGGAGCTTCGCCCTGACACAGTGGAAGAATCACAATTCCAGGTCTTTCTGTGATCGATGCTGATTGTTTCTGAAACCAGGAAAATGGATCCTTCAACACTTATGAAGCTGCTTATTCCAGGCGCCGGAAATCAATCGGGGTCAGGATGGAACAAGGGCCTCCCCCAAGTATAGGGCAAGAGTATCCACTGGTTAAATCATCTGCAATGTCGGTTTGGAGTCTCTTTATCACATATATGGTGACAATAAGAATCTATGGTGTATAGAAGAAACGCAAACCAACAGACTTGTCATGGCGTCAGAAGGACATGGGTCACGGGTCAAAGTTGTATAATAATCAATGATAATATATATATATATATTATACTCTCTCTCTCTCTCCATAGATATATATATATATATATCATATATATATATATCAAATATATATATCTATATATATATATATCTCTCTCTCTCAAATATATATATATATATAAATACATAATTATGGGCAATTAGTGACGAATATGATAATTCATTGAACATGATTGCCCCAACTGTAACCATCATTCTGGTGACGTTGCAGTGAGGTCCCCCCAAACCATGACCAATCAGATGGCGGACCTTGAACGACCTCACCTCACCTTGGATATTTCAACCGGCGAACCTTAGCCCACCAAAAATGGTGAACATCATACCCTCTGGTAAACATACAAAAAGCTATTGAAAATTGCCATAGAAATAGTGGATTTACCCATTAAACACGGTGATTTTCCAGTTCGCTATGTTTGTTTACCAGAGGGTAACAGCCGATATTCCATCAACATACACTGGTCAGAAATTCACTACAAAAAAGGAACAAACACCTCACCAGTCCCTTGATCAGCCCAGAGACCATTTGCGAAACAAAAGGGTGGCAAGACCGCTGCATTCTGCAGGAATGTGGGTCTCAACAAGCCTCTGCCAGCTCTGCAGAGTCGGTGAAACCCAAAGCAGCCCAAGATTGCACTGGTTTCTGCATGTGTTTGGAATTGGAATCTTTAAGCCAATAAAACATATCCATAGGATCCATGTATGGTATATATGCTATTATTGGGGGTATATTGATGGGATCCATGTTACCATATACAGCAGCACCATGGATCCTATGGGATAGGGGAGAAACATGGAGAAACAGACACTATTTCTATCATAGAGAGGTCATGTAAATCTCACAGCTGCTGCATAGTGAACCACCTTATATTTGTCGACTCGATTCGTAGCATAGCTTCAAACGTCCTTTAACATTCGAAGCATTGTTTTTCTGACATTGCTTTGAAAATTGTCAAATATCTGGTATATCTGGATGTTTATCCCACCAGACGATATATAATAGCAGGTAACTTGACCCATATCCAAATCATAGCCCAAATATTTTCCTAAGAAGGTACTTGGATCCATAGGGAATCAACCAACGTTAACTATGGTTAATTATGGTATGATGAAATTATTGATGATATTATATATGATATGTAATGTTGGGATCAATATAACACATGGATAGTTTAATTATATCATATATCTATAGCGTCACATCCCTTCTGCCAAGCAACGCTGTGCTCCCGGCTCCGGGGGCCAAGCGCTTAAAGCCTCAGTCACAGTCGGAAAATATCCGTCGCAATAAATGGAAAGCTAAAAAGGTAGCAAATTCACATGGGTTTAATGGGATTTAAAAGGATTTAGTGGGATTTGATTGGATTCCGTTGATGTCACACATTGTTAGCTAAGTTGCTTTGCTTCACCATCCTTTACAGTATATAAAACAATGAAGTTTATGATAGGTGTATCGAACTAGTGACAGTAGCTGGGTGAACATGAGCCACAAGCATAACTAGAACTAGGGGGCAACCACCCCTTGTAGCCAGTCAATGGATGTCAATGGATTTGTTGAAAGGGAAATAGCATTTAAAAAATGCAATTATGGTTTTGTAAGTTATTGTTGGCCCTGGTAAACGTAGCCTAGATGTGCTATGAAAATCCCATGGAAAATCCCATGGAGGTCATCTGCTTGCCGCTTGCCCACCGCGGACCAAAGTGAGTTGTTCCAGCCGACCTTGGGGCAACTCCAATGCATCAAAACTGCCATGTCTCGAGGGGATCAGTACGGGTGGGTTATTCACAGCTACATTTTGGCGTGGTGCCATCCTATAGGCGGCGTTTCAGGAAATTGCAAAGGACATAGGAGTGTCTATATGCCATATACGGGTTTATCTCGAGGACTCTATTTCTTACAGGATTTCACCCGTGATTGGACACATAGCCTTGAAGATTGTCCGATGTTTCATGTGGTTTCTGTGCAGGTTAGAGAGGAACAATTCGACTAAAATACAGTTTCCACCGATGGCAGGGCACGGTTGATATATGTTGATATCACTGGCCTTGTTTGAAGTTGTTGCATTCATAGGATCAAATGGAGGCTCCTTGCCTAGTGCAGCACCAACGAAAACACCAAAAACCATACCCCCCGGTAGTAAAACATGACTTGCTGGAAAATTCCCAATTTACTTCGACGATTTTCCCCTTCGATGTCCCAGCTAGTTAGCTAGTTCGGGGAATTCCATAGCCTCCCGGATCCCCAACTGGAGTCAAACAAAGAGTGTGAATGTATCAATCCAGTTGTAGATTGGTCTAGATACGTGCATTTGTTTGCCTATGCCATAGCCTATGCAAGTCTGTAGGAAACTAAGAGGCTCATCTATCTCTGTATCTATGAATGTATTTCAGACTATCCATCTATCTATCTATCTATCTATCCATCTGTCTGTCTTTCTGTCTGTCTGTCTGTCTGTCTGTCTGTCTATCTAAGTGTCTATCTGATCTTATCTATGCTTACTAATCCAATCCGATCACAATCCACAATCACAATCATAGTCACCATAGTCACACTCTTATCAATCCATATTATAGAATATTATAGATTATTAAAGATTATTATAGTGTATATATAGATTATAGATTATTCATTGATATTCTAAATAGTTTGCCTCCCGAGGATTCCTCCACTGCCGTCTCGTTGCGAAAGGGGATGCGTCCGGATGCACCTTGCCCAAGTACGCAAACCTCGGCGCGGGAAGGTTGGGATGCCATGGATGCCGTGATTTATGCTGAAATTAAAAAAAACATGATTTGTCCACAACATTGGTATCGTCTCTAGAATTTGCAAGGTGTTTAAGCGCTTTGACTCTCTGATATGGCCCACAAACCAATCCATTGACAGTCACTTGGGATCATCATCCCATTGGTTGGCTTGAACCGTTTTTTTTTGAATCAAACCAAAAGAAAAACCATACGGATTCTCTACATATTTAAGAGAACTTTCTACATATTTAAAAGTATCCTAAACATATTCTAAGCATATTCTAACCATATCATATCCATGTTGCCATTCACCCACTTTCATTCTAACCATATCATATCCATATACTAACCACATACCAAACATAAATAAATATAAATCATGCACATCTTCTTCGCCAAAGGCACAGCTCCGCCAGGCTCAGGAGGTGCGTGTTCTCCTGAAGGCGTTTTATGGTACTGGCTTAACGTGTTTAAGGTAAATTTCACTAGTAAACTTTTTTAACAACAAACACTTAAAGACTTCTTTGCTGGCGTAATGTTTAAATGTCTTTAACAAAAACTTCTTTTTTTTGATGATTGTTGAGTGTGAACCCCCCATGTCTTTTGGTGCTTGATGTCCCCGTCATGTTTGATGGATAAATAACCGATGTACCTTCCAGCAGTCTGAACTTTGCACTCGAAAATTATCCAGGTTCAATGGGCTGATCGTCTACAAAACTCAGGATTTCGTTCATGGAAACCAATGACATTTGCCATTGCCAACTTCCGCAACCAGTTGAGTTGATTCTGCCGCCTGCAATGCGAAATGGACGGTTACCACTCACCTGTCATCAAGCAACTGCCAGAAAATAATACCTCAAGGTTAAATAATCCCCCATTTCACTTGCATGGTGGTTGAATGACCGAGGATTCAACATAAATCAGTGATTATGTAATATATACATATATATATATATATTGGATCACTGGTATATATATATATACTTACACTGATGTATAATATATTATGATAATATGTATATATATAACATATGGAAGTAACCGAGCATTCAATATATATATATATGTGATTTACATCTCATTTTCATATGGGAAAAGCCACCATGACTGGGATGACCTTTCCGCACCTGGCCATCCATAAAGTGCTGAACACTTCCATCGAAGCAATCAATGCCTGAGATGCCGTCCGAAGTTACTGGGATCTACCCAAATCATAGGCTAAACCCAATGAAAATGGTGCATTTACATGGATTTACTGGAACATTCATAGGGAACAAAACCTTGCAAAACCTAACGAAAAATTGTGGATTTACTGGATCATTAATAGGGGAAAAAACTAGGGGATATATGGTATAATCAAGTATAATCAAGTATAATCCATGCTTAACATGGTAAACCCAATAATAAATACCCACCATCTAGGATGATTTGTACCGTCCATGTATGGTGATATGAGGGATGACGGATTAAGCGGCCAAAAAGAAAAAACTACCATAAGATTCCCCAAATCGTGGATTAGCCAATGGGAAAATAAACAACATCACCTTTAAAGAAAAACACAGAGTTATAATCAAGTGTCAGCCAGGAAATGGTTGGGGGGCCAACCAAAATCTATTGGATTGTCTCTTGGGACAATCCAGTAGTACAAGAAGTCATTTCCCAGCAAAACTACGACCTTCCCCATTTCCCCAATCTCACAATGTTTCCATGGAAGAAACAAACCCCCAATGCAATACATCACATGTTCCACTTCCAAATTGCCAAATGGTTGCTTGGAAAAAGGCTACCCCATATTATGATTGCGCAGCTCATTTTTTCGGATGCTCTTGATGGCCATACATTGGAGTAAATCCCCCGTCTAAAGACAAAACTGACTCGTGTTACTATACTTCATATCCCATCATTTTCACTTTACAGCTAGTACTCCCAGTATACTCCCGCTATATTCCCAACCTATTCCCACCATATGTCCATTTTTCATCACTTTTCACAGTCCCATTGAACGCCTCATCCAGATCTGTCCGCCGAGCGACAAAAGGTGAGCATCATGCTGACTTGGTAAAAATGTTCACGTGCCTTTGCCAAATCGCGCTTGTAGAGCCAATACCTGGCAGCCACGTTTACTACTGTGGTGTGGTTCGGCAAGGTTACAAACAGAAAAACAGCTTGAAATGTGGGAATGGCTCAAACATGGCTCAAAAGTTGCTCAACATGTCTCAAACTTTGAGTTTGTACCCAGGAGATGGTTTCATGTCCTACAACTCGCCAAGTTTGATCAAGTTTCGCCCAAAGACTTGGCCCGAATCCAACCCAAAATGAGTTGTGGTCGGCTAGTGGTTTGACCCCCCCCAGCAACTGGCAATAGGATCAATGTTCGAAGAATCGGTAATATGTGGTGCTCTGAAACAAGAAAGTGGCAATATGCACCGATTCTCATATATATATATTTATATGTATGTATCTCTCTCTCTCTCTATCTCTCTCTTTAGAATGCCTAAATATAGTTGCCTAATTTCTGCCAATTCACACACGCGGTAAATAATAATTATTATATACATATACATGTGTCATAAATACATACGGTATTTGCATAGTATATATATATATATTGATTATTAATATGTATGAATATGCAAATCTTGTAGATTAACCAGAACTATATCAGCGCAGAAAAAACCGAACGACCGGTCCGATCTTTTTCGACCAAGCAGCTGGCCGCAGACGGTCATGGTGATGATGCGCTTGGGTAGGCAAGCCTCGGCCACCATGGACCAATGGATGGCCCTCCTTGGGCAGGGCACAGCCCAAGGAGGTGGGAATTTTCGTGAAATGCCATGGTATTACTTTAAGAACCTTGCCACGAATATAGAAGGGTGGGGGTTTCCGATTTTGGTAATTATTTCTAATCTGAACATAGATAGATGACTTATCAATATGACAAATATGGATTTTTGTGCAAGACACGTTGGATTATATACTTGGGACTAATCAATCTGAATATATGCACTGACTTGTGGGCATGATCACAAATCAGGTTGCAACATGGAGCCCTGATCAAACCACATATAGGAGGACAAGCAAACAGCATCTTCTTCCCTCCAGAGAAACCTGTCATTTGAGCTCCAAAAAAGTTGCACCTGGAGATCGCAACTATATTAACTACCATCTGGTAATCGAACATAGCCATGGAAAAAGGATGAAAAAGGATGAAAAAAAGCAAGCTTGTTGACTATTTACCTATTGAAACATGTCCATTTATGTAATGTTCCATGGCGAAACGCTAGGTTCCTATAAGGTATGGAGTAATTATAATTATAAATAATATATATATATATATAGTTACTAACTAATCCCATCAAATAAACATACATAAACCGTGATAAACCCACACAAATCACCATGTTGGATGCTGAAAAAAACTACCATTTCCCATCCGAGGAGCATAGACTCCTGTGAGCTGATCGGCTTCGGGGAAGACCAGGACCTTTTTTGTAAAGCGCGGCGAGACGAGAACATTGGTGGAACTTATTAGATATAGTACGAAATAGAATATGAAATATGATATAGTGAATCTATAGTTCTAATGAAATCTCACCTTTCAGCCAATATAACCAATGATGCCTGGTCGGTGGTATACCTACCCCTCTGAAAAATATTCGTCAGTTGGGATGATTATTCCCAATATATGGAAAAATAAAAGCCATGTTCCAAACCACCAACCAGTAAAATATAGTAATTATGATTTACCACCCCAAAAAGTGAAATTTCGTTAAAGATGATATAGTATGATATAGTGATAATTGATGATATAGATGATATAGTGGTAAATGATTTTGCTATAGTGCTCCCCCCAAAAAACAACTATAGTTTTTTTTTGGGCTATAGATGATATATATATATATGGTGATAAATGATCTAAACCAACTATAGAAAAGTGTTTTTTTGCTGATGATATAGGTTGATATGGTGATAAATATTTTTTGGGGATCTTTTTTTGACTTTCCCAATCTAGTGATCACCCAGCAACAAAGTGCGTCACGGACATGGTTCCCACAGTTAATGTTTGAAGATTGCACGGATTGAACAATAATGGCCAATGTTCGATGTTCTTTCTCTGGTCGGTCACCAGACTAAACCACTTTCGCTTCAATGCACCAAGGCATCACTAGTGGTACTAAAATTTATAGCGCCTTGACCCTTACCTACCTTCTCATCAATTTTCATCTCACCTTTCAGCAGAACATTGGGATTTTCTGGTGCCACGGAGTCGATTTTTTTTCAGCATCTTCCAGCGATGAACAGATGCCACATTTAAGGATGGTTTACAGAACCCATCTAACTGGATATTTATATTATTTATGGGAAAACTCATGAAAATTGGAGATGATTGGGGATGGATGGGGATGAATTACCAACATTACATCAAAAAAATGAAACATGACCGTCTTTCTACATGACTCAACGATTCCATGGGTTGCAAGAGACCCTGGCGTTAGGCCGAGGCGCGTGATGGGGAGGGACAAACCTCGGTTCCAAGGCCACCAGCGAAACTTCTGGATGTCTACGGAAGTAGCGGAAAAAAATTGAAGCCCAGCAACCATTGCCAGCTCTTCTCCTGGGCGATTGCACCCGTTTCGATTTTCAGCATGAAAGATGTCAAATGACGAAACATATATGATGTAGCTGAAGCAAGAGCATAAAGGAAGAACATCCATAAACCATTCCCAATTGGGGTTACTCTTAAATTAGGTGTACCACACAAGATGATTCCCCCACGGCATCTCTAGTGAGGTCGATGTGCTCCAAAAACACTCCAAACCTCCACGACTTGGAGGATCATAGCACATATCACTTATATAACTACTGGTTGGTGGTTTTAACCATCTTGAAACATATTAGTCAATGGGAAGGATTATCCCATATATGAAATGGAAAATAAAAGCCATGTTTGAAACCACCATCCAGACTATATATATATGATACATCTACGGAGGTTTCCTAAGCCATGGAGGTTTTCCCGTTGTCCATTTGATTCGCTCAGAACGGATTCCGCATCCACCGGATCCACCGGCCTGGATGATGCTGCAAGGACTCTCCTCCTGCACCAAGAGGTCCAACATGGCGTCGTGAGCCGCATCACCTGGGGAAAAGCCATGGGGAAAGTCAACCGGGATCAAAAAACATGTTTTTTGATGAGTTGTTTCATCAAAAAATGATGGCTGGGATGAGGGTTGAACTGAAAAACAACTTCAACTAGAGGCACTTGGAAGATGAAGCTTGAACTGAACAAAAATTCTGTTGATCTGGCCGGAGGATGAGAAATTCTGCAAGAAAAATGCGGGAATTCGCCTGGGCCCTTATATCTGCTTTAATGGAAACTATCCCATGGGCTCTGATGGGTGGCATTTCTTGCCCGTGTGGAAGGAGTCAAGCTGCAGTAAGACCATGTCCAGAAGGAAAGTGGTTTCAACCTATGTATCGGTCTAGCGGTTAGCTACTATGCGATTCACCACATTCTGACGATTACATCATGTCATGTAGCAATTTTTGATGTACTATAACCCGCTGGAACCACCAACTTCTAGAACACCTTCTATTTTACCAGCAACATTTCAAAGACTTTCAGATTACCCCATCTTGATATCTTGGAAAGCACGGGATGATCACCATTTTCAACATCGGGAGTTGCATCCCTCACCACCTGAAGGTCCTGGTTTCACGTGCTGCGGCTTGAAGGAGCTACGCCAAAAGTTCACCGCCTGTCCTGGCCACGATATAGACAACAAGTAGGTCAACATATTGAGGCACCTGGATGTGTGTATATAGACATATACACAAATGAACATCTACCTAGATATGTGCATATACATATTTATGTATATATATATGTATATGAAAATGATCAAAAAGATCATGCAAGTATGTACAACGCCAAACGTGTATAGCAAACAATTACGCAATTCGTTTTGCAAACGGACAAGTATGCAGTGTAAATACTGACAATACTACATGTATACATAATATGCACATATATCTAGAATAATGTACATATAATGATTAAGCATATCGGTAGGTATACCTGAAGAGAATACATGTTCCTGTGAACAATCGGTACAGTTGATTGGAGCACGTGCAGCGCCAAGGTTCGCAGCATGGACTGGTAGTACCTTGGACTTGGAGCGCTATCAAAGATTGGCCTCTACTGGGTTGATGGGAAAAGATGACATGGATGAACATGGTAGATTCCATGGAACAAATATGAAAACTAGGGATTTAACATGATCTATCACGATTTAACCATCAGTTCCAAATTTATGGTTTTGGCAAAGTGAGGAAATTGCTGGGGTGGCAACGGGACACTTTTGCCAATGAACATCATCTACTATTGCTGGGTATTCCACTGCTACTAGTCACGACATGCCAGAGGTTGCAGGTCTCAAGTCGGTTTCGGGATGTCTTGAGCACGAACCTAGCTGATATCTCCCAGCAGTGGACTGAAGAAAAACACAGCTACCCTCCAGTAAAGTAAGATAGCCGTGGAAAATCAGCATGTTTGATAGGTAAAACATCTATAAATAGGACATGCTCATTTTCCATGGCTATGTGAGTTTACCAGAGGTTACTGTCTGAACGAATGTGAACATCAGCTAGAACATCCTCTTGCGGGCCACCCAAACACACAAAAAAACAACATCTACATCGTAATATTGTTGCTTAACCCTATGTCATTCCCATCAGATTCTGCCATCAGGTTCCCATCATATTTCCATCATATTCTGCCATCAAATGCAAGACATTTGATCAACCCAAGGTCGACCCAGCCATGCCAAAGGCACAGTTGGCAGGTGCATGGATTGGCCGCATTACCTCGGCTAAGAGGGAGTGGGACATACCTGTCGGAAAAGATGTTGGAAGACAAAAGGGCCGGGCTATGATAGTTAGTGTATAATATGTATATATATATATATATCAATTGTGCGCACTTTCAACCCGATCGATAATTATCTGGTATTGGCCTGGCATTGGTGTCTTTGGGATTCCAGATTGAGAAAAACTGAAGAAACATAGTCTGAGTGTAGGGCCACAGGGGTTCCCTCTGTCTATCCATTTTTGTTTCCATCCCATGCCCATTGACGCCTGGAACATGTTGATGCATGTCACCAGTTCACTTTCGACTTTTGACCATATTTTGCCTAAATCTAGCCACCCGTACCCACCAAATAAAGGGCTCATTTTTAGCTGGATATGATCGAAATTCATGATCGTTCCCCATCTAACCACCCAAACAAAAAATTGGTTCTCCAGACCTACAAACTCACGCTATTTCCATCCAGTCACGCCAAGGTGCCCGAGTTCCTGGCAATCACCGAGCGATGCAGCAGAGCCACTTGCCGCTCTTGCAGGTAGATAGGCTGCAAGGGATCCTGGGGATTTTAGCGTGGGAAAATGGTATAAAATGCTGATGCAACCAGCATTTTCAGCATGGAGATTTAAGATTATTTCAAGGTGATTTCACCAATAAAACTTGTGATTTCACAAATGAAAATTGTGGTTTTATTGGAATGGAAATAATGTGGGAATTATATGGAATATATGAAAAAATGAGTCGGAGGGCCAGTATGGCCTAGTGGATAAGATGCATCCCTCATGCGTCAGACCCGGGTGCAACACTAGGCGGAGAGGTGGGCCACTAACCCACCCCTGTAGTTAAGGGGATGAGCTAGGGTGTGGTCCGTAAAAATTCTCTCTATGAGAAAAAATCCGTCGGGTTTTGGTCGACGGAATGTCCAGCTACTTCATTGGGCAAAACTAACCCACTCGCGATTCCTGGCTCATGGATACCCGGCAGAGAATCTGGGCTCCCACTTCAAGGAATGATGGAACATCTTTGAATTCAAGATAGCAGTAGCTGGCAGCACGGCAAGCATCCTCTTGCACAGGTGTGCGTTTCATTTGAATGACCCAAAGCCATATATGGTTTAGCTGGGGTTGAAGCTAGAAAAATCAGCAACATTTACCTGGAATATATTGAGGAACAAAAGCCGTCTCTTCAAAGTAGTTGCAAACTTCGAGGACAATAAATTCTAGAAATGACTAGTTGGCTATAATACAAAAATTTATTTTAAAATATATATATATATACTCCCCATTGCCCTCCAGTAATCAAACATGGCAATGGAAAATTCACCATTTAGTTACGCGGATTTTCCAGCCTTGTGATGACACCAGTGTGCATCTCAATAAATCCCCATGTGGATCTAACATTTAAAATCCAAAATTCTAGATTCTAGAAGAAATGACAGTTGGTTCTAATACAGGTCCATTATAATCCTATGTAATTAATATCAATTAATCCAAAATTATCTCCAGTAAACTAACATAGCTATGGAACATGGACCATTTAGTTCGATGATTGACCTATTCAAAATGGTGATTTTCCAGTTCGCTTTGTTAGTTTACCACAGAGTATATGCCAACAAATCCCCCCATATCTGTTGCAGCTTCCCACGTCAACCGCTCCTTGGTCAACAAGTATGTGGTCATGGCTGTAGCAGCGGCCAGTACCTCGTCCCACCGGGAAATCGCTGGGAAAATTGCGGAAACGCCATGGGGTTTGCTGGGAAATCTATGGAACATCTCTGGGAAATCTGTGGGAAATCGCCCCAATCCCTTGGGAAATCACCCTCCGAAGGACAATGGAAGACCCATGATGAGTTACCTACAGGATGGTTCCCCCCAGTTATGTTTGTTGGTTTAAAAACCCATTTTTACTATAGTTATATCTACCATAAGAACCATAGACTTCAGCCACTTATAAGGCAACTTAGCTATCTTGGGGGCCCTATCCTGTATTGAAGATTGTGATTTATCAGTTCGCTATCTCAAAGTACCAACAACGGGTAATCTAATGAACCATTGATTGGTGTTTTATTTTCTCCACGTTGCCAATAATATCCTGTAGTGAAAAGAGAACCCCCCAAACCCAGTCAATTTTCATGGTTTCCTATTAAAACTGCCATAAATTGGGATTAAATCCTGCATTGTTTTAGAGATACCCCATCATTTGCCCATTGTATTTCTAGATAATGTCCTACTTATTTTTTGGTTGAATCCACCATTCTCTCCCATTACCACACCAAGTATTTCCATCAAATCACCATATCAGTGTTGGTTCATACAAGGTGAGGCCGCCCCAGTTATACATTGGTTTGAAGCCCACAGTAACCATGGTGATATCCCACGTAAACCCCAGCTAACCATAGTTACAGATTATTTGGGGCAGCATTGCTATATTTAGCCACTTATATATGTCATAGCTTATAATTAATGTCCATCTCCCCCGTTGCTACAGATAGTCTATCTAAGATATCTACCATAAACTCATAAACCCAAAAAACGAGTTATATACTGTGTATATATATATATATATATGTATACATATATATATATATGTATACATATATATATATATAAATATATATATGCTTATATATTATATACAGTGTGTATAGTTTCAAATGCTTGGAGTATCTGCATCAACGGCGCTGTCATAAATCCACCCTGAAATCCCCTTAAACCATATTTTCCTATGGTTTTCCTATTATAAATCCCCAAAATTCCTGAGTTTTTCCGTGGGCCTCATGGGCTCCGCCAGGACACCATGTCCACATACTCCTGTGTCTTCAGATCACCACGCATCGCCTGTGGAACCATGCCATAACTACAGCACATCTATGTCTAAGTCATATAGGACGTATATATGTTTATATTATATAACTCTATATATATATAGATAGATAGATAGACATACATGTATACATATATAGATATTATATACAGATCTGATACAGTTATTGTAATATGTGTGCACGTATATGTGCTTGCAATAAAAACATATGAGCTATATGGCTATATACCATAGTTACAGTATATGAAATGACAAAATTCCCCCCAATAGCTTTGAACTGTTGGAAGCCCTAAAACGCGGACAATGTTCAGACACCCCGCAATACACAAACACAACAAAAAAATGGCTATGAAGGCAGACACCATTAGGAGTCAAAACAATGGACAATACATTCTAGAATTCTAGAGTGGTGGGCGATTGCAACGGCAATCAAGCACGAAGTATGGGTGGAACAAAGGCAACATGCAACAGAAAGAAACATACAACAATACCCCACAAAACAACGCCAAACAACAGACATTTAAATCATTTGACATTCAAAAGAATACAAAGATTAACACATAGATTCTGACATCCTGCCCCTCATGACCAACCGGAAGAGACGGCCGTCGTAGCCGCGTAGCCGACGCCTCCAGGAAGCTGTGCAAAGCAATGTAGAAGCCCATTGCTTGCTGGAGCACCTACTGCTGCCAGAAAAAAAAGAAGAAAACAACTGCGCCCATAAAACAACTGTGCAATGTTGTGCATTTTGGCATAGTCAACTGCAGTTCAGCAAGCCCCAACGAGCCTTTGCACGTTTCAACATTTGGAACCTATCAGAAAATAAGTCTTTCATATTAATTATTCGTATTCATTCTATACATAGTTTTGTGGTTACATGATTATATAGATGTGTGTATATATGTTTGTGTTAGGAAACATGTTGTGTCAACACCATATTCATTTCAAACATATATCAACCGAATTCATCCCGTTTTCCTGCATTTAATGTATGTGTGATGATTGACGGCCGAATTCTTTGGAAAATGTTGCCGTACCTCCACAACTACACAACAAGGGTACCACTTCAAACTGGTCTTGTGAAGCCTTTTGACCAATATGTGACCCGAGGTCCCTAGGTCGGCTCAGCGAATTTCAACCCCAAACGCGTTCACCTTGCGACATTGGCCACTCCAAAACATCAATCCAGCAGGGGCCAGCCTCGGGCGTGCAGGTTGTACCATGGCATACCCCAAGATTGCAATCTTAAAGTGATGCTAAAGCATGGGATTTGGGACAATGATGAACCAAACCCAAACATTGCATCCCGAGCACTTGCATTTCTCCTGGATCATGATGTTGGCACTAAAGTGATTCATTGGCTTGCTGTGGGTGGTCCCGAGGTTGTCCCAAAGTAAAACTCGCCTGTTATCAGTTGGAATTATTGTTCTTTTGGGAGTTTTCTTTCCTGAAAGTTTGGCACTGGGGGATATATGATATATCTTAGTGGCCGCATAGCCCAAAGCAATTTATAGATACCCCCATTGACATGGTTTTACACATGTTTTAAGATATTTTTTTCTGGTGTTACGTGGTGGGCAACCCGGGTAGAAACCTTGCTAAAACACGGTCGGTCTTGCCGACATGTGGCTAGATATCCCAAAATGGAATGGCAGTGAAGAAGCATCAAACGTGTAGATCACCTCCTGCAAATCAACAATAACAGTTATGGCTATGATCGGCATGCATTGTCTACTGAAATTTCCAGTTCAATTTCCGTCATTTTCTGCCCACTCATTTGGCGTGAGCTCTTTTGCTCCCCGTTTCGTCAAACAAATCCTGGAACACAATCAACACATGGGCCATGAGTGATCAATCGCCGCAAGTGGTTGCGAGAGTTGCTACTGCAACCTCTTTGTTTTGAAATGAACCAATACGGAGAAGGACATCTATGGTTGAAATGGGAAGAAACACCAAGAAACCATATTCTGCCTGGTGAAAACCCAACAAATCTGTGGCTTAGGCCCCTTTATAAACACAGCGAAACCACGATGTTTTGGCTACAAATTCCCACTGAAATGATGAAATGTTACTTAACATTCTCCCTAAGATTTTCCCCGTAAATCCCAGCTTTTAGCTGATAAATCACCAATGAATCACCCATACCCGGGCCATACCCTCTGGTAAACTATACAAAAAGCTATTGAATATGGTACATAGAAATAGGTGATTTACCTATTAAAAATGGTGGATCTTTCCACAGTTATGGGACTTCCAGAGGGTAGTTGACGTGAGGAGCTGCAACAGATATGGGTGGATTTGTTGGCATATATTCTGTGGTAAATCCTGGTTTTTCACCAATAAATCACCAATAAATCACTGCCTTCACCCAGAAGCTCTCCGTGGGCGAAGCCTCGCAAGGCCTCGCCCATCTCCTGCAGGGAGACGCTGCCCAGCAGCCAACCACTACGTGCCAGGTGCCTGGGGATGGCGGACCAAAAGATGTTGATGTGTTCATCTGTGGTACTTCTATCTCATGTTTATAAAATGTGGATGTTTATAAGATGAGATGGATTTGTTTGGATGTTTGTTTGGATGTTTATTTGGATGTTTATATTATTCTATAACATGAAAAACCATAGCGGTTTGAGGTCTATAGACGATCCATCCATCCATCAACGTTTAATGGTCTATATTTTTTCTCCGGGGGGTTATCAGATGGTTTAGAGACTTGCATGGAATGATGCTATCCCGGATTTGAGTGTAGGGACATTGACATCCCAATAGCAAATGGCTTACACATTGAACATGACCAATAGGTTGGGCTTCCCAAAAGGCTCCATGTTTACTCCATCTCCAACTGAAGCTGGTGATCTGTTGAGGCAAAAAAACATGGACAAAAACAATGAACAACTGCAATCAATAGCTACAGTAGCATAACAAGCCAAGCACTGTGCCCCGCAAACTAAGTGATGGGAACATATTGGGATCCAAAATCTTACCCTGGATGCAAAGAAATTCATCGCCAATGGATCTGTAGGAGTTCAAGCCATCTGGAAAAACGCTCACATCAAAAGGAATTGGTGGTGTGGGCATACTTTCCGGACCCCCAAGTCGCAAATCGTTGATGGTTGAACGATCCAAGCTGGTACCGCCATCCATGCCATGACACCAATGTAGGTGCCCACTGCCGTTTACCAGACCTCAGCCGTAGCCATCCCCGGCCATGAAATTGCAGCTGTGACAACACCCAAAAAAGAGTTTGCCTAAAAGCAAAACATGTTTACACACTTTGAGATTAGTGCTGCTGTATGTTCTACTTTTGAATGTTACCATGTTGGAATGCATGTCTGCTAGCCTGGAAGTAAACATTACATTGGTGGAAGTAGGTTCGTCCTTGAAACTGACTTGAAGATAGTTGCAAAATGGTAGGACACAAAATGGTTTGTGTCTGAGCCACCATTTCAGAGGGGGTGTCATTTCCGGAATTTTGACGTCTCTGTTCCAACGTTTGTTGCTTAAACCTGCCTCAACCCAAAAAAAACAGCTGGACATTCAGCCTTGTTGGTTTGATATGGTCCAGTTGTTGGCTAGACTAAAATTAAGATCTGTGCTTTCACTGCCCATGAAAAAAGCTAATGAGTTGGGATTATCATTCCAAATACGGTTTTAATAGAACAAAATGATGGAAAGAACCAACAAGGCACTGGGCCATGAGAGGGTCCAGTTCACTTTAGTAGGTTTGTTCTCAGGTTTCAAAATTGCAGCAAACTTTTCCAGAGCTGATCCTGGAGCCAAGAGAAGAAAAGCCTCTTACAAAAGTAATTGAGAAGTTCAAAGCCCAAGCCTTTCCCAAAATAATCAGACCGCTTATTAAACCCTTATTAAAAAACAGTTGTTCCACAAATTTCCAAGGCAGTGGGCCATGAGAGGGTCCACTTCACTTTAGTAGGTTTGTTCTCAAGGTTCACAATTGCAGCATTTTTTTTCCAGAGCTGATCCTGAGTTCATCTTCCTCTGCCTCTTCCCCTTCCTCTTCTTCTTCCTCTCTCTCCCTCTCTCTCTGTTCCTCTTCCTCTTCCTCTTCCTGTTTCTCTTCTTCTTCCTGTTCCTCTTCCTCTCTTCCTCTCTTTTTCTTCTTTTTCTTCTTCTTCTTCCTCTTCCTCTCTCTCTCTCTTTCTCTTTCTCTTTCTCTCTTTCCCTTTCTCTTCATCTTTCTCTTTCTCTTGTTAATTACACTTTGAATAAACAACTTAAGGTGGAAAAGGTAACGCAGTCAACATGTTGAATCCCACTCACTACAAGGTACTACAAGTACTACAACTACTACAGGTAGTACAAGTACTACAGGTACTCAAGTACTACACGTGCTACAACACCACAAGTTCATCGGCAAAAAGTTTTAATTATATAGATTTCAATTGTAGCCAATTGAAATCCTTACTTAAGTGCTCTTTTTTTTCCTGGGATTTTTTTTTTGGCGCCCAAGTTTGAAGAGGGTATAGCTATTGTTGAGGGGGGGTCCTCACACTAATCAGGACGCAACATTATTAAAAATTAAAGAATCTATCGATATCTTACTGTGTCCAATCCCTCCGAGCGGCGCTGCAACGCCTTGGCCGCCACTCGCTCCGACTCCGGCAGCGAAGTGAGCTGCGGCAGCGAGCTACGGAGCACGCCTCCGTGCCCCAGTTTTCATTGCGAAGTTCATTTAAAAGTCCAAGAACTATAGGGTCTATGGATGGTTTTAAAGGTTATATATGGTTATATCGATAGGAATCTATAGTTATGGATGTTTATGGGGGTGATATATGGTTATATCTATAGTTCATGGGAGTTGTAATCCAACTTTAAACTAGGGGCAACCACCTGTGGGATTTAATAGGGGGTTAAGCAATTAAAATGCTGATTTAACCACTAAGACTGGGATTTAACCAGTAAAATTGAGGGATTTGATCATTGGTTGACTTGTCATTGGGTAGTTATAATGGGAATACATTTGGATATAATGGGGAAAAACAACTTAGTAACTTAAAGCTGGCGGTGTCCCTGTTTTCTGCAGCGAAGTTGGTGACATAACTCCAATTTTTGCTCGATTTATGGTAGATATATTTCGAACTATTTCATGGATGTTAATGGGGGCTATCAACCGACAACATAAATGGAAGCTTTGGATATGTCACAGTTTGATTCGTATAGGGGCTACCCAATATGCATGTATATAATTATTGTGTGTATATATATATATATATTACATACACGCATAAAAGATTAACGGGATTTAATTGAGTTGCCAGATTCTGAAATTTAATGGGCTATGAATGAGAATGTCCAACGGGATATATAACAAGCAATGTCTGGAGGTGATTTTTCGATGAATCAGGGCGCAAATTCTAGGAAATCCCTTCAAACTGCAGGAGTTCCCATGATAAATTCCTTTCATGAAAAATATCAGGGTGTCAAATTTAGGCGTATACCTGTTTTAATTGTTACTGGGGATATGCCTAAAATTTAAGGACATAATATTGTTGTCGTTAATATGTTGGGTGAATATCAATTACATTGTAATTACATGTATGTCGAGCTTGGGGGTCTTGTGGGCTGCTTGACGTGCAACCTCGGATTGATAAATGCACATCAAAAAAATGGAGGCTGGGTGCATATGTTTATATGGCAATTACTTGCT